GATCAGAAAAGCTCACTTGAGCCTTTGGCTCAGGTGAGCTAAAAAATTTCAAACAGCATACATGTTAACCTATTGTGATGAAAAATAGGGAGATTCAGACCTCAAAAGCGGTAGCATTGCGCGCGTGTTGTTTAACGCTTGGATTATCCATATCTTTCATGTAATATACATGTATATTATAAGCCTTAAATGAAATCAGGTACCTACACTAATTAATCTTAAATATCAACAGCAAAGAAGAAGACAGAAACACCTTAAGTTTGACATAAATTGTACAAATTCAAATATTTTTCATGCTCATCATTTTGCTTGGATTGGCTGCTTTACTTAGCCTTTTGAAGAGTGATCTTTGCTGATATAGCCTAGAAGCAATAATTCTGAATGTTCATTCAGTTTTTAAACAAAACAAATGATGACATGGTTTAATCTAGATCTAAAACAAGTTCCTATCTTTCGTTATATAAATCAGATTTCCCGCGATGATCGAAAACGAAAGTAGAGATGTGCCACATGACTTGGTCAATCGAGTGATTTCTATTGACTTTATTGATAAAGTTGTGAGCTTCTGTGCTTTTAAAGACGATGTCAAATGTTTTCATCTAATTTTTAAAAGCTGCATCTCCTTTTTCATGGCAGGGATGTTGATTAATTTATCGTAACCAATGTAATCACTGGTAGTCTTGTGTTGTTGTCGTTGTCAAATCCGTGCTTGAAATCTATGTACAAAAAAAGCGTTTGTATGATTCCGAGTCAAATCACGCGATATCTAGAGAGATTTTATGAGAGTGGCTTCAAAAATGGATACCCAAGCGAACCAAAAATACTTTAGATGCAGCTTTTGTAGAAAAGCGGTAGATTTCTGAATTAAATCGGTAGGCGGGAGATGGAGTGAAAAAGCGGTAGACTCCCGCCTAAATCGGGAGAGTTAACATGTATGCAAACAGGTTCATAATTCCCCATTTAAAAAAGAACACATTTCACTAGCAATGAAAAAATCTCATCCGACATATTAGCTGCACAGCTGTAACATAAAAAGTGATGGAGACAGCAATATATGGCACACATTGGATATGGATTGTATAAATTGGCTATTCCTTTTCCCTTGAGTATAAGGTTACCTTAGATCCCAGACATGGAGTCTTCTATCTGTTCCACTGGAGGCTAGAATTGTCTCGTTATGGGGAGACCACTGAACCTAATACATCAATACAAAGGTAACTATTAACATCTACAACTCAGGAGACATATGTAAGAAATGTTCTGAAAATATTAAGTTATTTATAATCTTTAATATCTAGGGCTGTCACGGTTCCAAAATTTTTTGGTCTGGTCGGTTCTGATTTTTTAAGGTTCAGTTTCGGGTATTTCAGTTTGGGTAGTTAATGGAATAAAAGCTCATGATTTGTATTATTTTCAACAAAAAAAAGAATATTTTCATTCAATCTTCGAAATAGCAACATAATAACTAGTTTAAAGTAGCTTCCTGACTAGACAACAATTGTACCAAATTATTTAAATCACCTTATAATGGCAATGTATCAACAAATCTCTCATTTTTGATGTCATTTTTATAGTAAAACCTACACTACTGTACAAATTGGAACCGATGCCGATTCCGAAAAAAAGAACCTCCCAAACCGAATGAATTGTTCCAGAATTTGCTGTAATTATTGGGTAAAAAATGACAGCCCTATTAATATCCATTTTGATATCATTCTTGAACGATAGTACCTACCTGGAAAATTTCATCCTTGTGCGATTCAAATGAATGTAGTTTTAGTTTTAGATTCCGCAGATCCCACAATGCGACAGTCTGCAATAAAATGTAAATATAAGATGAATGACCGTTTTGTAGAAATAAACAAGGCCAACTCAATATCACTTCAAAATGATATGAGCATAACTATTAAGAGACCATGTTTCACCCTGACAAGTAATGATGATAGAGTTGTAAAGAAAACTCTGGTAAGATGAAGAAGAAACAGTTACATGTACATCAGCATTCAGAGAATCAACTATTCCTGCCAAAATTGCTTCTCATTTCTTACCAAAACACAAAAAAATTAATATAAATTTCAGTTTCACTCTCTGAGAAATAATCTGGTAAGCCTTGACTAGGCAATGCCTTCAGATCTAAGGGTTGAAGGACAAACAGTTCATCTCAAGATCTTACCTTGTCAGCTGACCCTGTTGCCAGGATAAATTCACTGTAGGGGTTAAAGGACAGACAGTTCACCTCTGCTGTGTGTGCATCCACAATGTGACTGGCTTTGGTTGTGTTGTTTGACCTGGTGTCCCAGCTGTAGAGAAAAAACTATTTCATATGATCCACTAATCTGTCAAAGCAATCAAACATGTGAAGCTTTTTACCATTTCTAGATAAACCCATGAAATATTCCTTTACTTACATCATCAACTTCTGATCATCAGCTACTGATCCAAACAAGCTTTCATGAAGTAAATGCCAGGCAACATCCTGCAAAACATTACAAAAGTGTGAAGATATGTTGGACACTACAGAGATGGTGCCAGAGCATTTTTTTTTTCAAAATATATATACCTAAAGCTTGTATATCCTCTTGACTTATCATTTACCAGTTTTGAATTGAAAGTCATATTTTAAAGGTTTTAAGTCACCTGGCAATAAGATTAGAGGTTGAAATGTACAATTTTTGCTGCAGCTAATGTTGATCTCATTATAATCAGTCATTTATTGCAAAAAAATATATTACATTTATCATAACCTTAACTTGAAGACACTTAAGGCAAGACAGTGATGGCGATGATACAGCAAGTTGGTATTGTGTGTGTGGGGAGGGGGTTAAATAAAACTGATTACCTCCACTACTGATGTGTGTCCTGTGAAGATGGTATGGGCTTCTATAACTCTGTGTTCTTTAGGGTTTGTATTAATATCCCACAAACATATTGTCTACAGAAATCAAAAAGATTCCATTAGATTGTTTTACCAAAATTTAAGTACTCATTTAATTTATACTACTCATCTACTTGATAAAAAGAATAAGATTCAATGTCTTACATGATCATCTGAAGCACTGAGGAGGTGTCCATTTAGATTAGGATTCCAGGATAAACCATATCTGTAAATACAAAGTAAATACTTTGATCATAGTTAGATATCTTAACTCATCTTTCCTCTTTCTATCTACACGTTGCTATAGTAAAACAAGCTTAAAGCAAACACTCTTATAATGGTATGATGCATACAGCAAAGGAATTTCCCATGACTTTAAAATACATTGTAAACAGAACAGATTATAAAGATTATGCTTTTAACGAAGCAACATCACCCATCCCTTGCACTTTGTTATAAGCAAGTGTTAGTGTGATTTTCTCTCCCTCTCTCTTTCCTGTCCATTTCCTACCAGATTAATAGCTTACCCTTCTTTCTGATGTCCTTTGAGTCGTAATTCAGGATTACATTCACCACTGGGATCTATAACAAAATTTTCTCCACTGGGATCTATGAAAAAAGTTTTCATTCAGAGTTGTTTTCAGTTTACCTTGGCTTTACATTATTCTATTGACAAAAAATTTTCATCAGGCTACTGTTTAATTCCCTGGTTCTCAGAATTTTCCTGGGGAGGGCGTTAATTTTTTTTTATTTTAAAAATTTGTTTTCTTTATAAAGTGTGTATACTTTCCATTTCTGACCCCATTGCTAACAGCGTGAAATCCTATAATGCACTAATTTTTTTTAAACCAAATAGCCAAAATTTTGTAAATGGCTACCGGAAGTGATATTTGAATACACGAAACAAATGTAATTTTTTTTCCCGGACACCGCAATACCAACTTTTTATTTTATCAAAAATACAATAAAATCGGCAATGCGGCTAAAAACATTTTCATCCAATTTATTTTATATGGCCTAATATACAACAATTGCGAATTTTATTTTGTGAATTATTAGGGGTAAACTAGTTAATTTTTGCGATTAAAACCAAGACTAATGCGATAACAAGGCTTTCAAGATCCTCACCAAAATTGCTTGCATGAGAATAAAAGTTGTTTTACAGTGAATGCTTGTAAATTTATTGCAATACATGTTGATTTTGAAACAGTATCGATGAAAAAGCATGTTATTGTGATTACATTATCAGCTACAAAATAGGGGTGAAACAATGCTTAGCATTACATGCAGTCACTTACCAGGTTTAGAGGGATGTTTTGTGTAGTCGAATACCAGGACGTCACTTGACGGTGTTTTGGTTGCTATGATACAGGGATTCTGGGGCATGTACCTGGCTCTGTTAACTTCACCCTCGTGGTTTATTTTTATCTCAATCTCGATTTTACCGCTGACGGATCCAAATCCTCCAAATTCTGAAATTAAAATGAATTCTATGGCTTAAGGAGCACCAATTTACAACAGTTCAATCACTAGATAAAGTTGCTTATCCTTATTTCCTTTTTAATGACATTCTATATACATTTATATAAATAGCACACATGAAAGTAAATAGAATTCAAAGACTTGAACTTTTTCTAATAAAGGTAAAACAGCATACTAAAACAGAAATCTTTTAAATCTTAAGGCCACATAAATGTCTGCTTAGAGTTTCATCTTTCCTTCTCAAAGAGCAGGAGGAAACTGTGGAAATTTTAATATATTACATCTCTGGCCAAGTGGAAATAGTGAATGTAAATTTTTCAAATTGAAACTTTTTAAATCAATAAAGTTGAACTTTATTACATAAATTCTCTCTATTTCTTGTGCAGTCTATTTGCATGCCACATTTATATCATAATCAGAGTTTTGTATATGGAGTAGCATTTTGATTTTCACCGAAATTTCTATTTTCGCCTTTTACACCAAACAATTTTGCAACACCGTTTTCAAAATCAAAAACCGATACACAGTTTTGTATCTAAGAAATTGTACTCTTTTTGTGTGCCAAGTTATATTGAAATCAGGATAAAACTGTAGAAGGAGTAGCATTTTGAAAGAATTTTCACCGAAATTTTGATTTAGCACCTTCTTTTAATGTTCTTGTTTATGTATATATCAAAAACCAATATGGAGAATTGTGTATCTTAAATTAGTCTACTTGTGTGCCAAAAGGCCCTATATTGAAATCAGACAAATGTAGAAGGAGTACATTTTGACAGAATCTCACACACCAATATCTTGAACATCAGGCATATGTTAAAGGGACTTGGGCTGTCCAAACCACTTAAAAAAATTTTTTTCCTTGTTATCTCTATTTGTGTGCCAAATTATATTGAAATCAAATACAAAATAGTAGGACCATACATATAATTATGTAAAATTTAAATCATATTATTATACATGTAAATAATGTTTTTTGCAAAATTATTTATTTCTAGATTTCGGTAAGAGTTTGTTTTAAACACCAACAAGATGAGGATGAGAAAACCAGGATTTTTTTGTCAGATAAATATAACATATGGATATAAAGATGAGAATCTATAAAACAAAATAAATGCTTAATAAATGAACTGAAATGAACACACTGCAACTTAGTTAGAAAAAACTTTAATATTCAATATTAACAATAACAATCTTGGTATTGCGAAAAGGAATAACTGTTTTCACAATACCTGAACTGATACATGTATAATTTGGCAAAAAAAGATTTACGCCAGAGATGATCAACTCACGACTCACAATTCTCCCCACACTTTACCCCACAAAAATCCTTCAATTCAGTCATCAACAAAACTGCTAAATGGCTTAATCAATGTTTGTTACTTATAATTGTTTTAATTTTTTGTTTTTAATTTCTGTGCAGCATTAATTTACACTATGTATGCGGTCACAAATTTGCCGCGGAAATTCATTCCATTGAACCTAATATACGTGATAGGCATATAGCCTGAGTCTAAGACATCCGCGAAAAATTTCTACAGAAATAGAGATTCCGCAGGAATTTTGACCTTGTGGGAAAAAGGATGTCTACAGTAACTGAAATGTTTGGGAACCTGTGAGTCATTGGAGTATAAAAATCATCTCAGACCACTCTTACCTCCGTGTTCACTATCATACGCAGATGTGTCAAATGTGGAATTATCTTTAGGAAGCTGAATACTGGCTATCAGCAAATTGTTCATTTCATCTGTCCTAAAGTCATTACATAGTGCATTGTGAACAGCAGGAAGATATTATTTAACCTTTGACCTCCAGGAGGACATGCTGGATGGTCATGTGATCAGCTAATTCAGCCTACAAGACTTCAATGTCTTATTTTTCTTATAACCAATATGTTTTTCTTTTTAACGCTTCTTTATATGTCAGGTGCATATGTCCCTTACACTGATTTTTAGTTTTAGGAAACGTCTTTAACTTCTAATAAAGGTAAAAATTGGGCTATTTATAATTTCATAATCACCACTTTCCTTCAGCTCCATCACTGGACTGTTACAAAGAATATTTTAGCCAAAAATATGAACTTGAAACAAGCCAGTCTTTATCAAGCTGTTGCTTTTAAGGGAAACAGAACATTGAAGTCTTGTCATTCTGAATCAGCTGATTCTGTGCGACAGCCTACCTCCTTTCTCGCTGTCATAATGTGACGCGTCAAATTGTGCGTTGTCATTAGGGAGTTGTACGCTGGCGATCAGCAGATGGTTCTGCTCCTCCGACCTAAAAGGTTAAAGGTCAAGGTATCCCTCTCTAATTAACCCTCCCAAACTCAGCAAAAAACAATTACATTTACAATTTTGCAGATTTTTTTAAACAGAATTCTTTTTTTTAAAGAGAATTCAAAATTCTTCAGAAATATTTTGAATTAAGAAATGGAATAAAAAATTCATTAAATATATCATACGTATCGTACTATTTACTAAAGTGCAAATTGAATTTTCTTTTTTTGTTATAGCATTTTAATAGAAGCTTTTGAGAACAGTTTATTGATTTTGAAGAGAATTTGAATACCTTGTCCTTTAAATGGAAAAACAAGAATGTGTTACCATAATTACTGATCAAATGCATGACAAATATATACCTGCTCACAATTTTTTAAAACTACACTTTACACTCAAATTCCATGGAATCCATTGCAAAGAACTTCTCCTACATAAGAATAAAACTTTTCTTCATTGATATCGATTTAAAAGAAAAAAATACTGAATAAATTATTTATTTCATTTGAAATTTCAAACAAGATAATCTTAAAAGAAATTAACAACTCAAAACACCAGCATTTAAATTCGTTTTACTCAAGACTACATACTGCAATTAAGAGCAATATTCCAACATATAAATATTAGGGATGTCAACAGGGAACTCAATCAAACATCCGAGTATCGAATACTAAAATCGGAACTTGGTTACTCGGATGTATATTTTTGAATATTTCTAAGCTTATTATTAACGCATTAAACAATCTGTTTTAAAATGTAAAATGCTCTCAGTGTGCACCAAAAGGACTAGCCCGATGCCCGAACACTAGTAAAAATTCGATCGGGCTAGTAGAATGTAGGTCAGCACTAGCCCGATCGGTCTAGTGAAAAGTTGCATGCATTTTACATTTATTTGTTGATAAATCTTTAAAAGTAATAAAATAAGTATAAGAATTCTTATTGTTTCCTTTCTTTTTACATGTGCATGGGTTTCTTTTGTTTAAGCGTGTCGAGAACTTTCGGCAATCGGTCTTCTCTGTACAGTTTGGGTTTATAAAATACACATCAGCATTTACTTCCGGTTATGGCTGCGTTATGTCTATCAATATGAATTTCGACTGGTTTAAGCGAGACAATAAAGAAACAAAGCGCCCACAGAATGTGACAGAAGTTAAAAAGAAATATGAAGTAAAAAGGACAAGAGAATTTCTAAACAAGTGGAAGGAGGGGCGGCCTTGGCTGCAATACAACGAGGTGAAAAAGACCATGACTTATTCATGTTGTAAAGTATGTGGGCTAACAAAATCTGATTCGGGCTAGTAATTGTTCTACATTACTAGCCCGATGGGCTAGTGCTGAAAAAAGTTTTTCGTGCACACTGTGCTCTTTGAACTTGTACATACAGTAATTAGGGTTTTCTACGCCTCTAAATGTGGCAGTGTTTATACAGTAATTATCGTGACCAAGCACCTGTTACCTGGCTTTTCTCACCTTTAGCTCTTCTACCCTTATTTCTGGTTTGCTTTATAATTATTTGTTTTCACTGAACATTGTTTAAGGTCTATTATGTTTAGATAAATTAGATAATTTTGTCAATTCTCTGAGAAGCCGTAAATTCTCGGGAAAAGAAACAGATGATATTACATGTGCGACTGTTGATATGGTTGTGTTTGATTACATGCCAATACAAACGGTTGAAGGCAAAGGTTTTAAAAAAACTTATGTCCATCGTTGCACCAAACTACAAAATACCATCCCGTAATACTAATACTTTATCATACAAGTGTACGAAAATCGTAAATCCGCTTTGGAGAACTTGATCAAGTTCAAATATCCAAATGCCTGGATGCAAACGCAACAAAGATTTACATTACAATTACGTAGCATATTGTTTTTTTAAAACAATACATAATATGTAACACTGTGAACCACTTATTATTTTATTTCTTGTGTTCATCTTATAAATTGAACCTTAAAAAATGTTATATCAAACTTCGTTGGGCATGAAGTGCTCATCATTGTTACAACAGAAATACATTTACGGATAAACCTCCTATCAGAGCAAGTGGCTTTATTTCTACAAGAGTTTACAATGTTTTACAGTCATCAATTTATACTTGTTCATATTTATTTACACTTTTACTAAGTACCCGGGTACTCGATCGGAAAAACGTCCGAGTAACCGAGTATCAAAAATTGACCGATTTGACATCCCTAATAAATATGCATACATTAAATGGTTGTATACTTACGTATGTGTTCCCAGAATCAGTCTGTGAAGTGAGTAGTCTTTCCCTTCAGGTCTGTAAAATAAAATTACAGTCATGAATCAATTAGAGCAAAACAGCAATATTCTAAAAATGTAGGATATTGTATTTTTTTTCTATCACAAGGTAAGTAACTGACAGTCCTTCACCAAACTAATATCTCCAAACTATGCTTTGCCTTTCTGAAAAAACACATCCAAATGACTATACTTAGTTATTACTTGGAAATCATATCTTCAATATTTATATAAATTTGTGTAAGTCTTCAATTACTGTATATTTTTGATCTGGTAGGCTGTTTGGAAATGGCTTATTCATCCAAAAAACATCTACTGTAGCTTAGAACTGATATGCTAAAGGTTTACCCACCTGGTGACATTAGTGAACAGATTACCCACCTGGTGACATCAGGGAGCCACTGCGCGGTCAGACTGGGCCACTCCAGGGCGTGTGTCATGACGAGGTCATACAAAAAGGGGGTGTTCTTCTTCCAGATCTTATATTCCTCATTGATAACCCTCTCCTCCACGGCATCATCAAAGCCTTCTGTATGAAAAATACACAAACATTGACAGATAACAAATTCTACCTTGTAATATACCATGTATTTTACAAATATCAATTCACAAATGTGATTCTTTTTAAAATCTAGTATTCTAACAGGTTGGGCATTACTCTGTAAAGAGTAATAGTTCCCTTTTACAGTAATACTTCCCCGAAAAAGGAACTGTGCCCAACCTGTCTAAACCTTGGTGCCAATGCATTAGTTCATAATGAGTTTGATACAGATGACAAATTCTCATAAAGCAGAGTGGTAGAAGTTTTGTTTTATATTCCTTTTAAGACTTTTTCCCTCATGGTGCCACCTACTGCAAGATAGGATCTCCATTTATACAGTCTCATCCGAAGCACTGGTCTGTCATGCCCCAGGCTCAGTGGCAGAATGGGAGTTTTTAGATAGACATTGAATGAAACCACAAAGAACTTTCATAACAAAAGAAAAACATGTCTTAATGTTAAAGATTTTTCTGTTGCACACTGAATATTCCGTACTGGCGGCGTGGCCTATAATACTCATTGAGCGAAATAAACTTCCTTCCCGAATTTTCTCTATACTCTACCCACATCATTCTCTATTTGTAAGCATACATTGGAAATACTTATTGAAACTATTATTTGGTTACTTCATCATGATGTTAATTAAGTTTCAGGTGGTATTTAGTTACCTAATTGAATACCTATTGTTCAATTAAAAAAATTGTGCCCTATTTTTTGCCGGCAAGATGTAAATATATGCTCAAAATTTGAGCAAATCCAATTCCAAACTGACAAAGAACTGTTGTAACACCTAATTCAAAACAAGCAATGCAATGAATAACAATGTTAAATAACGACTACTTTTGTAATTTACCGTCTTTATCTGTCATTGTTGAAATTTGTTTCTTTTTGTTCCTCCAAATTACATGCGCACAACTCGCGCCAATTTATTTACTGCGAACCTTAAAATTCTTGAATTCCGATCCCGATTAAAAAGAGATTTAATGATGTTGTACCCTGTATAAATAGAAGATTCGGGGTATATAGATAGTTTTCGATAGGCCTGAATTTAGCAAGATTTCTTTTCCCGTTGGTCACCGTATTGGAGGTCGATCTGGTCATTTTTCCTCTTTGTAATACCAAAACCAGTTTTTGCCCTGTCTGTCTGTTTGTTAAAAATTGAAACTGCTCATAACGTTTGGTCTGTTGAAGCTATAGTAATGACTTTCATATTTCACAGGTGTGACAAGACCTTTCTTTAGAAACCATCATATTTGGCCTCTTCACCTTGGAGTTTTGCCACCTTTTGCAATTAAATTAACAAACTTTAGATTCGCCATAACTGTTGAACATTTTTTGTATTATGCAAGGGCTTGAATACTCATATGTGAATAAATTTATTGTGGCAAGACCTTTCCTAGGGTAAATGGATTTTTTCTACCTTGACCACAATATGATTAAAATACATGCAGATCTCTATATAGCGCAAAGCGCTTTGTAGTTCTTGTGACAAGTATAGATTGCTGCAGTTCTTAAATTGTGACAATCTTTCCTTTGGAAATACTAACAATTTTGACATTGCGGATTGATGTTCCTTTGCAATTTTTTAACATTGGCTATAACTTTTGAACAGTGGATTCAAGTACTTGAATACTTTACATTATTCATATTAATGTCATAGTGACAAGACTAGTCCTTTTGACTTTAACATTAGCGTTTGACCAATGCACTTTACGAAAATTACCTTGATCATCAAAACTTTTTTACAATTAGAACTAGCTAGGGCTTTCATACTTCAAAGTTGTATTTCTTGTGGCAGGATAACAATAAATTTGACTTTGAAGATTGGCAAATTTTTGGACAAAGTTATCAATTGCAATTTATCAAAGACTATAACTTTTTGATCAGTTGGTGCCGAGGCTTCATGTTTGTGTGACGAGACCATCTCCTGGGTATCATTAACTTTGACTTTGACCTTGACGTACGACATTCTGTTAATTATATAAAAAACTTTATTTTTTATTGGTAATAACTTGTAAACCCTGGGTGCTTAGGCTTTCCTATTTCACAGGTATACTCATTAATTGAGAAACAAATCCTTTCTTTGGATACTAACATTTTTTATCTCTTGACTTTGAAGTTTGTCAGACGATAAACAACAAACAAAACATTTCGCCGTTAGCTGCTTTGCATGGGGCACCAGTGTTTCACAAACATATTTTAGCTCCCCTGAGCTGAAATATTAATTTAATGCATGAGCTTTCCTGACTACCATTCATCCTTCTGTCTATCTGTCCGTCCGTCAGTAAACTTTTCACATTTTCAACTTCTCAAGATCGAACCACCGCGCCAATTTGAACCAAACCTGGTACAAAGCATCCTTGGGTAAAGGGAAGTTTAAATTGTTAAAATAAAGGACCAAATCTTCTAGATCTCTTTAGGGGAAATAATCAAGAAAAAACAAAAAAATAGGTTGGGGCCATTAAAAAATCTTCTCAAGAATCACCTGGCCAGAAAAGCTGAAACTTATGGGAAAACATCCAGGGACAGTGTAGATTCTATCTTATTCAAATTATGACAAAACGAGATAGGACGGGGCCACAATTGGGAATCCAAGTTTAACATTGAGATATATAGAGAATAATACATACACTTTTCCATATCACATCCTGTATCAGCCCGAGACACCAATATCAGCCAAAGGGCCGAAGGCCCGAGGGCTGATACTGGTGTCTCGGGCTGATACAGGATGTGATGTGGAAAAGGGTATGTATTATTATGTTTATTACGTACTTAGTAATAAAAAATACAGCACACACTAAGTTGAGAAGAAAACAAGATGTGTTTGTGAAACACTATGCGCCCGGCGGCAACAAAGTTTAAAAAAAATATTTTCAGCAGATAAGTGAAAGTCAAGGTCATAAGGTCATTGACCTTGGTGTCATTTGAAGAACTTCATTAGTGGAGTATGCACACCAAAAATGAAGTCGCTATTTCTCATGGTTCAAAAGTTATGGCGAAAATGTTTGTAAAATCTATTTTTAGCATATAGGTCACAGTCAAGGCCACAAGGTCATTGACCTTGGTGTCACTTGAAAGAGCGTCATTGGTGGAGTAAGCATATCAAATATGTAATCTCTATCTCTCATGGTTCAAAAGATATGGCGAAAATTCAAAAAAGCTATTTTTAGCAAATAGGTCATAGTCAAGATCACAAGGTCATTGAACTTGGTGTCATTCGAAAGAAGTATGCATATCAGATATGAAGTCTCTATCTTTCATGGTTCAAAAATTATGGCGAAGGTTAAAGTTGACAACAGACAGACAAACAGACAGAACAAAAACAATATACGCCTCGGATCTATCGATCCGGGCGCATAAAAAGTAAATTAATAATCATGCATGGACTTCTTACATACATGTACATGGTCTTTTGTCTCATACGGTTCGTTTTTTGTCCCCCGCTTTCGCTAAAGCAAGGGGACATTGAATCTCATTCGTCTGTCCGTCAGTCTGTCCGTCCGTCCGTCACAAAATTTTAACCTTGCCCATAACTTTTGATTCAGTGGAGCTATGACTTTTGTATTTTACATGTATATTTCTTGTGATAAGACCTTTCTTTGGGTACCACCAAATTTGACCAATTGACCTTGACCTTGGAGTTTGACCCACTTTTACACAAAAATTCTAAAATTTTACTTTGGCCATAACTTTTAAATGGTAAATACCAGGACTTTCATATTTGACATATATATTCTTTGTGACAAGACCTTTCATTGGATGCCAAGAACTTTGACCCTTTGACCTTGACCTTGGAGTTTGACCTACTTTTCAAAAACGTTGACCTTGGTCACAACTTTTGAACAGTAGATACTAGGACTTTCATATTTCACAAATGTATTCTTTGTGGCAATATCTTTAATTTGATATTAAGAACTTAGACCTTGACCTTGGATATTTTTCGTAATTATGAAAAAAAAACCCTTGACCATAACTTTTGAATGGTAAGGGCAAGGGCTTTTACACTTCACATATGTGATCCTTGTGAGAAGACTTTTCATTCTATACCAAGAACTTTGACCTTGATCTTGAGGTTCAGTGACAATTTCTAAATAAATGACATAAGATAGGGTGTTCATATTATAGACACAAAATGTAATAAAAAAATGACATCTCACCAACAAAAACACCGAAAGCGGGGGACCATAATTCTTTGGATTTGCTTGTTTCCTGCTTCTATATCAATGCACTCGATCCGTTATTTTAAAAATAATTTATTATTTGTAAATTAGATTATCCTTTTTTTTCAAAAAGTTAAAATTAAGAGAATATGAACCCAACAAAAAATTGTATATGATCACAAGTACTTTTTTGTGGTTTAATTTATTAGGGGTGTGATATTGATTCGTATCAGCCCTGCAGGGCTGATACAACTATTGTGACGTTAGGCATATCGCATATGCAAAAATCCTGTATTTATTACTAAGTATGTAATAAATTGTAAAAATCTTCTTCTCAAGAACAATTGGTCAGTTATTACAAGGGGTGCGTGAAATCTGCATGGTGGGGAACACATGGCCAAAATTACTGCGGTGAGCGTTGTGGCCAAGGGCCTCTTGTTCAATATGACAAGGAAAAATTTATTGTTGGTTAGGTGATAAGAGATAAATGTAAATAAAATATATTATCTAGAAAGTATTAGAAATTGTTTATAAAAATAAAAACAAGATGTGTTTGTGAAACGCTGATGCCCCCGTATGGTAACATAGCGAAAATTAAACTTTTCTTAAATGCAAATTTGATATATTACATGGTACCCAAAGTAGGGTTTCTCACTGGAAATACAATCGTGAAATAAAAAAGCCCTAGCACCACCTGTTCAAAAGTTATGGCCAAGGATAAGATTTTGAAAGGTAGGTCAAACTCCAAGGTCCAAGGGTCAATGTTGTTGGTTTCTTAAGAAAGGTCTATTGTCACAAGGATTACATATGTGAAGTATGGAAGCCCTAGCCCTAACCAGAGACATGGTTTTATATGTCTCTGCCCTAACCGTTCGAAAGTTATGACCAAGGTTAAAATAAAAAAAAAAATAAATAGGTCAGACTCCAAGGTCAAGGTCAAAGTTCTTGATATCAAATGAAAGGTCTTGTCTCAAGGATTACATATGTGAAGTATGAAAGCACTAGCCCTAATCCTTCAAAAGTTATGGTCAAGGTTTGTTTTTAAAAGTACATGAAACTCCAGGGTCAATGTCAAAGGGTCAAGGTTCTAAATATTCAATGAAGGGTCTTCTCAAAAGCATTACATATGTGCAGTATAAAAGCACTAGCCTTTACCGTTTTAAAGATATGGCCAAGGTTAAAGTTTTTTTCATAAGTACGGAAATCTCCAAGGTCAAAGTTCATGGTATCCAATGAAAGGTCTTGCCACAAAGAATACATATGTGAAGTATGAAAGTCCTATTAATTACCATTCAAAGGTTATGGCCAAAATAAAATTTTGGAATTTTTATGTAAAAGTTGGTCAAACTCCAAGGTCAAGATTAAAAGGTCAACTTGGTGGTACTCAAAGAAAGTTCTTGTCACAAGGAATACACATGTGAAATATGAAAGTCAAAGCTCCACTAAATAAAAAGTTATGGACATGGTTAAAGTTTTTGCTTACAAAAAGACAGATAGACAGCTAGACAGACAGACGGACACGACAAAATCTATATATCCCCGAATCTTCGATTACGGGGGTATAACAAAAAATAATAACAGCTGAAAATTAAAGTGCAAATTCAGTAAATTGTAATTCTTTCTATCCCCCTTTTTTAACATGAATGCAGTTTGGTTATGTACGTGGTTATGTACATAAAAAGCGATAAACAGTTGAACACTAATCACAGGCCTTTGGATCGCTTAAAAATTGTATTTTGTAGGGCCTAATGGTTTACGGAGAGCCCCGCCCACTTTTTTAATCGGGTTCGTAAGTCAATCTCGGGGACACAACGTGATGCTCACGAAAGAATTTTTTTGGACATTTTAAAATTTTTCACAAAATTATTTACATTTTACCAATGTATATGAAGACTTTTTTAAACATCAAGACCCAGTAAAAAAGGGAAAATTATTAATACAGGTGAAGAAATAAAGCGAAGTTCAATGCATCACGGCTAAATGTAATGTATTTTTCAAGATGGCGGAATATGGGAAGTTTACCACCGAGCAAATTATAATGAACATTTCTGTTGGATGTAACGTATCATTAAGAAAAGTCTTTTGAAGAAAAAACGGCATTTTTAAAATATACTAAGTATACCCGGATTGTAAATTTGACATGGAATCACTAAAATTAACACCCCAAGAACAAACATTTTATGGAGAGTGTTTTCAAACTTGTGATGTGGATGGAAATGCAAGAATTAGCAACAGTAGAGCATCAAACTTATTTATGTCTTCAGGCCTCGGCCCCGAGGTGCTTCTTCAGGTAAGTTGTCAACCTGTTGAGACGTTCTACAGACTAATAATAGCATCTGGACGACCACATGATCAAAGACAACTGTTTCTTCTGCAGTGTTCTGGTCTTATCATAATTTTTACAAACTTTCCTAGAGCTCAATTTTTGTTTGTTTCGTTTCTTCAAATATTTAAGTACATTTTTATAAATTTTCATGAGGTGTGCCAAGTAATTGAATTACCTGACTATGCGCTAAGAGACTTTGCACACTTACAAACTTATTCAGGTCTAGCCGTACATGTACTGGTTTGGGGCTGTAGATATCAGCCTGGGTAGTTAGAATGATCTAACTGCATCTCGGTACAAGCCTTCACCACAGTTAGAATACGTCCCATATACTTGCAATGTAGCAAAGCGGAGCAGATCGGCTCCGAAATGATTTTGAAGAATATAAAAGGATTTACACTGGAAATAGCAACAAAATTAATCAAATCAAACCTTTTTGAGATTGTTTATGTCTTTTATCCCCAAAATTTTAATCCATATAAAGACGAAAATTCAATTAATTTTCTCAATGTTTTTCTCTCGCTTCAAATTTACCTGCCATGTTTTAATACATTCGGAACTCTCTAGATTGTTCGTAGTAAATGCACTGAGTATGAGTTATCGGCCTTGTTTCTTTTGCTACATTACGAATACACGGAACGAATTCTATTGTTAAACCGGGTCTGTAGGACAATATCATTTAACGATAAAATGTTCTATCTACAGCCTGGGTAGCTCCATTGGTTGAGCACCTGAGTATTGATGCAATGGTCTTGCACCCATATTCTCTTTTCCAATTACAAATCATTTGTAATGCTGTCCAAAGCATAAGCAACACAGTCGTCATGAAGGGTAATCTAGAACAATAATATTACATGTGTAATATATATGCATACAGTTTATTATAAATTTGTCAAATTGCAGGTTATAGTGTTTCAAAGAAGCCAAATAAACCTACTAAAATCAAAGCTTGTGTCTGTCAAATAATAAGGTGGATTAAATAAAAACAACCAAACAACAAAAAATGCTTGTAACTTCTGACTTAACAAACTTTTAGAATGTAAGGGACTCCCAGAGTATCAAACTTACAGTAAAGAGGCTTTTTCATAGTTTTTTCATTTTGACATTATCAAAGTATTCTTATGATAACGATAAAGACAACTTGCAGAGGCACTAGTAAGAAACATAACACCCCACCCCCCTAAGAAAAGAAAGAACCCATGACAGTTGTTTACATTGACAATTTGGGGGGGTTAAATGTTTTAAATGTTAAGACAAGAGGGACCATACATTTTTAGTTGAAATTTTACAGATATCTTCAGGAAATGTGCCAAAGCTATTACACATATATTTTATAACCTTGGTATTAAAATGAAAGAAATTAAACTATCAATCTTTAAATCAGTCTTTAAAATAATTAGATTAATATGAAGAGTACCAAACATTACCAAGTTTATTATTGAATGAACGTGATGAATAAGAAGTGTTTGTGTTTGTTTTCTTTAAATACCCATTTTATTTTTTTTTAATTTCTAGATGAAAAACATAAAATAAAATCAAATATTCTTAAGCCATATAGCATGTTCAGGGAAAAAAAGAAAAGTTTGATATTTTCTTTCCCTCCTACATCCTGCTCTGAAATGTCAGAGTTACACCCGGCTAACACTTGATCAATGACACAATGTCTCAACAAAGCATTTTATAATCTCTGAGGACAAATTGACTTGGAAGAGAGTCAGATGAATAGAATGCTGAGCCAAACTGTAGTGATATGCCTCTAACTCAGATAAGCTGGGACTTAAATATGTTTTATTTCTCTGTGTTGATTATTTTATTTCTTCAGCTAGGAAACATATTATTAGGCACATGAAATAAAAAAAGGGAGAGTGATGATACATGATCAATATTATTGACTCTACATACAATATTGTATCTATTATATTTTATCTTTTTTGAATACTACTTCTTTGTTTTTTTTAATGTTATTGTTTATTGGTAGTTTATACTACTTGTTTGTTTTTTATTAAATGTTATTGTGTATTGGTAGTTTTTATCATTCCCTGGTTTAATTGATTGAAATGAATCATTGCTAAGTATAGTTAATATGTCATCATGTGTATGAAAATTGAAATGTATTATTGATCATTGATTGACAGCTGACTGACAATTGAAAAACAGTTTGTAATTTGTAATAGTTAGTCTTGAATTAGGATTTTGGTATGATTTTCTTTCGGTCCTGACAGGTTTCATATTTGTGATGATTTTGACAGATATCAGAACTCTGTGGAGCCAAGAGACTTGGACATTTCGGCCGGAGTCAGTTTTACATCGCCCTGAAGCTTATCGCTGCTGTTCAAAATGGCTACCCACCAAAACTGGACAGTCTAAATACAGGTAAGGACAAATCTTAAACACTGGTCATCCTAAATACAGGTGTGGTGGTCTGTCAGGTACATTTGCCGGTGGCCAGATAGCTCAGTCGGTAGAGCACCTGACTGGAAATTCAGGGGGCCCCGGTTCTAATCCCGTTCTGGTCCGCTGCATTACCTCCTCTCCTGTTTCATTTGGTGCCGTGCCATGGAACTGAAAGGTGAGAGGCCTGCCCGAGATGAGCCTGGGTTAGCGCCTTTGAAGACCAAAGACCTTTAGGGAGGGAGGAATGTGGTGGTCAGCCGGATGCGATCACCACAAGCTAGATAGCTCAGTCAGTAGAACACCATAATGGAGATTCAGGGGCCAAGGTTTGAAACCCGGTCTCGTCTGCTGCATTTTTCTCCTCTCCCGTTACCTAGGTAAGAACATCTTGTGTAGTTTTAAAATAGTCTAAATACATGTAGGGTCAGATAGGGTAGTTTTAAACTGGACAGACCAAATACAGGAAAAGACATATATTGAATAACAGGAAATTTTTGATAGAGTTTATGATAAGAACAAATTGTGAAGTGTCGAACTGGACAGTGGAGGGAAATTCTGTCATCTCTTCAAGTATCCCAGCCCCATTAAGCTATTTCCTCCAGACTGACCAACTTTCATAAGATCATTGATGTACTGTAGCCTAGCAAATTATTTAAACATTATTTAGTATAATTTCTGTGTGTTAATAAAGTAATAAGATTTGCTATATTGGAAAAAATGCACAGTGTAGTTTTTTTTGCAATATTTGCAATGGTTAATTAATTATCCCTTTGTAAAAAGGGAAATTAATTTCAGTGTATTTAAATTGCATAAAGTTTGCAGTAAATTGTACTTTTGGGCCATATTATAAGAAAATAGCATTTATGGACTAGAAATCTCACATAAACAGGTGGCTTTAAAAACTGGTTCTTACTAGTTATACCCCCCGCAAACAAAGTTTGGGGGGGTATATAGGAATCACCTTGTCCGTCTGTCCGTCCGTCTGTCTGTATAGCTGTCTAGCTGTCTGTACAAACATGTCCGGTCTATATATTTCTTAAGGAAGAACATTAGAATCTACCACTCCACACAAAGATTGCCTATGACCCAAGGGTGTGTCATGACCTTGACCCAAGGTCATTTGGGGAAGTTCAAGGTCACTGGAAGAAAAATTTCATAATTTGTGTCCGGCCCATATCTTTCTAATGGATAAACTTGGTAGGTTGTCATTTCACGCAAAGATTGCCCATGACCCAAGGGTGTGTCATGACCTTGACCCAAGGTCATTTGGGGAAGTTCAAGGTCACTGGAAGAAAAATTTCATAATTCGTGTCCGGTCCATATCTTTCTTATGGAAAAACTTGGTAGGTTGTCATTTCACGCAAAGATTGCCCATGACCTAAGGGTGTGTCATGACCTTGAACCAAGGTCATTTGGGGAAGTTCAAGGTCACTGGAAGAAAAATTTCATAATTTGTGTCTGGTCCATATCTTTCTTATAGATAAACTTGGTAGGTTCTCATTTCATACAAAGATTGCCCATGACCTAAGGATGTGTAATGTCCTTGACCCAAGGTCATTTGGGGAAGCTCAAGGTCACTGGAAGAAAAATTTCATAATTCTTGTCCGGTCCATTTCTTTCTTATGGATAAATTTGGTAGGTTCTCATTTCACACAAAGATTGCCCATGACCTAATGGTGTGTCATGACCTTGACCCAAGGTCATCTGTGCAAGTTCAAGGTCACTGAAAGAAAAATTGTATGATTCATGTTTGATACATATCTTTATTATGGAAAAACTTTCCTCTGAAAAACCCAGCAGGGGGTATTTTGTCCCGTTTGGACAGTTCTAGTTTAATATTAACGGATTGATAATCTGGTAAAATTTTGAATAAAAATATTTACAAAAATAGAACAAGTATATACAGGTTTCAAAGAATAGAAAATAACAGCTAGTATAGGGGTACATTCAGTGTTTGTTGTTGAATGACTATATACACTGTATTAACCAGTGTGAGCAGCGACTATCACAGAATAAAAACTCCAAACAGAAACTACTGAAAATAAATGATACAGGGTAGATTACTTATGGTGTAAACTGATGCCTCTGATACAAAGTTGGGGTGTCAGATGAAGTCATTGAATAAGAAATTATTCTAACTATGTCAGAAAGGAAAAAGCTAGCGGAACATTATTGTAACCAGAGAGAGAGAAAGGAGAGAGGTTTTATATGTATTTCATGTTTACAAACATATGGTACTTCGAGGCTTCTTTTTGTACAACCGTATGCTCTTTATTTTGAATGTGTAAGAGCTTATTGAATTGCAAGTCCTTGATGTGTTTGTTGGCATTTATATCAATATTGGCTTCATTCTGCAATGTTTTTTCTCTGAATGTCTTGCATCCATAGTTATTAAGGATTTCACTGTACATGCCTTGTTGAAGGTAGGAGGGATGATTGCTCTTAAGGTACTGATAGGGACTGTGTTTTCTAAGTTGACAAAGGGGAAGGGTTTCTGAAAACATCTTGGGGAAAAAATATAAATTTTAGGGATGGATATAGAGTAATGATTAGTAGCTTTTAGTTTAACATCCCTGCCCAATGGTTAAATGCATTTCAGATGAAATGGAGCTATTAAAATTTACATGCTGAATGCAGTCAGGTGTAATCAAGTTAATGAAACTTCTGTTAGCATGGCTAGACAATAAAACTCCGGTTCTGTTAAGGAATTATTTTCTGAAGAAAGCTTCTTTTAAAAAATCATTGATTTTTGCTCTTGTTTATGAGGAGCATATTATATTTATAGACTGTCTTTCAGATTGCTTATATTTAATTTGTTATTCAAGTAAAATTAAATTACCTGTACTTTAAAAGAAAATAGAGAATTTTTCAATTTTGATGCTTTTAGTTTCTTAGAAAATAAGTTTTCAATTTAAATTTCCAAACTAAAATTTTTAGATATTTTTCAAGAAAGCAACAGTTGCTGAGGCAAGATTACATACATGATCATATTGTTTCAACAAATTGCTGCATGTATCCTGATGCTTATAACAAAGCACTGAACATTTATTATGGGCTAAAGAGGAGATGAATTAGCTTAAAGATGGAATATATTCCAAATTCTTTATAGGAGGAAATTATTCTGAATGTCTTATTACAGTCTTAAATAACATGTAGAACTAACACTTAGTCTTTTGATCTCTGTACTTCAAATGGTGAGGAAAAATCTAACTTGATCAATAATCCCTTTAAAATGATTTATTAAAGCTGCTGGTTTGGTAATTTCTTTATCTACATTGACACAGTATTTTAAATTTAAAACTTAGAATGACCTAAATAACAGCTGCTGAAATTTGAAAATTTATACATGTATTTGCATTTGATAATCTACACTATATTACTTTGTGTGACTTCTGACATCACACTATAAGCTGAATTATAACATGATTTCGGCTTTGTCTCAAAAGAAAATTCTGCAGTTTGCTAAGGTTGACGTACATTGTAATTTAGGAATGCCACACATAGATAATTAACAATCTTACATTTGATGAAAGGAAATGTCATAGAGAACTTTTGGCTGTGTTATTGATCTTGTATCTGACAGAAAGTGATGTCTGAAACTGATGAAGTAAGTCTGTGTTAGTTAATTAAAAGTATTCTGTCTGAGATTACAGAGTATTGCAAGGTGCCCCTGTTAATAGAAATCAATGATGGTTTAACAAAGTAAAAGTGTGTCAGTCCCAGGCTTGGTTTGGGGAGGTGATTATTAATTTACAGCTAGAAGGTAGGGTTTTGTCGTGATCCATCTTAATTATGCTAATTATTTTTGGAAGAAGATTTTTTTATTGTAAGACAGGTAATTTGTTGAGATGTATCATGACTTAAGTTTTTACCTTTAATTTTTCGTGGTTTGCGATTGTCTTGAAAGTTTTTTCCCCTTGTTTCATTTCACATCGAACAATTAACACACATTGAATTTGTAAACTGTATGATTTGTAAAATCTCTGAAAAGAGGAAATAAAGATGTAAACTTCGAACAATTAACACACATTGAATTTCAGTCTCCAGAATATTTTCAAGTCTTGTCATATTTTGTAATAAGACTTATTGATAATCCATTTGTATTTTTTGTTGCAACTGATTTCAAAATGCCATTGTAAACTTTCCATATTCTCTTTAAATAAGTGGACATGCAGGCACAAGCAACAATCCCTTTTCTCTGCGTTGAGTAAAGAGGCTAAGCCCTACCCCAATCCAAAGCTCCACTTCATACCTCCACTTTTAATCAAACATTTCCCAATTTCTGTACACAAGAGATAAATGTACCGGTTTTCTCTTTCTTAATGGTCCATTCTCAATGAAGCTTAACTAAGACTAAGCTTTAGTGCAGGGAGCAATTGATTTTTTGTTATGTTTCTCTTATGATAAAAAACATCATTCAGTCAATAAATACACAAATCATCCAGTTACCCATACCAAAAAAAGGTACAGATTAGGCATGCCTATTCTTGATAAAAATAGGCACAAAAAAGGTATACCTAAAGTATACAAGTTTGGAACCACTTCTTCAAGTATAGGTAGCAAATTGGTACAAAAAAGGCATACTAAAGGTATACTTTTCAAGGATTTATTTTTTCTATTTCACATATAGGTACATTTTAGGCACACATAAAACATTACATTGAGAAGTGAGGCATACCTAAAGTATGCCTATACATGTGCTAATATTGTACCTATATTTAAAAACAGGCACAATATAGGTACTCACAAAGTTCAGATAGGTACATTTTAGGTATACCTAAAATGTGCCTACATATCAAGCAATTAAGTACATTCAAGGCTGTGCCAAAAGTATGCCAGAGGTATACCAAAAGTATACCTACAAGGTACCTATATTGTACCAAAAACATTAATAGGCACACTTTAGGTACTAAAAAGGCACAATATTGGCACATCATCTAACTAGACCAGTAGGTACATTTTAGGTATACCTAAAAAGTGCCTACATATCAAGCAATTAAGTACATTCAAGGCTGTGCCAAAAGTATGCCAGAGGTATACCAAAAGTATACCTACAAGGTACCTATATTGTACCAAAAACATTAATAGGCACACTTTAGGTACTAAAAAGGCACAATATTGGCACATCATCTAACTAGACCAGTAGGTACATTTTAGGTATACCTAAAAAGTGCCTACATATTAATTTATTAAGTACTTTCAAGGCTGTGCCAAAAGTATGCCAGAGGTATACCAAAAGTATACCTACAAGGTACCTATACTGTTACCAAAAGCAATAATAGGCACATTTTAGGTACTAAAAAAGCACAATATTGGCACATCATTTAACTAGACCAGTAGGTACATTTTAGGTATACCTAAAAAGTGCCTACATATCAAAAGTTTTTAAATTTTTGGCCTTAAACGAAGAATACATACATTTCTTGTGGTATGTTCACATCTACATCTAAAACACACAGTTCTTATAATATTTCATATATCAAAGGCGCATTCCAAGAAAACCAAAATGTATGGTTAAAATGAAGGATGATTCAATGATCTTATTTAATACATGCATATGAAAATCAGCTCTCTAAGAGTCTTACATCTAAATAGACTTTGCTATAGAAAGCCTTATAAATTGGTCATTCCACATTGATTCATTTTTATTAGAGACATTGATAGATAAATAAAACTAAAATAAATAAAATTAAGATAAATAAATAAATAATGAGCAGTATATCAGTGAAAGACAAAAAACGCACCTTCTAATCAAAATAGCATCTATTGAGGTGAGGTAAATTCGAGTGCAAAATTTTACAACAGTTAGTACTATTGAAACACCATAAAGCTGTAGCGACTATTAATAACAGTGTTTAGAAAGCTAAAAGTCATGGACATAATAAAAAGATGTTTTATCAAAATAAAAAAGCATACTGAAATCCCTAAGCTACAAAATAGAAAAAAATTGATGCATCATGAACAGTAGAATAACCTTCAAACAGTAGTACTATTGTAGCGACTATTATGTTCTAGGTTAAAAACAAAACTAAATATATACATCTGAATAAAAAAGCTAAATATAATTAAACATAAAACAAAAGTGTATCGTAACAATACATGAAAGACTGGTCATTGAATTGGCATATCACTTGTAATGTTTTCAATTCCCTTATTTTTCTATAGTAAACTTTTTAATTCACCACACATTCGCAGAGTGTCATCAAATTGTTTTTTGTTGGGGCACTGTCACAAAGTGTCGGAAACGAAAATGTCCTTACTTCTGTACCGAGATGGACTTCTTCTTCTCAAAGGAAACCAAGGCACTCATCTTTGATCGCATTGCACACTTGATGACGGATTCGGTTTCCTTCCCCTTGATGACCGCATAATCTGAAATAAGAGTAATTTACATATCACTTTAATAAACCTATATGTGATCTCCTTTATATGATTTTTATACCCTCTAAATCATTTGATGAGTGTTATAAACAAAATCAAATTTTAGTGACATAACACAAAATTTATGAAAAATGAAGAATTTTGTACCCTCAAAGCAATGTTATTATTGTGTACTAGTGATTCAGTGTACTTTTTTGGATTTTTCCTTGATTTCATTTAGTTAAATAAATTTGCATTGAGTCTTAATTTTATAATACATATTGCTGACTACTGCACTTCTCTTACTTATTACCAAAGTCAAGCCTGTTTGACACAATTTTCAGGAAAATTTATATTTTATTCAAAATTCTTACCAAGAATTGCTTTTGTTATCTGCTTGTCCAACCCATGTTTTCCATTTACACCCATCACGTTTCCCCTCTCTATCAGTTCTTTGGATGTGTAGAATACGGACATCAGGAATCGAGCAATTGAAGTTCCATTGGTCTTCTTACTGGCTATACGCAAGTCTCTAGGATAGACAAAGACTCCTGAATTGGGCATCAATTCGATCATCTAAAAATAAATATAAATGAAGATTAGAACTAAAAATTTAGATCATCTCATCATGTTTACAAGGATGTATGTTAACAGAAATCAGGAATTGTCTGCAGTTAAATTTTGAAAATTATCAGGAACCCCCTCCCCGCCAAATTCTGAAAACAAATGTGTTCTGATGCAATTTTGACCCCTTGCTATGGTTGAGGTAAACACAATATTAAGGGAATTTGGGACAAAAGATCACATGATACAGATAAACTTTCCCATAGTTTCTGGTATAAATACAAGTGCCAAACCTGATTTAATTTAATTTAATGTTTTTATTTGACAATAGCACTCCTATATGTCATTTACTACTCCCCAAAACAGAGACAAAAATTAAAAATTACTTATAACTATTAAATAGTCAAATGCATTTTACTTACTGAACTTCGTTCTGCAATTTCTTTTGGCACAAGACCAGCTCTTGGAAGCCCATCACTCTGGGTCCTCAATTCAGTTTGGCTACCTGCAAATTGAAATAAAACAGTGTAGAGTGAATGTACATTCTTACAAATGCATTTCACTGTATGTTTCATAAGGTACTAATGTTCAAATCATACTGATGATTGTATCACTTAACCTCTTACTGTGTTCTATAATATAAATGTTAAGAAAATATCACTTGAAAAAACCTTGAGGTGTTTCAGAATTTTTTATTCTTCTTAGCCATGGAAATACAATTGTATCAAATAATTGTAATTCTGAAAGAATCACTATACCTGCTTGATTCTGCTTTACTGTTGCCAGTTCTTCTTTCAGTGCCTCTAATTGTCTCTTTAATTCTGCCACTTCTTTTTCTTTTGCCTCAAGTGCAGCCTTGTAATTGTTAACATCTACGTCATCTGTCACCTGTGATTCAATGAATAAATTTACTGGCAACCCAAAATATGCATTTTTCCTTGAATTAACATCAAGATGAAATAAGTTCTGTAGACAATTGAGTTTTATATAATGTTATTAAATCTTTTGCCTTGATTAAACATTTTTCTAAATAAACTTGTACTGCACATAATTAAAAGTGTAATCATTACCTCATCAGCTTGAATTTCTTCTGCATCATCAGTGTTCCTCAGGAAGTTTTCTAAAATCTCGTCCCCCTCTGACACCGCTGACGGCATTCCAGGGATAGCCTGCAAGTGAAACAAGAAACTGTCTGAGACCTTTGAAATTTAAAAAAATTTAGAAATAAGAAAAAAAAGAATAAATTTTCCAGCTTGTGAGGTAAAAAGAGACAATGTGCTTTCTACTGCTCTCATTTAAGGATATACTTCTTATGAGCATCAAACTGTATTAACATTTTTTGCTGACAATCTGTGTAACTCACTCTGATTTTATTTGATTAAGGTATATGATAAGAAAGTTCTTTCTTAGGTGTACTAAATGATGGATGAAGAATTTTTACATAAGCAATAAAGGCCTCCCAAATTAGTTATGTATAGTAGTAATTAACAGACAAATAAAGTTGTCTAGTCATCAATTGCCAAACTTTAATTTATAATTTTGAAAATTACCTCAACAAGAGAAGAAAACTCTGTTGACTGTTTGCCTGCCTGCCTATTAGATGACTTGGAACTGTACGCAGGCTGTGGGGCAACTGGACCAGGTGCTGGCTGTGGGGCAACAGGACCAGGCGCTGACTGGGAACTGAACGTCGGCTGTGGGGCAACAGGACCAGGCGCTGAGTGGGAACTGTACTCCGGCTGTGGGGCAACAGGACCAGGCGCTGACTGGAAACTGTACGCTGGCTGTGGGGCAACAGGACAAGGCGCTGACTGGGAAGTATATGCTGGCTGTTGGGCAACAGGAGTCGGTACTGGTTGATATGGCTGCTCTTGCATCTGGTTGAACCTCGTGGGGTGAATGGCATAGGGCCTGTGAGGCGTATCAGTGATCGGTGTTGAATGATGCATTGGTGGGTAAGGTAGTAGCTGAGTGTGGTACACATTCTCTGATGACTGGGAGTTGATTGGCTGAAGTGGATAGTGTTGCTGCCTTGGATAAAGTGTTTGTTGATTTGGGTTCTGCTGCTGTTGTGTCTGGGTGTTGTTTGGTGGCTGATGCACTGAGATGGGATGTTGGGGCAGCTGGGGAATTGGTGTCATCTGTCTGGTGTTCTGCTGCCCTGCTACATGGCTGCTTGGAGTTGTTGGCTGTACTTGTGTCTGTAAAAAATTACATTATTAACTTTCAGTTTAAGTTGACCACTTTCTACATAGGATAGTGTTAAAACCCCATTCTCTTATTTCAATCTACACAGCACAGTTAAGGTTACAAATAGGAGGTGGAGATTTATTTGTATGTGAAAACTTGACTATGACATCACAGGGTTCTCCACATTTGAAAATTTAACCATGGAGGAAGATTGGTGAAGACAAAATGTGACCGAAAAAAACATGAATGCGCGTTAGACTTCCTAATCTTCATTAATCAATGACTGGTTTTACAATTTGTAAACTTAACCATTGCAACACAAAACAATGGAATAACTATCTCTGTTTATAAAGTTAAAAAAAATAATAATTAAAATTAAAAAGGATTTCTCCTGTATTTTACCTCACAAATGTACTAGAATTTGCCCAAAACTGTAGTAACCTTCTGGAGGAATTAAAAAAAATTGTTGATACATTAAGCAGGGCAATATTATTCAGAAATTAATAATTGTAAGAATTGTTGTAGCCTGTTGTAGTATGAAATGTTTTGTTTAAATATGACTAAAACTGATGAATGGTTACTTATTTTTTTTATTAAACACACAAAGGAACAATTGGATAAGTGTCATTTTTTCTAAGCATTCTATTTTTCCATGATAATGCGTTTTTCACCAAGTTTTGTTTACTTCTCCACGTTCCCCAGTGCTGAAAATAGCGCCACGCGACGTCTCATAACAACAGGAAGTAACTCTAAAAATAAGACGGCGATTGACACTTCGGTCCTATGCACATTTTATCAAAAACGATAATAAAGTTAAAGCTTAAAAAACATAGCATCGGAAAATAAATGCAGAGGAATATGAATTTTTACAGAGTATTTTTGGGTGAATATCAACAAGATTGCCGACGTTAAAAAAACTATTTAGTTTCGACTGCCCTGGCTCGGATGCGTGTCGACTACGAGCCATCGTTACTGTGTCTTTGAATTCTTGAAAATCTATTAATTATTATGAAGTGAACTGAACACAGTTAGAATTCAACAAAAGAACATGTAATACAAAAATACAGAGGCCCGTTAACAGTAGTTTATATAGTAGATAACTACTCATACTGTTGAAACAGCTGGCCGACCGACCTTCATTTATTAAATTATAAATTCATTTATTCTCATGCTCCACCGCACATTCGCAGCTGTTCGACCGTGGGTAATTAGCACTATTACCTGTCCCCGTGCGCTTGGGGGGCTTCACACCACGTTGTTTAAACACAATTAACTACTTGGATAGTATATTGCAGGTGTCATCTCTGAAAATGCAAGTTTTAAATTCTAAAATTTAACCATGGCGGGCGTGGATTTTTAACCGTGGCGCAGCAAATTTAACCATGGCGCACACCAATTTAACCATGGCGCACCTCCATGGTAAAACCCCTTGTGGAGAACCCTGACATCATACACAATATATGTCAAACAACATTCTTTAAAATACCACATAATGAGTTTATATGCTAATTTAACCAAAAAGGAAATCATCAAACTACATAAAACTTACTACAACATGTTTTTTTATCGTTAGTTAAATCCCACATAACAAGTTATATAAACAAGTCAGTGATTGCAATATGCTTGTCAATATGATGTCATTTCTTACAATGTGACATAGTTGATATGCAGTGAAAGACAGATCTAGTATTATTTTCTCTACTTGAAAAATTGCCTAATCGTACCCAAGGTTGACCTAGATATTTTTATGATCAATATGTATACCAAATTTCATTGCAGTATGTACATCCAATGCAAAAAAATTGGATGAAAACTGTTGGTTAATAGAAAGACAGACTGCAGCAAAGAAATATGCCCTTCCTCCTTCAAATATCTTTATTTGTTTTCATCAAAAATCTTGAAACCTTAATGAAATTAGTATTCGATGAGGAAAAATTCCTACCTCCTGTCTAAATGCATCCAGATTTTGTAGGAAATCAGCATTCCTCTTGAGAGCAAGTTCTTTCTTCTTCTTGTTTTCGTCTTTCTTCTTCTTGTTTTCCTCTTTCTTCTTTTCCTGTTCTGCTTTGTTTTCTATTAAAAAAAACAAGACTGTTATAAAAGCATATGATTATGATAATCAAGAAATTACTCTATGAAGTCTAAAAATAGTTTGCTTTTAAATAAAGAAGGAGACTTTAAAAAAAAAAAAATAAATTTCCGATCTTATTGTGTTTAAAAATAATTTCTATGCTATAGAATTACAATAGGATTTTTTTATTTTTGCTTTTCCATTGTGCAATTGAAAATTTCAACCTCACCTTTGTTTGCTTGCTTTCTGGCTTTTTTTGATGCGTCATCTTTAGTCAGTGTGCTTCTCTTTCCTTTTCTTGACACAGTCTTGTCTAGAAAAAAATTTAATCTCTTTAGCATTTTTCAAATTGTTCTTTATTTTCATAGTCATGTGAAGACCATAGAACTTTCATCAGCAAGATCTTAAATACACAGCTTAATATGTCATTATACCCCCCCCCCCCCCCCCCCCCCGCAAACGAAGTTTAGGGGGGGGGTATATTGGAATAACCATGTCCGTCTGTCTGTCTGCAGACAAGATTTTGTCCGGACCATTACTCAGAAACTATTGGAAGGATTTGTCTGAAAATTTGTAAACATATTATTCACCATATGGAGTTGTGCACCTGATATTTTCATCTTGATTGGATCATTATTTTGAATTTGACAGGTGTTTTTTCATTTTTATTTCGTGGTTTTGTCTGGACCGTTTCTCAGAAACTATTGCAAGGATTAATCTGAAATTTTGTACACTTACTATTCACCACATGAAGGTGTGCACCTGGAATTTTTAACTCGTTTTGTTAATTTTTTTGCATTTTACAGGTTTTATTTTTTATTTTAATTGACTTGACGTTCATTTTGGGTTCATTTATAAGGTTTGAGATATAGAATCTAGAATATATGTTCAAAAATACTACAGCTTAAAACTAGTCACTACTCATAAAAACTTAAAAGGGAATAAGGCACAAGAATTAAAGATTTCTCTTCTCTTATTCTCTTAATTGTACAGTAATTTATTGTCTGTCAAAGCACTTGATTACTGGATGACCAGCTCTTTATTTTCAAAATGCATTTCAAATTGATATATCAAGATTAATTTGATTTTGTATAATGTTTTTTTTTTTCAACAATCAGTTTGCAGAGTGACCTAACACATAATTGCAATATATTTTTTTTTAACCAGAAATAAAAAAAAAATGAAATGAAAAAATTAAAACATAATGTTACAATGGAATTACAATGAATTAGTTTTGATGTTTCATTTGGTTGCACTTTTGTTTCATTCATTAAGAAACATGATGAGCTATTGTATTTCACTGCAAATTTTTGTAAGTACATTGTGAACACCTTTAGATCCATAAAGTATTTTTGAATTGGCACCTTCTCTGAAAAACCCAGTGGGGGGTATTTGTCCCTATTGGACAGTTCTAGTTTTCATCAGTTTAAGTGACAAGACACCCATAGGCCACATCGCTAACCTAGGCATATTGGCTAGGAACCCCCTCCCCCCGAAATTAAGTCAATATTAAAAAGTTAACAGGGGAGGGGGGGATATTTTTTTACATCATTGTTTCCATTTTGATATAATAGGTTTTGCTGTTCTTGAGCAGCAGATTACTTTTTTATTTAATATTCATTTTGAGAAGTTGATCCCCAACCGTAGCCCAGCAGACATACCTACCCCGTGGGTGCCCTCATTTGAGTTGATTTGATTTTACACTACCTGCGGATGCCGCAATATCAATATGATTGATCAAGATTTTTTTTTCTGGAGAAAAACATTTTTTTTCATATATTTCTGTGTAAAATTTTAATCCCCCATTATGGTCAATCCTATCCCCCGGGGTTAAAACTTGAACCTTGAATCTATAGTATCTGAGGATGCTTCCATTTAAATATGATTAGTAATGGCCTTGTTGTTCTTGAATTTGAACAGTAATAGAGATTCTGTGAAAGTTTCATTAAATTTAATTCAGTATTTTAAGAGGAGTAGTGGATAAGAGATAAAGTGTAACAGACGGATGGATGTACAGACGGATGGAAATACCAATCACTATACACCATGTACACCCTCCCATTTTCCAAGCAGGGGTATAATTAACTGGGTGTTTATAATAATGGTAGCATAAAACCACAAATGTTATCAGAAAAGTTCACTTGAGCATTCAGCTCAGGTGAGCTTAATGAAATTGATAAACAATATTGTGAACAGGTAAATTTGACATGCATTTGGTATATACAAATGAACTTCTAGCTGTATTCCTTATTTAGTGCATTTTGTCTGCACCAAATCTGCACCAAATTGGCAAAAGTATAAATATGAAACAGTGATAAAACCAGGGGCTTAAATTTTACAAATATGTTATTTTGCTTTCTGTGTCATTTTTCAAAACATTCTATTTTTCTACATATTAAAATGCACTTCTGCTTAGTTTCCTTCATTGTGCTCCAGTGCTATTGCTAAAGATAGGTCCAAGCAATGTTTGACAGAAAGAACTATAATCGGTATATTGCATATCTTTGCCTCCACAAATATTAAATTTTGAAAAACTCTTATAATATGTTGTATTTTATATATTGTATGAAAAATGTAAATTAACAAAACATATTATAGTTTCAGAGTAGCTTATTGACAATTTTTTTTTTATTTTTAGCTCAACTGAGCCAAAGGCTCAAGTAAGCTTTTCTGATCACATTGAAATACAAGGGAAAATTCTTTAAAAATCTCCTTCTTAAGAATAAAAAGCCATAATTGCTCATATTTATATGGAAGCATCCACAGGTAGTGTAGATTCAAGTTTGTTCAAATCATTACCCCCGGGGGTTGGGGGGCCGCAATGGCTGACCAAAGTTTGACATAGAAATATTTAGGAAAATTCTGTAAAATCTTTTTCTCAATAATGACAAAGCCATAATTACTGATAATTATTTGGAAGCATCCCAGGTAGTGTAGATTCAAGTTTGTTCAAATTATGACCCCAGGATAGGATGGGAACAAACGTATGGATATAAACTTTTCAATAGTAAACCAATTTCTACTTTTCCTAGCCATGATGTTCAGGTGAGTGATGTGACCCATGGGCCTCTTGTATGACGTCACCAATTCTTGGGATTTTACATTATTTTTCAGATATACATATATTTATTTTCAAATCTCAAAATCTTATTTCTGCTTTTGATAAAAAGTTGATTTAAGTTTCTTACCAGGAGGAGGAGCTGTGGTGTTGTTATTATCATCTGTGGGCTGATTTGGCTGCTGTCCATTTTCACCTGAAATAAATAAATACTCTTCATAGAAAGAAGTTTACTTAAATTTGTATGTAAGGTTTTCACTATGATAATGCTCATTTGAATCCCTGGGCTGGCCTTATTCCCATTAACATAAAATGAGCTCACCTTTGATCTTAATATACAGGCACTTGTTTCGATAATAATTTTTTAACCTATAGCATAATAATAACACAAGGTATATAACTCGTTGGGTCTGTGGCTTGGGCTGTTCAAACTGGGAAAATAATCGCTATTTTGGGAAAATTTGGAAAACCAACATTTATTAAAATATTTTGATTTTCTAGCATTTTGTCATAAATTTAGTTCTGGTTTTGAATAAATTTAAACAGTTCAAACATGTGTAGGTATGCTATATTTGTAAGTACATTAGCTTTACTCATGAGTGTTGGAATTGCAATTATTTGTGTTGAGTGGCAGTCGCTAGTCACATAATCCTGAATTTCTTCTATCACGTGGTCATCGTTGCTTACAAAAAATTGGTGCAAGACTGACTCATTTATATGTTTGTAGGTGCTGCTCACTTATGTTAAAATGAAATGTCTATTTTCAGCACCAATATGAAGTTTTGTTTCAATTGCGTGACCAAAATGAAAATACTTAAACTTCTGTAATTAACAATAACTTGGTGGTTTCCATTTACTAATCTTTACTATTTATATGTCAAGTTTAAAAAAATGTATCAGGCTATCAAAATTTGCATCTAGAAACATAAAAGTTACAGTATCTATCTCCATCAACCCTCATAGTATGCTTATTAATCACTGTCCAGTAAAAAAATTTCTTTTCAAATAAAAAAAATTAAATAATCATAGGGTCATGTACTTCTCTATTGAATTGAATACAATTTAGAAAAAGTTTTAAATTTTCTCAACAAAAAAAGAGGGTATGTCTTTTAACCACAATGAACCACAAGGAACCACAATGAACCACAATGAAACCACAATGAAACCACAATGAACCACAATGAAACCACAAGGAACCACAATGAAACCATTCCACCTATTCCCACATAAAATTTTCCTACCTGAATTTCAGAAAGTAGGAATAGGTAGAATGGACCCACTTATTTTATTATTTATATGCATATCTATATATAATCATAAATCTAATATCTTCCCTGTAATCTGTTTTCAGATGGTCCATTCAGATCTTAAAGGTATCTTATACTGTAGATCACTTAATTTTCGTGACACCTTATTTTCACGAGATAGTCATTGACTCTTTATTAGCTAGACAAAATTTTCACGAATTGTGGTTATTGTTCTATATAAACTTAAGGAGTTCTATTTTACGCGAGAATGAAATTTTCGCGTAATTATGCGAAAATAAAGTTCTCGTGAATAAAATATGATTCACAGTATTTATGTATTTCAAATTAAATCAATACACAATTTACAATTATTATAATTTTTTTACTCTTAAAATATTCATTACAGTACTTATTTTAATAATATGCAAAATTAAAGCAGCAGTGTATTATAAAAAAAATGATGGTATACATTTACAACACAAGAGCGAAGCCTCTTGTTTCTTATAATGCTTTCACCTACACAATTGTAAAAATTTTTGAAGCATAATCCATTCATTGTTACCCTGAAAAAGATCCATGGAATGACCAACTTGATATTTATGTAATAAAAACAAGATAAAGAGATAATTTAATCCCCAAAACCTTCAAGGAATGAAATGATCATTGATTGACTAATAGTTAGTCTGCATGGCTATAATTTGTAACCACTCCATAAAATTATTTCATTTTATCATATATGCTCATCTATTACTCATCATAAAGTTGATTTGAACATTCTGAACAAAAATACTTATAGAATGTACAGCATTCCTTGTCCATGTAAGTAAGCCCTCAATACTCTGAATTCAAAAGATCGAGATAATTTCCTTTATTTAGTGCAACTACTGTTAGAGTTTTTAAAAAGTTAATATAATAATCTAATTCGACCTATCTAATACCTCATTTCCAGATTCCTTAATATTTTTAACTTAAATTTTACATGTTTTGTAGTAGACTTAAAGCATCTTATAAGCATGCCAAAATTTTGACAGCTTGATGCCCACGAGTAAGGAAATTGATTTTTAATATTGCATTAATTTTGAGGGTTTTGGTCCAACACCTCATGCCCTGTGGTTAAGAGATTTTGAAATCCAAAAGTTTTACTCCCCTTTACCTAAGGATGCTTTGTACCCTGCCATAATTGGTTGAAATTGGATACGCTGTTCAAGAAAAGGAGCTTAAATGGTTCAAAAGAATAGGAAACAGACGGACAAGAAGCACAATGTCGGACAATAACAGATAGAAATAGGTCACCATTGTGACTCAGATGACTAAAAATTGCATATAAACCATATATAGATTCATTAAAATTAAATTAAGATGTCCTTGTGGTTTCATTGTGGTTCATTGTGGTTTCATTGTGGTTCCTTGTGGTTTCATTGTGGTTCATTGTGGTTCATTGTGGTTAAAAGACATACCCAAAAAAGAAATGCATATTGTTTTACTCGTCAAAGAAATTCTTAGAATGTACATGAAACAGTTATTTTTTATATCAATGGATACCTGTGACCTATTTAAAGGAAACATGGGGTTTTAAATCTAAGTGTTGAATTATCTCCCTTGATTAAACATGTTTATGAAAGTAGTGTTTTTCATGATTTCTTCTAAATCAGTTGTCTATTTTCATTGATATTTTGGATTTAGAGAAACTTTTCTCACTTCTATTAAACCCATATTTAACATTTGATTGTACTGTTGATACTACAATGCCACGCCCAAACAAAGATGAATATGACCAGGCTAACGATGATACTAAATTGAGCTACGCAACAGGAAGTTGCAACTGTATTTGAAATAAATCAAAGGGCTTTGCAACCTCAAAACTAACGTCTGAAGCCCACTATCATGCCATCTGCATGTTACCACAACCAGACTGCACCGTCAGACACCCCACCCCTTCATCACCTCATGCGATTTAGAACTTGCTGTAAAGCTGCTGCTATAATTGCTGGATGAAAAAATCTGCATAAAAATGCATTAATTGTTCGCAAGAGACTGAAATGAGATGGTATTCCTCCACAATATCTGTACATTTGAAATCCACTAGCATTGAGACTTTGCATAGTTCATATTGTTATGCCCCTTGAATTTTGGGGCACTGAAAATGACATCAACTTGACTTTTCAATTTGCAATATTAATTTTTATCACAACACACTCTAAAATCGCTTAAATAATATTAGGTTTAACCTGAAAACTAAGAATTTCATATTATTCTGATTATGCGTTTCTTTTTTTTTTTTTTTTTAGTATATATTGTTTATATATTCATAGTTTTGTTTGTTTGTAGTTTGTACATCAGTACACTTCGTTCATAAAGTTTTCGTTTTTATTTTCCCATGCATGGTCTCTTTAAACAAAACAATGATTGTGAAATGCATTTTAAAAAGGCGTTCTAGAAATCTTTCCCAAATATTCTTAGTTTTGTTTGTTTGTAGTTTGTACATCAGTAGATTCCTTAATAACGTTTTCATTTTTAATTGCCCATGGTCCTTTAAAACAAAACGATGATTGTGTAATGTATTTTTAAAAAAGTGTTCTAGAAATCGTTCCTAGTATGGGGTCATGTCCTCATCTTATTAATTTAGACATTCGCAAAGTTTTTCCACATTACCTTATCTGTACCAAGCACATTGGGTATTCCTATACCGGAAAGTAACCTTTTTTGTTTGTTTGGTTGTTTTTTTTTTTTACATATTGAACCCGATGTGAATCGAACCCGAGTTGAATTTACCACTGCCAATATTACAGAGAACGTTTCAATTTTTTCTCAAAGAAATTGGCGTGTAATTACCATTAAGATATAATAGTGTCCATTAAAAATACAAATTTAGAAATAAAACTGCAGTTTATTTATCGGCAATGGTATCTAAGAGTAACAAACAAGAGAAATACATACCAAGTGACTGGTTTTTGGCTGCGATGTACTCTTCTGCTAACCTCTCTAATTCCTTCTTCCCAGCCAAAGATGAATCTAAAATAAGCAAGAAACAGATTTAAAAAAAAAAAACGTCTTAATATTCGCTTTAGTAAACTTTATTAAATTTTTTTCGTACATATCACCGTTATGAAAAAGAAAGGGGGGTTAACTTAATTGACAAACGTATTATAACTTAATTTACTTTCGAATTCGTATAGGCCCTATTTCATTTTTTTTTTTATTTAAAGCTCTGGTATTTTAAAGAATCTTTGTCCTATTATTTCTGCAATACAAGTTTAAAATTTGATGCCCTGAAAAATTCGCTCGTTGGACGTCCAATATGGCGGCCATTTTGGTCAATATCATAGCGGCCATTTTTTTCCAATATGGCGACCATTTGGAATTAACTCTTGCTAAAAATCCGGCTCAGCGAAAACATTATTACACCATATGCACAAAAACGAAATAGATTTATACATTTATATAATTACAGCAAAACAGTAATAATATCTATGCCAGATTCTTGTTCCGATACATATGATATGTGGTGTAACACAGACATGACAATAACATGAACTGAAGTGGTCGAGGTACAGCATTCATTACTTTTACTATTTGAACCTGAAGCTCAATAAATTCCACATCAATTGTTTGCTTCTTGCAATCATTTAAAATAAACATTGAAATAAAACTTAATTGAAGTCCTACCTTTGATCGCCAGTAGCTTGGCATTGTGCACCCCGGGGAAACCGTGGCAGCTGGCTTTCACAACATCGCCGACTTGATACTGGTCGAAATCTTTTCGCGGTTCTTTCACTCTGGACAAACTGATGGTGCTGCATTTGTCCTCATCGGTCCACTCCACAAGCGCAAACATGGTGATGATTAGGTTAATGGGATTCAAAGTAGCCTTTCACCTTTCACCCTTCTTCTTGACCCAAGCTTTGGAACTAATTAGCTTATCCAATCAGATCGAGTCATTTGAATTTTTTAAAATTCAGCCAATCAGCAAAGAGTCGGAAGTCACGGAATTTACCGACAAGTTTTGAAAAAAAACTAATAATTAAATAAACCGTTTATATCAATTAGTATAATCGATTATATTATTGAAAACTTCTATCACAGATAATTAGTTGGAATAAAATATTGAAAATCAAAGGATTTCTCAAAAACGGAATTACACGAACTCAGAACTTCCGGTCAAAACAAAGGCGCCAGATTGAATTTGAACTCGACAAGATGAATCCAAGTAAACGCGGTCGTTATAAGATTTATCACGCTGATAAGTCTTCCCCTATACCCAAAGTATCGCTTTGGCGTATGAGCAGAGAAGATTCACCAGCCGATGAGTGCAGCAATGATGACCAGCTCATGACAGAGATAGACCCCGTTGATGTGATCGACAACTTTCACAGACAAGCTTTAGAACCAGTAAGTGTTTAGCTCTTGTTTGTCTAATGATAAAATGTAAAATATTTCGTCTTTTGTCAGTCTGATTTTGCACAATGAAAGACGTATTTATTGCCATTCCATGTGACTTGGTTTTAGTCAGGACCTATATATACTATAGTATATAGGTCACTGCATGGTTTTAATTAAGATCCCCTTTAATTATATAGGACTTTTTTTGTTCATTTCCTGATCACAAAAAGTTGGACGGGAAACCAACCTTTCAATGATCATTTTTTACAGTATAAGTCAGTTTTGGGAAAAAAGTGGGGGGGGGGGGGGTCCCTTTTGCTACATGCCTGGACTATACATTGTATAGTACGACTGTAGGTTAATACGTATAGTTCCTCTACTCCTCAAGAATTACCTCCAACCTGATCCCACAAGAATCATGCCTTTCAGAAAATTTAAGTTTTGAAAACAGAAAACTATAATTATAATATACATGTATACATCATACAGAATAGAAATGATCAGGATGAAAATTTTGTCTTCTTCAGTACTTGCATTGAAATATTACTCTCCTATATTTTGATCTATGTCTTGAATCCTAGTGGGGAAAATGGTAAAATGAATTATATAACAAAGCTATGCCAATGAATACATGTTATAAACTCCAAAAACTTGACAAAACGTCGTATGTGGTTTTCCGGAACTATTATGATAGCCGGTCAACATTTCCCTCTTTATCATTTACATCTCTTAAACGCTTTATGAAAAGGAAGTTTACACGAAGCGCATAATTAACCGTGACAATTCAAAATGGCGATTTATGAAACTTCGTATTTTCCTAGGATGTCATACCTTGAACGTCGCTCGGCTTTTGAGGGAACGGAGTTATTTGATAATGGAATTTCAGGAAAAAAGAATATTTTGAACTGTTTTGTAAAATAAATATGAAATGCCAAGATTGACGCAAACATCAGAACGAAGAAGTTGAATATAAGTAATAATATTTATAGTAATACATCTGTCATGTCTGTATATATTTTTTAGTTATTAAAAGCTTGTGTATAAAAGTGTATGTTAGCACCATTTGTTATGCATTGCTAGCATCAGCTAGACATATAACTGCACTGATATTGTAATTGTATACCAAAATATACTGACAGGTCCAGTACAATCGCTAGATTTAGCTACGTATGGCTTGATTTACCTACCGATTTATTTACCTATCTGAAGTAGCTTTATTTAGCTACCATATCATTCTTATTTCTATAGAAAATTATAAGGATATGCTGAAAATTTTATTTTGATGCAGTGATTATTTTCACATTTGAACTCATATGAATACGCTTTTCATAAAATAATACTCACTTGAAAATCTAATTATTGTAGTTTGTACAGGACCTGACTGGGGTAATCAATGTGTATAAATATATATCATATAAACATTTACTAAATAGACATCAGCTAAGCTGCCAATCTTTTAACATGTAGTTTTGTTGTGGAAGGAGTAAAAATAATATGTTAAAACACACTGTTAGTATTATAATTTATACTGTAATAGTCAATTAAGAAAATTTTGAAAAAATGCACCATTTTGTGTGTGATAAATAATCCCTTTACTCAGTGGATGACACTAGCTTTGTTGTCATCAAGTCAAATTTTTTCTGGCAAAGAACGCAACAGATCTGCAGGTATTACAGATAAGAAAAAAAATTAAACAATTCTCAAAAAATAAACATTCAAATTAAGCAAAATTTTTCATCCCAAATCATTAATTGATATCTAAACCATAAGATTAAACAAATTTTACCCCTGAAATTCACGTCCTCGCACACTGACGTCAAACACAAAGGCAGCAGCACGAGATTTACATGCATATTTGGCCTCCTTAGCGTCAGACACAGAGACAGATGTGCATGAGATTTGCATGCTTATTAGGCCTCCTCTCCTTAGCTGCTGACCTATCGACCTGCCTAATTTACATTCCGGCAGAATTATTGAGAAATCATTTCAGCTTACTTTCAAAGGTCTATTATAGAAAAAAAATTTAGAAATGGAAGTATTAGTATATATAACTATTTCCAAAAGAGAACAATTTGGTTATATATTCTACAGTAAAATGGCACATAAAAAAGGGCCCATTAAGCATTGCTTAAGTGCACTTGTCCTTTCAGATTAAGAGTGGAGTACTTTAATGAACCATCAACTTCTTAACAGAAAATAGTGAGGAGGGCTTCATAAGTTTATAGACAAGCAAATTTTATTTAATGTAAATTGATATATTTAGACTGCTAAAAGACATTTAAGTTACACTAATATCTTAATTTTAGACACTGCCAGAGTCCGATGATTATGCAGACCCAGCCTTTTCAACAACCGAGAGTGAGACCATACAAGACGAGGACTTTGAACAGGAGGAGGATGACGACAGGGATCCAGTTGAACCATGCAATGCAGGTACACTGATTAGATGAGATACTTGTATCTTTAAATAAAAGAACGTCAAGTTAGGATGGTGTCCTGAAAAACATATTCTAAAAATATCCAAAGTAAATATATGCAATATTTCTGAAAACTTAAATGTTAAACAAAAGAAGGAAGGAAGGAAGAAAAGGGCAATATAAGATGATAACTTGTGTAACAGCTTATATGTGAACTGTATAAAAATCAATTATTTTTCCTTTCATCCAAAAAACTCTTCAGAAAAATCATTAAATACAATATGTTTATTCTGTGATGTAAATCTTTCTAGGGGATGAATCTGAAGCAGATCAGCCATTGTACAGCGGTGCAACAATTACTCTTGCTGCCAGTATGATATTGTTGATTTCGTTTGCCATGCGACATTCCCTCACTGGAGAAGCCATCGCTGATCTGTTGGTCCTCTTGGAGCTTCATTGCCTTACGCCGAATTTGTGCAGGACAAACCTGACATCCTTCATGGACTTCTTTCGGAACTTTAAGTCACCCCTTGAGTTTCATCACTATTGTGAGCATTGCTTCCTGTACATGGGGATGGAGAAGGCTGAAGTCTGTCCAAATTGCAACAAGCCACCAAAGAAAAATTCAGCAGCATACTTTCTGGTCATTCCAATCGCTGCACAGTTATCAAAAATGTTTGCAGGTAATTTATTTATCAAATATTTTCAGAATTGCTTACGAACTGATTTTTGGTCTAAATTATTAAAATATCGGCCATTCCCCCATAACAAATATTTGACAATACACATTATGCAATATTACATTTCAAATATTAAACTTGTTTTAAAAAAAGATATGCAAAGTACTGCTTGATTAAAAAAAATAACAAGGTGATATAAAAATGATGTTTGCTTTATGAAGAATTAATCAATATCCAAGCAAAGTAAGATTAAGATCTCTGCTATAATTTTTTGAAATATTTCAGATGGAAGTTTGGTGCAACAGATTTGGGAACACAAGGCTTCTAGACAAGATGATGGAATGCTAAAGGACATATGTGATGGAAAGCTGTACAAAGAAACATTCACGAAAGATGGGTATTTCACCAACAGCACAGCAGAGCACCATGGACAACTGCATATATCCTTCCAGATGAATACGGATGGAGTGTCCTTGTTTCGTTCCTCGTCATTCAGTATTTGGCCGGTTTACCTGGTGATCAACGAGCTCCCACCCCATTTACGGTACGAAACTTTTGGTTATGTAGGTTGGGTAATTTAAATGGAAAATCTTTTTGAACTGAAAATGTTAAATTGATCAAAAAGTCAATTTGATCAACTTAAACAATTCTTAGCATTTCAAATACATGTGCAATGTTTTTGTTGTAGAGTTTTCAGTTTGTATTTGCAAAGGACTCCATATCTTTTCTATGCTTATGAAGATCAATGACCTTGAAGCTCAATGTTTGTCCATAAGGCTTATTCTTATTCATGTTTTTTTTTTATTTATAGGTTTTCCAGACGTAACCGTGTTTTTGCTGGTTTGTGGTTTGGATATTCAAAACCCAACTTCTGCACATTCCTAAGACCATTCGCAGAGAGTTTGCATCAGATTTACAGAACAGGTAGGTTTCTTTCCATTTGTTTTTTAGGACCATTCTGATTTATCAATTTTAAAAAATTTTAAAACCCAAACTCTTAATTTTATAGACAGTGCAGCCTAATTATTCTTATGATGAATCATTTATGGATCAGTTCTAAACACATTTATTGAACTTTAAAAGATAAAATGTATTGTGACCTGATTTGAGGCAATACTCTCACTAAATAGTGATAGGAATTAGGGTAAATTTGACCACTTCATTTTAGAGGCAAGGGTGTCTCAAATAATTATTTTCCCCTTAAAATCAAAATTAGATCTTGGACAAGAATCTCTTGAATATTTTAACATGAACTTTTTTTTCATATTAATACTTATTAAAATGCTCTGTTTATTGATTTCTTTATGTAATTTTTGTAGGTCTCAAGGTGGACAATCTGACCATTAGAGGGATTCTGCTGAATGGTGTTTTTGATGCCCCTGCTAGATGCCTCTTCCAGAATATGGTCCAGTTTAATGGATTCAATGGGTGTCCTTATTGCCTTGTGCCAGGAAAGACCGTGCAGACAAGTGAAAGAGGTCACACCCTGGCTTATCCTTTCAACTTGGACAGTACAACGGGATTTCATGAGCCAAGGACACACGAGTCTTTCACCAGATGTGGAGAAGAAGCGGAGACCAACAAAACCAATGGTGGGAAACAGTCTGCTGTGTCTGGTGTAAAGGGACTTACGTGGTTCAGCTACTTCCCACACTTCAACATCGTAAGGGGAGTAGCCATCGACTACATGCACTGCGTTCTCCTTGGAGTGGTCAAGATGCTGTTGACACTCTGGTTCGACAAGTCCCATCGCAATGAGCCATACAGCATCGCAAGTAGGATTGGTGAAGTGGATAGACGTCTCCTTGCAATCAAGCCACCAAATTTCATCTCCAGGTTCCCTAGGTCTTTGGTTGATGTATCCCATTTTAAGGCTGCAGAGCTCAAGAACTTCCTGCTGTATTACAGTCTGCCATGCCTGTTTGGAATCTTGTCAGAGGATCAGTTTCATCATTTTTCCCTCCTCGTATTTACAACATACAAGCTTCTGCAGGACAAGATTTCATCAAGAGATATTCTCCATTGTCGACAGATGATGTTGGAATTCGTGCTCAACATTCCTGTTCTGTACCACGAGAGGTATTCTACGTCCAACATCCATCTCCTCCTCCACATAGTTGACAAAGTCGAAGATCTTGGTCCTTTGTGGTCTTCTTCGTGCTTTTACTTCGAAGATTTCAATGGACAACTGAGGCGCCTTTTCCATGGAACCCAACATATCCAGTGTCAAATTGCATTTGCTGTTGGTGTGCACCAAAGCCTTCCCCAGCTATCGCAGATGCTCAACCATGGGACCAGTGAGAGGGACCTGTTTCTCCGACTGACCGAAAAAAAGTCCCAGCCTACAAGTGAAAACATTTGTGACAGTGTTTATGTAATTGGAGCCTTCTACAACAGACCCTTCACTCAAGAAGAAGAAAGAGCCCTTACGCTGGCTGTTGGGAACTTTGACTCTGTGTTATTCTTTAAACGTCTATCGAAAGACCATCAAATCCTCCACAGTGCAGAGTACAAAGCCACAACAAGGAGGAACAACACAGTCGTAGGCTATGGAGGAAACTCTTATGGAATTATTCAGACTTTAGTTAAAGTGAAAAGGAACATTGGAGAGGATGCCGCCTATGCATTGATGAGCCCCATGGACAAAGTGAATATTGTTATTGATGGCAGACAGAGATCATCCCCAAACCACATGATTTCCCTGAAACCGTCATTGAATGCTGGACTGGTAGCTGTGTCAGTAGTGGACATCACTGATGTGTGTGTGTATGTTCCTGTCAATGATGAACTTTCTTTCGTGTCCAGTGTTCCAAACCGTGTGGAAAAAGAGTAAAAAATGACACAGTTCCATGCTGCTTCATTGTGTGATTGACTGAACATATGATATTAAATGATTAAAATATTCAAGAAACTGATTATTAAATCATGTTTAATTCCAATATTCATGTTAATAGCCAATATAAAATATTTTGAAACTATTTTTGTTTTATTTTTATTTGAGAGGTAGACTTTTCTTCATTTAATTAGTTAAATTAGATGTTCCCATATATATCAGGTGTATGGAATAATTTGAAGAAATAGGTTTCAATGGCCCTTTTCACAACAAATTAGACAGTTTTTTTTTTTAGTATATTAAGATATTTTATTACTGCATTGTGAAAAATTAGTGAAAATATTAATACAGTCTGATAGAAAATAAAGACTTTAGAAGTGAAGTCTAGATGGAGGAAATTTTAGTCTTCGTTGTAAGATTTTATGTGAAAAAGACCATTGATTGATGGAGACACTTCATTTTCTTTGGTTAAAGAATTGTCTATAAGTTGGACTTTCCTTCCCTTGGTTTTTTAAATGGAGAAATATTTGACTGTCTGTATAACCTTTAATTTCAGGGAGTCATACAAATAACAGAATGAAAAATATTATTATTATTTCTTATTAATAATTCCTTTAATCAGATTTGTCAAAATGCTCTCATTTATTATTCAAAAAAAAGTTTAAGTCCTAAATTGGTACACTTTAGGCACACAGGAAAATGGCAAAGTCTAAAATAGGTACATTTTAGGTACACTGAAAAATTACTAAGTTCAATGTAGCTAGACTGGAAAATGACAAAGTCCAAATTAGGTACATTATAGGTACACTGGAAAATGGCAAAGTCCAAAGTAGGTACATTTTAGGTACACTGAAAAATTACTAAGTTCAATGTAGCTAGACTGGAAAATGACAAAGTCCAAATTAGGTACATTATAGGTACACTGGAAAATGGCAAAGTCCAATGTAGGTACATTGTAGGTACACTGGAAAAAAACTAAGTCCAATGTAGGTACATTGTAGGTACACTGGAATATGACAAAGTCCAAAGCAGGCACATTTTAGGTACACTGAAAAATGGCAAAGTCCAATGTAGGTACATTGTAGGTACACTTGAAAATGACAAAGTTCAATGTAGGTACATTGTAGGCACACTGAAAAAAATATAAGTTCATTATTGGCACAAAATAGGTATGCCTTTTTTGTACCTATAATTATAGGCACAAAATAGGTACTGTTTTGGCACAAAAAAAGTATGCCTATATGTACCTTTTTTTTGTATGGGTACAGCTGATTCTATGAGGTGGTTTCCAGTTTTAGAGACTTGTATCAATTGGGTTGATGGGTTGTGAAGAAAGGGTATAGACTTTTAATTTGTTGATAATTTGTTATTGTAAAATTTGTGGATTTAATGAACATTTAGTCCATGCTAACAACCCTACTGACTCTCAAGTTTACAGAGTACAATAGTACATGTATCTTCATCTCAAATTACCTCCTGGACTGAAGAAATGAGGGTACAATATGAAAAGAGTGGGGAAATGACAGATTTCCTCTACTGTGAATTTCTAACACAAGTCTTTTTTTCTTTTATGTAAGCTTTGTATTCTTGAAAAGCCCAGGATCTTTATTAAAAAATGGAGAAATAAATGTTTTAAAGTTTAATAAAGAGTATTTTTTCCTTAGTCATGAAATTAAATAATGTATATTTATATTTAAGCCTTTAATCCATTTCTCTTGAAATGCTACAGTCACAAACACATGAGAGAGAGACTGATGGAGAGGAGTTTATGTAACAATTAATTCTTGTTTGGAACATTGAAAGTACTGACTATTTTCATTTTCTATTTTCTAGGGACAGACATGCCATTACCAAAATTCACCAGGACAACTGACCAAGGTAATGTAATTGTTACAGAACCTTCAGATGGAACTTGGACAGACAATTTAGTGTTTCATGCCTGAAAAATATTGATATAGTCATTGATTAAATGTCCCAAACCAGAGAAAGGAACTATATTTATTTGTTTTAGTTACGTAACTAGTAAATTGCAGCATTCAAATGTCCAAAGTCAATATACATTGTTTTGAGAAATCATCATGAAAAGACAGAGAATCTGCATGAATCTGTCTTTCTTTACATATAACATAGTGTTTGAGCATAAACAATGATAAATTTGAAAAAAAAGTAAAAAAAGAAAAAAAACATGCTCTGGGATAAAACTATTATAGTATATCATTATGTAATGAAACTTTTTATTTCATTACCAGCTAAAAATAAGATGCGCAAAAGCTAAAAATATGCATGTACATTTTTTTTTATGAATAAAAACAGCTAGTGCATGTATAATTCCATATAACTGATTTAAAGAAACAAGGAGCTTCTAGAAAAATTACTACTTTGCACAATATTTTAAAAATTAAGCTTTTAGAGTCCATGTTAAATTTCAAAATAATTAATTTCTTTAGACTCCACCCAATGAAATTACATAAGATACTTCTCTGAATTACTTTTATTTAACATATGGTTAATGGTTTTCTTTTTTCAGTGTAATTCTTAAAAATAACAGGAAAAGAATGAAAAATTTGTTTGTTGACAGATAAAGATAAAGCCCTATTTTCTTGAATCTGTGTAAGAGCTTGTTTGCGGGGTTTGATCATATGTAGAAGTCACTTCCTTGATCCACACTGGCCTGCTATCTTCTTAAAAGCCTCGGTCAATGGACAAGTAGACTATAAGTATTCACGAGCACATTAAGTACCAAAGAACTCGAGACTATGAATTGTAAATGTAGCCTTGATTTAGCCAAGCTAAGAGATTACACAATTTTACTGTGATAAATGATATAATGCACAAACAGCGGGTAAACAAAGAGAGCAGTTTCAATCAAGGACAGGTGCTTGGTACCTGTGTATGCAGCTCATACTACTGGCCCTTATAGAATCATAAACTATGATTATTTTAAACAATGAAATAAAGTTTTAATCTATATATGGCTCACTGTTTATAGATTTGTCTACTTCAAGAAATAAGTCACAATGAAAATAAATCAATTTCAGAGAAGCTAGGATGTAAATGAAATCAATGTGGGGGGCTAATTATTCCGTTAGTCAGGTGTATGTAACATATTTATCTGACAAAGTTACAATTACTACAACATACATGAATGTGAATTGGAACCCAAGGAGACTTTTTAAAAGTTTTTCAAGTATTGTTTTATATATATACAAAAGCAATGTTTATCTGAATTTTTAAAAATATTTTTATGAAGAATATAAACATTTATGTAGCTTTTGTTTATCTTTGCAGAGAAGAGATTACACAATGCAGTACCAGGTCAAGATGGAGAAAGGTACGACAGAGTCCTGTCTTATAGTATTTCTTTCTCAAAAAGAAAAAAAAATTCTTCACATCCTGTTATCTTTTAAAAACTCTTTTCTATGACTTTATCATTTACAATTAACTCTGTTTGAGGATTTAGCAAACTACTGGGTAGAACCAAAATCAGTTTAATACATATATTTAACATATAATTTGTTTTTACTGTTTACATTTCAATTTTTCATAAATTTGGACTGTCACACCATCATGTCAAAATAAGCAGTTATTCCATTTTTTTTGCATTTTTCCTGCAAACTGTTAAATTTCTCAGTTTTTGAATCCTTAGATATTGTCTTACAAACATTATAAAACTAACAAGACACTGATGGTATGGCACTTGTTGCAGACTGTGAAGAATATTATAAAAGTAATTGAGTGATTCACTTCATTTATTTTGTTTTCAAAATTGATAACCAGTCAGATTTCATTATGGGTGATGTGTGAAAACAATTCCTGAAAGTTTCATTTTTAACAAATTCAGACAAATTAATTGATTAGAAGTCTGCAGTGATATATGGAGGTAGAAGCCTTTCTGTACATGTTAGGAAGGAAAACAATTTTTCACCGTTGATGATGTAATAAGGTTACAATTCTAGCATTTTGTACATTGAGGACTTAGTTTCATGAGTTGTGACTGAAATGTTAAATATTTAAATTATTTTAATTTTTAAGAATATAAACTGAGTTTGAAATGTTTTAAAACATGAAAGTATTTGTCAGGTGCATTGAAGTTTTTACTGAAGCCAATAAAGAAAGGAATTATAATTGACTTATGATATGACTACTGCAGGTGGTATGTGTCAGTTGAATTTTTCAGGATTTTTTCCCCATCCCAAGAGATTAGCCATAAGCATGAAAAGTTTTTAAAGCTTTACTTTATTCAACACTTCTCTTATAAGAAACTAAAATATGAAAAAATACAAACACTGAAAGTAAACAAAAAGTAAACAAACCAACTTTTAAAGATAGTAAAGGCATATATTTTTTGAAATTGTTTTATGAAAAAGAGACAATTTGATTGCTAAATTTCTCACACGCGAATAAAAGTTGGTTTACAGTACCTGTATGGACAGTTTGATTGCTATAAATAACATTTCACTTTAAAGAGTGGATTCTGATATCCAAAGAATAATGTATCATTTACATTAGCCTATTTGTTACATCTCTGTATTGTTCATTTGGATATCTTAATTACTTTCATTGAAGGCTAATATTGGAGTATGGGATCAGCTGTAGTATGTGTTATAGACAAGACAGTAAAGAACAAGTACAATGTATAATGTTTAACTTCTTTGTTACAGACACTCACAACAGACAATTCCAAACCAGCAAGCAGTGGGACAGCTACCACCACCTCCCGCCTCTAAGAAATCCCACATGCGGTCCCAGTCGGGGCAATTCAGAGGAGTGGTGGACCGAGACCAGGGGCCACCCAATCCTCCCGTGATATCACAGACAGGCACCACCCATCAGGTACTGGGTACATTTGGTAATAAATGATATCAGCCACCCATCCATTTTCTTCCTCTCCCCCCCCCCCCCCTTTTTAATTAAAGGAGAGAATGTAGAATAATATTTATGTTAAATTTGAAATCAAATAATTTTTGTGAAAGGTAACTTAATTCTTTCTTGTACAATGAAAAAGAGTGGCCATCTCATATTCCATCTTCAATTCATAGACGTATTTTTTACTATAATAAAGATAACATTTCCTTTCAGGCATTAAACAGTGAGGAGTCAACAAGTGTTACTACATCCCCCAGACAATTTATCTCCCCTCCCCAATCCCCTCCCTCCTCTCCACCAGTCACAAACAACATCCAATCAGCTACCAGCATTCCCTCAGCCAGTCAGAACAGTTTACATGGTCATGTGGCCTCCCCAGTAGCCAATCAAATCCAGGGAGCACAAGTGATGAATTCCTTACAGACAGGTGCTCCTACTGTGATAACAGGAACTGCCCCCACCAACATTCACACAGGACACCACCAACACCACCATAAAATCAGTTCCAACTCCACACATGAACACCTGGAGGGGTGGGCTTCTTTTGAAGAAGATGAACATGCAGGTTTGTATCTGTTTTGGTTGCATCAGTGCTTTACTAAAGTAAGCACTTTATCCCATTTCGTTTTAGGTCCATCTTGACTTTGTATTCCTAAAACAGATAAATGTTTATTATACAATTGTGTATAAAAAAACAACGATATTACAAAAATTTTAATGTGAATGTGTACTAATACCAGATAAGTAGTATAAACAGTGCTAACAACAAATCTTGAATAATTTTTGAATGATAAATAAAGTTTTTATTCTGAAATATTTGTCAACGTAGAAATTTATTAAAAATTGACTTTATACAGACTCCTGCAACTAAAAAAATATCAAGCGACTTGCAGGAGTTGCCTATCCTGTAAGCATATGATAGTACATCCCTGATATTGTACAGTATACCGGCATTTGTATAATATATCATTGCCTTGTAGGTCTGTTAGCCCCAGGATCTAGGAAACCCTATAACTTAGAACCGCCAGGATTTGACTCGTCGTCCATAAGTTCTGATCCGGAGAGTGTGGACGACATATGGAGCATTAATGATGATCAGAAGGAATATTATATAGCACAGTTCAAAACAATGCAGCCAGACCTTAATAAGACTATTACAGGTAAGGTTATTACAGTATACAACTGTTTACTGGCTATGAGGACAATAGCAAGTTTATCGTCCCCCAAGGCAGTAACTATTTCCCGAGAAAAACTTTTTCAGACTATTACTTGTAAGATCTATAAGATAATTGTACTTGGTCATAAGGAAGATTTTTACCTGTAAAATGATTTAAAGACCCTGAACTTACGTAGGATGATACTCTTGTGTTAAAAATTCTCACGTTTAAATATATTCACAATGTCCTCTGAAGTTGGATAATCTTGGATTCCTGTTTTTTGCAGGTGCTGTTGCAAAAGAATTTTTCGAGAAGTCAAAATTACAAGTACATGAATTATCTAAAATATGGTATGTATGTTGAACATTGTGGATAGTTACATGTATTGCAAGTTTAAAATTTATTATTTCTTTGAAAAGTGTTTATTCCTGGGAATTTAGCAGGCAGACTCTTGGTATAGATTAAACATGTCTCTCACCAAAATTACAAAATTTTTATCTTTTTGGTCAAGGAATCAGGTCTTAGGGTGGAGCTAGGTTGTGAACTAGTAATGAACATTTAATAAAGCATTGGAAATTCTTTATGCAGAGATTTCAAGCAGGAAAACTTTACACATGTAGTTGATTTTAAAAAGCAGTTATTCTTACCAGCATGTGAAAATTATGTCCCCTGACTCCATGGTTCATTGACCAGGTTTGGGCTTTGTTAACATCAAAATTCTTTTTTTGATCATGTTTATTTCTGAAGTTTAGCAGGCAGACCGTTTAGCTGATTACAATAAACTGCAAACAGTTACTCCTTTACTAAAATATTGAAACTTCTATGGAATACCATCTTTCCTCGTAGAAAGACTTGCTGACAAAATTATTGATAGTAGTCATTAAATATTAAAACCACATAATTTAGGTCACATGGGTCCAAACTAATTTTATTCCTTTTAACTTAAGACCAAAGGTTCTCTGTTTCAAATGATCTCACCTTTGTTTCTCTGTTATCTCTACTTGGAAACACAAATGATTGTTTTTGTTTGTTTTGTAGGCAGTTGTCTGACTTGAACAGAGATGGAGAGTTATCATTAGATGAATTCTGTATTGCTATGATTGTTTTTGTTTGTTTTGTAGGCAGTTGTCTGACCTGAACAGAGATGGAGAGTTATCATTAGATGAATTCTGTATTGCTATGCATTTAGTGGTCCTAAGGAGACACGATATAGAAATACCAGATAGACTGCCATTTTCTCTGATGCCATATACCTCATTTACAAATGGTAACTACTACATAAAAATTCAATCATTATTAAAACCTATTAATTCACTAATAACGAAATACAAACATATCCTTTATCAATCAGTATTACATGTTACATAAATATGTAACAGATTAGTTCATGTAGCTATTTTACAAACTTTTATTCATTTGGTTATATTTTTAAATTGGAATGATAATATTTTTGCGGGGAAGGGGGTATGCATGCATGGTATTATATGTATCATCATAATTATATTCTTCAGAAATAATTAGAATCATTGCAAACTTTATCAAATAGAGTCTTTACAATTCTTCAAACGTCTTTCCTCACTGTATTCTTTGTCTGATTACATGTGACCTGTCTGTTTTGTAGAGGAACCCTTTGCTGTTGATCATCCGTCAGGGGGTACTCTCAAGAGAGCCACGCCCCCAGACACGCCCCCTTCTCACCCCCAGTCTATAAGTGAGTCCCTGGAGCCTACAGGACAGGACGCCTCCTCGGATACCGCCAGTGATATAGCTTCCCCCAGTGTCAAACCACTCAACTTTGCCTCAATACCAGTGTCAGAGTCGGTGTGTGTTATTTTCAAGTAATATTGACATACAGTCGAATCTTATTATCTGGTTCTCAATAGGACTGAGAAAACAAATGTGATTTAAGGTATCAGGGTTAAAAAACGTTAAGAAAATGTGGAAAATATGGAAAGGACTTCCAGCTTCTTTAGATATATGCATTGTGTTTGAGATATCAGTGTACCAGTTACCAGAGTTAATCTGTACAAATGTATGACTGTATGTTGAAGCAAAATTCAAGAAGAAATCTGAAAAGAAATCTAAAAGGAAATTATTGATATCACTGAATAATTTTTTTAAAGATATATTGAACTTTTAATTTGTGTAAAACATATTATACAAAAAACTTTTTGATATATGAAAAAAATTATAAGATACTTAAAATGACATGATTTAAGAAAATTTCAGGATGATTTATGTGTAAGGAATGATAAACATATTCAAGCTAGAAAACCAAGCAAATTAGTAAATAAATATTGAAAAACAGGGTCCATGTACATGTATTAGTAATTTGTATATGTCATATTAATTTCTGATCTAGATTTTTCTGTGTTTTAGGATAAGATTGTACATCCAATCGCCAAGAGAGTCTCCCCAGACCATCATTCCGAGCGAGGACGGGCATTCTCAGGTACGTCTACTGTCGACATCGTACATATTAAATTGACGTAATACACGGCAGTCTGTTGGAGGGATCTGTGAACAATATGTATAGCATGATCAGTACTTGGCAAAATTTTAATTTTTTTTGTTCTGTTATTAAAATTGATTGTTGAATTTTTTCTAGGCAAAGAAGGTATGGCAGAATTAAATGCATGTCAGTTTCAAAGTTGCTTTGATGCCTTTTATGAACATTAGTTTTGGTATTGCTGGCTACATGAATTAGAAAATATATGTCATAAGAACATATCACAATATTTACAGTAATATTTTATACCTATAAAAAGATTTTTAAAATCAATTTTTTTCCTTAAATATAAAAAAAAATCTTGCAAACTTTTTAAAAAGAATTATTATTTTGGAAAGAATTGCATTTATATTTATACCTATTTGAATCTAAGTCTGTCTGAATAAATAGAATATTTTTATGGGTAGTGCATAGAAAAGAAAAAACCCAAAAAAAACCCTCAATCTTGACTTTAAGTTCATAACCCCAGTCTCGTGATAAACAGGATCTGACCAAAAATTAACTTGAAAAGTAACAATTTTTTAAATTTCAGAAAAAACATTATTACCAGGGTTCTCCCTAAATACTGATCCCTTTTTAGAAAAGTCCTTAAATGATTACTAAAGGCATGTTATAATGGTATGTTATTAAGTAAACTACTTAATGTTTCTTGATGATATATTTGCTAGTGGAATGCTCAGCATGTGTTTTTAGTATAGAGCATGTCTTCACTCTACCAATAAGCATGCATTCTATTAGTGGTTGGTAGCTACTAGCATTAAACCCGTAGTTTTATCCAATAATCTTCCTGTAGTGATTTCATCCACATACTCCTCAGATAAGTTTAATGATATTTTCCAATATACGAAGTAATTAAATTGAAAATAATTTCAGTGGATGAAGTTACCATTTCTTGAAAATTATGCAATTTTTTTGGAATGGAAAAATTATGTCTTTTGGGATTTAGAGTAATGCACCCTTAGTTTCCACACTGAATCTGTTTCCCTGGTTTGTTTCCCTTTGTTTATTGCATGACTTCTTGGTTGTTGTATACAAACCTTGTATGTTTACAGAGCCTGCACCTCCCCATATCGACCAATCAGAATCCAGCAAAAAAAATCTCAAAGCCAAAACTGAATCCAAGCTCAATTCCTCTCAGAATGACATAGATCTCCTAACCAGGGAGGAGGAAGTGTTTACTGGAACTGTCCCTCCCGTTCCACCCCCTGTGTCCAGTCGACCGCGACCGGTACCACCAAAGAGCCTGGGTCCAGGTATAGGAGTTCTGCTAGAGACCAAAGCGTCCATGGAAACCAAGCATGACAAAATCATTCTTCTAAATCTGATGCATGATTTTTTTTTTCTGTGCATCTTGCAATCCAGTTTAGAATGTATTATTTCTTAGATGTTTTATGTGGTTATGTTTTCATTCTGGGATGAATGACTAGATGGAAGTGGTTTATAGACTAACATAAATATTACTATTAATAAACCCAAGAAGGAAGCATCCTATCCACAATCTAAATAAATTTTCATGTAAATATTTTTTTTATGTAGGCTATTTCTCCTCTAAAAAGAAAAACATTCATCTCTAAAGCACATGCAGTACTATAGTATTCAATTTTTGGTGAAGTATGGTATCCATTTAATATCATGTTTTATTAGTATTTTAGATGTATAAATATTAGAGATGTCAACGAGTACCCGGTTAACCGGGTACTCGATCGAACGTCCGAGTATCGAATACTAAAATCGGTACTCGGTTACTCGGATGTATAATTTTGAATAGTTCTAAACTTATTTATTGATGCATTAAACAATCTGTTTTAAAACGTAAAATGCTCATTGCACTTGTACATACAGTAATTAGGGTTTCCTACGACTCTAAATGACCGTTATCGCCTGTGGCAGTGTTTATACAGTAATTATCATGACCAAGCACCTTGGGTACCTGGCTTTTCTCACCTTCGGCTGTCTTCTTCCCTTATTTTTTGTTTGGCTTTATTTATTTGTTTTCACTGAACATCGTTTAAGATCCATTATGTTTAAATAAATTAGATAATTTTGTCATTTCTCCGAGAAGCCGTAAATTCTATTAGGGAAAAGAGCGGATGATATTACACGTGCGATATTACATGCCAATTCAACTGGTTGAAGGCAAAGGCTTTAAAAAAAGTGATGTCCATCATTGCACCAAACTACAAAATACCGTACCGAAATATTATAAAGTCTAGGATCGAAAAAGTGTAAGAAAATCGTTAATCCGCTCTGATAGGAGAACTTGATCAAGTTCAGGTTGATACTGTACGTAGCTCTGCCGACTGATACCTGGACGTCAAACACAACAAAGAGTTACATTACAATTACGTAGCAGATTATTTTTTTTTTAAACAAAAACACTGTGAACAACTTATAATTTTAATTCTTGTGTTTATTTGATAAATAAATTGAATATTAAGTATGATAAATTAAATTTCGTTGGGCACGAAGTGCTCATCAATATTATGACAGAAATACATTCATGGATAGGTCTCCTATCAGTGCATCTGGTTTTATTTCTACAAGAGTTTACAATGTTTTATACTTTTCAATTTACTTGTTCATATTTATTAACACTTTTACCGAGTACCCGGGTACTCGATCGGAAAAACGTCCGAGTAACCGAGTATTAAAAATCGACCGATTTGACATCCCTAATAAATATATTCCAAATCACAGAAATTCAACACTGTGTTTTTTTTGTTTTGAACATATTTTATTGTATAATTTATACAATGGGATTGGTTACAAGTTCTTGCAACTTAAAAAAACCTCTCCCTGTAATATATACAATAATTAAATTAGTGATTGCCAAAATAACAATTTAAGGTGTAAAGTTATACATATACATGATAAATACAAAATATTTCAAGTTAATACAAAATATTTCAAGTTAAGACACTTACTAAAGATTCAGAGTTCTTACAATATGTAGATCTATAATGATACATGTAAATGATTACAATTATAACAGTTATTTGGAAAAAATATTTATGACAATAATGATAATAAATAATAAACATGATCACAAGTAAAATTCTCGCATCATAAACAAACAAAGTTGTACAGATATGATTAAATGACAAAGAAACAGAAGAAGAAAAGCGGATCAAAATACTGTGTACGGGGTTTGAAAAAAAAATTGTCAGATGAAGAACTGAGTTTTGAAAAAATTAAATGCTGTAATTTTGACAAAATATTTAATCCTTCTTATAATTCGGAAAAAGAAAATGATACTCTTCATTATCTGAAATGATTTGAAAGTATTAATGCATAATGCAGATCATGTGAATGTTTAGCATCAACAGAGTTAATAGGTAAAGAATGACCATGTAAATGTTTGTTTTCATCCACTCATCATACAATGTTACTCAAAGGTGAAGCTGTATCTTTAGAATCTACTGAGTGTACCTTGGTTTCACAGTTAAACCAACTATTGTTTTGGCAACTATTTTGAGAATTTGTCAATTTGAAATGCATCTGTTACAAATAAAATTTTGCTAGTGAGGAAACATTCATTTGAATAAACGTCATGCACAATTTAGTAATTAGAGGTGACAGTTTTTTGTAATGAAAAGAAACAGACAGATATTTATCTGTGTGAATTTAAATTTTTTTTCCTTGAGTATTATTTAATAAAGTGACGTGCTTGATTTTGTTTTTTCAGTTCCAGGTAATGTGAGTGGACTCCTACTCCCTGCCCCCACCTCTAGTCACGGTGATAACACAGATGGCGGTGCAGAACAGGAACCACCTGTCCCCCCACCACGACCCCAGGGGAGAAGCTTGTCTATGGATGCTAGCAAAGGTAATCACCACCCCCACCTCCACCCCACCCCCAAACACACACACACATCATGACCCCAGGGGAGAAGTCTGTTTATGGATGCTAGTAAAGGTAATCACCACTCCCACCCTCACCCCCAAACACACTAACCCTCACACCCATCACGACTCAGGGGAGAAGTCTGTCTATGGATGCTAGCAAAGGTTATCACCACTCCCACCCCCATGCCCAAACGGTGTCTTCTAGCTACTCCCACTTTTTAAAAATTTCAATTCCACCTATTCCCACTTGCAAATAACAATAGATGTTTAGATTTACCTGTATTTTGTACATTTTAAGATAGAAAATAATGAATAAATCTATGAGAAAGTATGATTTATGTCAGATTTTTTAAATAATAAAAAGATCTTACAAAAAAAAAAGCAACTTAATACCTAAATTTAAGAATATAGTCAATTATTTGTTTACACAAAATTCCATCTATTCCCACATAAAATCTTACCTTTTTCTACATGATTTTTAAAAAAGTGGGAATAGGTAGAATAAACCGCCCAAACACACACACCTCACACCCATCACGACACAAAGGGAGAAGTATGTCAGTGGATGCTAGCAAAGGTAACCTCTACCCAACTTACACATACATACAAATGCACACACCTACACAATACACTTTCACACAAATCTCAGAGTGGGAAAACAGGAAAGGAATCGTAAAATTTTCTTAAGTGACTGTGCAAATCTTTCATTGGAATACCAGAGCTTTGTTTTTGAATTCTTATATTACTGGTAAGAGATGGTGGAAAATTTTCTTTGAAGGTTTTGTAGAGAAGAAAAGTGTTGTTTTTTCCTAGAAAGAGCTCATTCAGCATTTACCTTATTTAGCAGCAAATACATGTATATATTTATAGACACTTTTCTATATGTACTTATAACAATGCTCCTAATATGACCAACAGGAAATTAAATCTCTGTGGAAAAAAAATTTAGATTCTGTTTCAGGAAATTTAATTTTTATTGTATGCGGAAATACATATACATGTACAATGTAAGTAATTTGATGATCAGCATCTAAGCATGAATAAATCTATTTCATTCCATGGGATGGGGCAAAAAGGATCTAAAAAATTGTCTGGTGAGTGTTTGCTTCATTAAGAGGGATATAGATAAACCATTTCCTGATGACTAAAGTGATCATTTCCTGTAGAGTAAGTGGTCTGTACCGTATAGCAGCTGTGCTATAAACATAGTACTCTATGTTCACTTAATATTCATTGAATGATTTTGATTGATAACTAAAGGTAAGAGGGATGATATTTTTAGTAAAATACACTTATTTAATGATTTATGAACTTTTTCTATATAAGACTAGACATACAGAATATCATATCTGCATTGTTTTAAAAGTTACTACATGTAGTACATGTTTCAAGTAAACAGGAAAAAGACAAATTAGAATATCTTCATGAATAATTCTATGACAGTTTGTTACTTTTGATATCTATAGAGAGCTCAAAGTTTGTGGAATATCTCAACTCTTCACATTTTTCTTCTCTAAAAAAACTAGTGGACAATTTCAATCAAAAATGGCAGAAAGCATCCTTGGGTTGAAGTTAATGAAATTTCTGTTATGTCCATCTTCCAGCTCTTAGTCTGCTCTTCCGTGACACTTTGCATTAAGTTCAGTTTTGAAGAAACTATTCAAGATATTTTTTTTAGTAAATTTTATACATTGATAAATATTGATGAGAGATTTTCAACTGCATCAATATTTCATGAACTTTACCTTTCCTTTGATCTTGACCTTTCTTGTGACCTTGACCTAGCCTTTGACCTTGACCTATCTTTTCATGAATTGGCATTCAGCTTAGTTTCAAAGAAACCATTAAAGATATCCTTATCATACTTTTAAAATATGCTAATACAGTATAATTTGTCCAAACCGGCTACCGCCGGATTGAACAAAATTTGGCCGGTGTTACATTTACAATAATACATCTTTTACTGCTATTTGGAAAAATGCAGGAAAATATTGAAATTTCGTTATTTACAAGAACATCAAATACAAAATAAAATATTATTAATTGATAAAATCAATCAATATTTTGGAGTCTACATATTGCAAAATAGTCTCACATGACTTACTTTATTTTGAATTCTTGTTTGTTCACGAAGTTTGAAAGTCGGGGTGAAATGTTACTGTAACAGTACCTTAATCAAAATCTACAGACACGCATATTATAGGTCTACTATTATAGCAAGCGGTCCGGGTTTCGCTTGTCAAAGAGCTCGTTCAGTGTATAATCATTAACACAATTATTTATGATGTGATAATTATTGGATTGAACTTATAATTTTTATGAAAAAAATTATGTCTTCTCCACAGTGTTATGGCGCCATTTTGAAATGCGTTCAATTTTCGATCCCGATTTATATTTACTTTTAAATCGTGTACATAAATTTTTGTATTTTTATTATGAAATGGTTAAAAGAGTTAAAACAAAGTTAAAAGTATATATATATTATTTAAAACTGTAATTATATATTTTTTTCATCGGGCACCAGTGCATTTCACTGAGTTCGTCTCATGGCACTAATCATGCTAATGTAATCACAGATTATCACATCCACCACGAAAGGTGTTAATTGCTTTGAAGTAACTCAGGTATGGCTGGATTAGAGGAAATAATTATCATTAATTATGAGCCGTTGGGACCAGTATGGCCGTTTGGAATACAGAGTAGACAGTATCCGGACTTCACAGAATTTTTCCTAATGAATTTGTTAAAGAAGTGCATGGGACTAAAATTTATAGACGGAATGGACAAAAATCCGATAACAAATCATGAAATTCATCATATGACAAATTTTACTGTATATACTGATGTAAGCTATTCAACTCAAAAACTTAGACCTTGACCTTTCCTTTTACCATGACCTAAATTTACTTAAATTTGCATTAAGCTCATTTTCAAAGAATCTGTGTATAAGAGAAAAGAAGCTGTTCAACATATTTTCCTCATATTTCATACACACACATTTTCAAGTTGCATTACTAATGAACCCTGGGTGGGAAATTCCTGTCCATATTGATATATATCTATTTTTTCTAGTGAATGGCTAATGAATCCTTGAAAGGGGGAAATGAGCAACAAATAGTAATAAAAATAGTGGGTTTATTTTAAGATGGATAGAAACCTTCCTTATGTAGTGTAAAGTGATCCAGCAGATTTGTTCATGGTCCCTGGAAACAGTTGGTACCAAAATGGTCCCTGGAAACAGGTGGTACCAAAATAGTTTTTTCTTTTTTATATAGCTTTTAGAAGTTTGAGAATCATTTGATGACTTTTGAGTTTTTTTGATTGGAATACTTAAAGAGCTTTTTGTGTATTAATCAGATAAAATGATTCCTTTGTTCTTGACTATGAGCAGATGGCTAATTGATTTTCAATTGAATTTCCTATATACATATAATACCAGTTTAAATAAAAGTATTGTATTTTTCTCAGGTCTTTCGACACCCCCAGCGGTTCCACCCAGGGCATCTCCCAAAGACGTAAGTTATGGTATTTATATGAGTGTGGAATATTTGTGTATTCTAAGATCACAAAGGTCCATTGAGCTTTTCTCATCACAATTTGTTCATTGTCTGTTGTCAGTGGTATGGCCATCTTTATTATAAACATTTTGCATTCTTCTCTGGAACCACTTGGCCAATTTCATCCAAACTTGGCACATTGCATCCTTGGGTAAAAAGAATATTCAAATTTGTTCAAATGAAGGGCCTAAAACTCTTGCAAGTGAGATACTGTAAAGCATCCTTATAGTGAACATGCTTTTTACTGAATTGACACTTATGACAAAATAATTTTCAGTCCCCATGACATCATTTCTGATATGCTACTCTCTTCATAATGAGGAGAGTAGCGTATCAAAAACCCTTGGTTGGCAAAGATGTCCCCATGGGTTTTAAACATAACATGAATTTAACTGATGTAACGAATAATGTTAATAAAGCACAAATGCAAGTTTAAGAGATGATGAATGTTAGGTGGAGTAATTTAAAAATCATCTGAAAAGGTGGCTAGAAAAGATAAAATTTATGTGATTGCCAGAAAAGAGGAACTTATTTGAAGCTTCCTGACTTAGTGTAGACTCAAATTTACATCATGACACTCAGGGAAAGGGTGGAGGCAACAATAGGCAATCTAAGCTTTACATAGGAATACATACGGTATAAAAAACAATTTATATGGCAAGGGGAGAGGTCAGTTCATGATCAAGGACAGTTTTGTGTTATGAACATCACATCAATACAAAATTTTAAACATTGTTTTCTCAGAATGAAATCATATTACAAGGAGTAAATGTAATCAAATTAAGCCCCCCCCCCCCCCATTTTATCATTTTTGTTCATAGGAAAATATTTGTTCATTTAGAGCCCTGCAGCCAGAAAGTCGGGTGAAGTCTCCTTCAGTGCAATAAATTCCAAGTTTCACGAGTTCAAGAGGTTCGAATCCATTCCATCAGAAGAGTCACTCAACAAGATGTCTGGGCTGGATACTACAGATTCTACCAATTACAAGGTTCAATTGTCAATACAATTAAACATGCTTATAATGATGTGCCAGGGAGGGAGAGTTGATTATTTTGTCAGTAATAACAGATAAATGCTTAACTATATTTCCCCCGTCAGTAAAATACTCTTCCTTCCAGATTCTGATTTATTTCATATGCATGTAGATGATAATGCAAAAGTATTTACTGATACTAATCAGGTACATTAGTATTTCACAGTTTATGATTTCTTTTTTTCTAGATTGTAGATGTTCTTCTACCATAATTTGTAGTTGTGAAATGAAATAACATATTTCATGGTTCCTTATCTCTTTTTTAGGGACCTGTGCAAACATCTGGTCCTGAATCTGGAGGTAATGATTTTAGATCACTGGAATTTAATCTTGCTTTTGTACTGATGTCAAATATTTAAAGATTATGAAAACAAAATCTTGCGAGACATAGATAAATTCATATTATTTCCTATATTTTTAGAAAAAAATTATGTCTTCTCCACAGTGTTATGGCGCCATTTTGTAACACGATTATGAAATGGTTTGATTGGTATATTATTTAAAACTGTAATTATATATTTTTTTCATCAAAGTCGGGCTAATGTAATCACAGATTATCACATCCACCACGAAAGGTGTTAATTGCTTTGCACCCGACTTGAGCCGGGTGTAAATAAAACGGTGACGTACAATGCATGCATTCTCAATGATAAAAGCTGACGTCACGATGCATTGCAGTACGTGATGTCAGACACACTATGTTTACAAAGTATTTTTATGGTCACAAAGGAAATAAATGTTCGTTATCCAGGTCCAATACACACACATTTTCAAGTTGCATTACTAATGACCCTTGGCCTTCGGCCTATTTTTTCAGGGTGTATGGAATAAAACCTTCATAAAAATTGGATTTAATATTATCATCTTTATTTTCAGATTCTAATGCTGTAAATGCCAATGCATCAAGGGTAAGGAAAACATTCTTTCATAATTTTTTATTTCTTAGCATTGCTAGAGAAAGCTTGGATATCAAATTTAAGGGGGATAAATCTATGTTTTTATAATTAGTAAAACAAGCCTTAACAGTTCTAACTTTGGTTTTAGGAGTCATCACCTCTAGTCAAGTTTGACGTCCCCGACGATGAAGGCGGGGGTGGGGAGACTCAGGTGTCCCTGGAAATGAAGAGGTAAGTTATGTCTAGGTTATTGTTTTTTCAAAGCAACTACAGAGGTTTATCCTGCAAAGTGCCCAATAAATATGTACGTTTACTTTGTGTCTTAAATAAATCACTCCTCTGACAAAAATTAGTAAAAAAGAAGTCAAATATTCAAACATATTGCAATTACAGTAAAGTGTTATAAAGGGGCATAACGGAATCTCTATCAATCTAGATTTGCAATAAGTAACTTAAAATAATATCAAATGTTCAGGTAGAAGTTTTTAATTATCAAAACAAAACGGAGGGGATATTAAAAAAGACTTTTTCTCTTTCGTAACCAGGCAATTATTGCAATTATGGTCCATTTTACAAAAGGACATAACTGAATATCAATCTAAATTTGCAGTAAGTCAGCAACTGAATCTCTATCAATCTAGATTTGCAATAAGTAACTTAAAATAATATCAAATGTTCAGGTAGAAGTTTTTAATTATCAAAACAAAACGGAGGGGATATTAAAAAAGACTTTTTCTCTTCGTAACCAAATTATTGCAATTATGGTCCATTTTACAAAGGGACATAACTGAATATCAATCTAAATTTGCAGTAAGTCAGCAACTGAATCTCTATCAATCTAGATTTGCAATAAGTTAGTTCTTGTATAACATAGAATAATATCAAATGTTCAGGTAGAAGTTTTTAATTATCAAAACAAAACGGAGGTGATATTAAAAAAGACTTTTTCTCTTTCGTAACCAGGCAATTATTGCAATTATGGTCCATTTTACAAAGGGACATAACAGAATATCAGTCTAAATTTGCAATAAGTCAGTTATGTATGTCTTATTTAAATAAATCACTTCTCTTATTATGTTTATAAACAATATATTTATTCTATGTAGAATTTTTAGGAAAATTTCATTCAAAATACCTTATATCCGTTTTTTAGCTCACCTGAGCCGAAGGCTCAAGTGAGCTTTTCTGATCACATTTTGTCCGTCGTCCGTCTGTCTAGCTGTCCGTCTGTCTGTCCGTCTGTAAACTTTTCACATTTTGTTTTTTCAAGGACCACAAAGGCCAATTTTGACCAAACTTGGTACAAAGCATCCTTGGGTGAAGGGGAATTTAAATTATTGAAATGAAGGGACAAAGTTTTACAAGGGGAATAACTATAGACAAAAATAGGGTTGGGTAAAAAAATCTTCTTCTCAAGAATCACTGGGCCAGGAAAGCTGAAACTCATGTGGAATCATCCTCAGGTAGTGTAGATTCAAATTTGTTCAAGTCATGACCCCCGGTATCCTTGGGTAAAGGGGATGGGGCCAAAATGGGGTCAATCAAAGTTTTATATAGAAATATATAGGAAAAATCTTTAAAAAATCTTCTTCTCAAGAACCACTGGGCCAGGAAAGATGAAACTCATGTGGAATCATCCTCAGGTAGTGTAGATTCAAGTTTGTTCAAATCATGACCCCCGGGGGAAGGGCGGGACCACAATGGGGAATCAAAGTTTTACATAGGAATATATAGGTAAAATCTTTAAAAATCTTCTTCTCAAGAACCACTGGGCCAGTAAAGGAAACTTATGTGGAAGCATCCTGGTAGTGTAGATTCAAGTTTGTTCAAATCATGACCCCCGGGGGTAGGGTGGGGCCACAATGGCTGAATCAAAGTTTTACATAGAAATATATAGGAAAAATATTTAAAAAATCTTCTTCTCCAGAACCACTCGGCCAGGAAAGATGAAATTCATGTGGAGTCATCCTGGTAGTGTAGATTCAACTTTGTTCAAATCATGTACCCCCGGGGGTAGGGTGGGGCCAAATGGCTAATCAAAGTTTTACATAGGAATATATAGGGAAAATCTTTAAAGATTCTTCTTAAGAACCACTGGGCCAGAAAAGCTGAAACTTATGTGGAAGCATTCTGGTATAATATAGATTCTGAATTGTTCAAATAATGACCCCCGGGGGAAGGGTGGGGGCAAAATGGAAAATCAAAGTTTTATATAGAAATATATAGGAAAAATCTTTGAAAATCTTCTTCTCAAGAACCACTGGGCCAGAAAAAGTTAAGCTTATGTGGAAGCATTCTGGGGTAGTGTAAATTCTTTTGTTAAATCATCCCCCGGGGGAAGTGCACCAAATAGGAATCAAAGTTTTACATAGAAATATAAAGGAAAACTTTTTCTTTTCATAACCACTGGCCAATTAAACTGCATATTATGGAATATCATGGGGTAGTGTAGATTACAAAATGTCTAAATTATGACAGTGGGGTATATCAATGTAAATTTGCAATGGTTTTTCAAAGCTTCTCAGGTGAGCGATGTGGCCCATAGGCCTCTTGTTTTCTAGCGTGTTGGAAATTTTGCAAAAAAAGGGTTAGATTTGTAAAGTTTTTATTTTGCATGTTATTTTTTTTTTAAGATTGAAGATTTTTTATTTTAAAATGGTAAAATTATCTTTTTAAATAATCTATGTTTTATATTTTTAAAAATGATTGCAAAAATTTCATTCAACATTGAACTGATTGAAGTGATATAAAATGACTTTTCTCTCTTGTAATTTCAGGCAATTGAGTAGAGACAAAAAAGAACTACAAATGGCAATTAGAACACACAAAGAGAGGAACTCCACATTAGAGAGACTGGGAAGTGAATTGAACCAGGAACTTCAGGAAGTGATGGAACAGCGGATAGCATTAGAGATTCAGTTGGAACACTTAAAGCCTTTCTCTAGCTGAGGACGTGAACGGAGTTATGTTAAAATCTAGTCGACATCGTATGGTGTTCCAGTGATCAAAATCATTCCGCGTGTTCTCTCTAGGAAAAATCCATATTCCCAAAGGATGGTTGATTGGGGCATTTGGGCGGTCACTACATTAAAAGATAATTCTTTTCTTTGTGGTTCGAAAATGTTACAGCCTTCAGATCTCCAGAGCATGGAGAGAATAAGTAGATTTAAATTTCAAAAGAAACAATTGTCTGATTTTAGAAGAAGAAATAATTGTGTTCTTTTTTTGGCATCAATTGCTTTGTAATCTCATACAGTTTTGTTTTGGTTTCCTCTGCCTTTTCACAAAAATTTTAACGAGAGAAAATTTCCTCAATGAAAACCGTGGCAGTTGGGGAAACCCTCATAAGATATGTTACAAGTGCTATATGTTTAACTTCATGAATTTGGTGCATTCTCTTACTACTGATTTAATCTCATTTCAGCAGCATTTCACATTGTAATCTCATCATCCAACTAAGAGAACAAATTCTTTGCTATCAGCGGAGTTTGAAAGTTTTAAAAATGCTTTTTCTTCCATTTTAATATTGAAAGATTTGTCCATATTTATAACTTTCTGCCTCCTTATAACTTTAGCTTAAAAAGATATTTATATATGATATGAGAGCAAAAAAGCAATATTTTATTTTCATTCATCATAGAAATTTACTCTGAATTCATATCTGAATATCAATACTTTTATACCATACATTCATTACTTGCTACATGTTAAATAGCGAGTGCGATGGAATGGTTCCTCCCCTTACCAATACTGCTACGTGTTTAATAGTAAGTATGATGGAATAGTTTATCCTCCATTCCATACGTACATTACTGCTACATGTTTAATAGCGAGTATGGTGGAACGGTTTATCCCCCGTTCTGTACATACATTACTGCTACATGTTTTACGGCTAGCATGACAGAATCGTTCGTTCCCCCCTTACTTTTCCTGATAGCCAAACCCTATCCTTCCGATAACAATGCAATATGTCTGTTCTCTGGGTAGCAGCTGTGTTTGTTATGTGTGTAGAGAGGAGAACACTTTATTTTCCTATATAGTCTCTATGAGAGGACTAGTTAATATCAGATGTCTGGATTCTGTTGCATTATAGGGTAATAGTTTTATTTACAGCATCATTGTTTTATATTAGTCATTAAATGTTGGTCAGACAGTGCAATTCTTCTATTATTTTGATTGATTGGAAGGCGTACAATACATATATATGACATACTCATATGTTATCAGTGATATGATAAATGCTTGAAAAATATTAAAGTTCTTAAAAGGGAAAGGTTCATAATATTGTTTGTTTATTATAAGTTAAGTTGGCATGAATTATAACTAGTCATCTATATACATGTACCACAGATATGCCAATAACTTTAGTATCATATTCAGAGGTGCATTCTTAATGTTATTTATCTATTAGTGATATATAATGTATTTAAACATATTCTGATATACACCTACAAAAATTGTCATTAATTCAGAGTGAGAAAATTTTGTATTAAGATTTTTTTTTTTAATTGCAAAATTATGTGGTCAAAGAGAGATAACTTTGATTTTGAAGAAGACTGCATAGCAAATTATTTTTTTTTTCAATTTTAATAGTGATGCATGCGTGAATACATTCCTATGCTTAAAAGACACTTTGAGTAATTCTGCTTTTTTTTTCCCTAATAAATAAAATTATTCTGTAGTGAAATATGCTTTCTGCAAAGTGCTAGGATGAAAAATTTTGATTCATTATGAACATAATTCTTTATATCAATTATTTGTTTGTTTTGAAATCACTCCCTTTAAGCATGAATTCATTATACATGTTCACTATAACCATGTTTTACTGTATTTGGTTGATGTTTACCATAGTAATTAATTATGATATGAAGATTTTGTCACTGACATAGATTACACACACTGCTGTATATTTTCCGAATCTAAAAATCAAATGTGCGAATTCTAGTAAAGATTGTTAAATGGTACTCTATTTTATTTAAAAACAAAAAAAAAATACATTAATTCAAATCTGTTCAAAGGGAATCCCCTCAGTAGAATTTATTAGGATTGCTGTTAATTAGAAAGCATCTGGTGTATAAATTTCTGGGTTGTGAAGCATGTAAATAAGGCAATTATAACTTATAGAAGGCATTATACTCAGAACATTAGCTTGAGATGTCAGAGAGGGTAAAATACCAAACTCAAATTCAATTTTAGACTGACAACAGATGTTTCAATAATGTTAAACATTATCTCTGGATTTAATCTCATGTAGATATATATTTTTCTTTGCTTTACAAATTCAGTGTGATTGTTTAATTTCTAAAGTGTTTTTGTGGGAGAGGGGATGTTTTTAAAAGTTGACTTTAAAAAAAAAACTTTTGCTTCTATTTGAGACAAAAGCTTGATTTTGTTTTTGTTAAATGATATGCATAGAATTAGCATAATTAAGATATACTGTTTAAAGTTGTTAGGTGATGCTGTAGAAGTAAACTGTGTGATACTTTGTATGAGCCGTTGAATGCTTGTCAAGAGACAATGAGAAATAAGTTACACCTCTGTCTGAATTTTGTCGCCATAATTACTTGTTTCTTTTCGTTTTTTTTTCTAGAGTGTTTATAGATAAGACTGCAGACTGAGTGAATGTTTTAAAATGTATGTAACTTAACATGTAACAAGTTAAATAAAATTATGTAAACATTTACTATAAATATGTTTTCAATGAAAAAACAAGAAAGATTTTTATTAGCTCACCTGAGCTGAAACCTCAAATGAGATTTCGTGGTCAGTCTGTCGGTAAACATTTTCTACCTCTTCTTAAGAACCATTGGACCAATTTCAACCAAACTTGACACAAGCATCCTAAGGTGAAGTGGATTCAAGTTCATTTACATGAAGGGCCTCATATCATCTAAACATGTATTTAGTTTCACATGAAAATCTATTCATAGGGAGAAATATCATCACCAAGCTAGAACTAGGGGCAAATTTTATGAGAATCCAACTCTCTTCAATCTCAAAATATCAAATTCATGCTTTCCAACAGTTTATATATAAAAGATTTTATAACACCTGATTATGGTTTGGGGCGGATCCAGGAATCTTGAAAAGGGGGCCGACCAGTTTGGGGGGGGGGGGGGCAGGGTGGTAATTCTTAATATAGAATTAAGAAGAAAATAAAGAAAAAATGTCAAGTTGTTTACATCATTGACACCCCTCCTATCCAAGCATTAGTGCAACACACAAAATCAAAAAAGACAGTCAAGCAAACAGTTTATAGAGAGAAAGTGAGACATGCAAGCAAGAATTATTTTCCAGCTTATAAGCTTGTCATACCAGTAGAAATATCTGAAGATAATTCTACACTCCATTAATGTGAATATCAGGATCAAATTCCTTTAAATCCTATAAATTCCTAAATGACTTTAAAGGGGTGCACATGCATTATGACGGATTGGTTACCTTAATTATATACATCTAGTAATGCATGATTGTACGTTCTCATCGATTGTTAATGAAATTTTTAAGTCACCACTGCGCAAGAAAGATAAATATCAGTCCAACGAAAGGCAGAATACTTGATATTGGCATGTTTGGGAATTTTGGAATCAGCTGAAGAAATGATGGTAATATTTAAATATTTGCTATTGGGGTAACCATTTATCATTGTTCGTCTTGAAGACACAGTAAGAAGATTAAACCGCGGTCAAAGAGCGTGCGTGGTTACGTGAAAGTACAAAATATTCGAGTCTGTGCAAAGCCAGGCTGTTTCAGTGACTCGGTTATATTGTGTAATTAGGAAGGATTTTTACTCTTCTGTAGGTGAGCATCTTTAAATATTGCACAGTGCGTTTAATGAGGAAGACATTTATAGAAGATCTTTATCACCCTTATTTAAAAAATTGTATATGTAATGAAATTAACTTTACACGTGAAGAAAAATAACAATGACTATTCATTAGTAGTGCACAGTTAAAGAATATACAATTTACTTAAAAAAAAAATCAAAGGCAAAGTTACAAACTTGAAAAGGGGGCCAGGCAAATAAATGTCTCTCCCAGTAAAAAAAAAAGAAAAAAAAAGTGCGACCTGTTCGACAGTGTTTTACTACGAGCAATTACCATGTTTACCATGCAGTTACTACTATATGTACATTAATTACAACTTCGGTTAATTCTTTTGCGGAGGATGAGGATGTTTGGCAAGGAATTTGTATCATTCATTTTGATGAAGTATTTAAGTCTTTTGTCAATTAACCAATGTTTAGGATATTTCAGTATATATTCAATATTTCTATCAAAAAATTAAGAAGGGGTCAAATACACCCCCCACACAAATTTTCCTATAGACAATGGCTATGACCACGTGCTTGACATTTTTAATTGACAATTTTACATACTTTGTAATAATATTCCAATTCGGTCACCTTCTTGATGTAGACTATGAGATTTCTATAAAATCCTTGGTTCTTACATAAAGGTACCCGTCCCCCCTATCTTCCCTAGCCAAGGGTGTCTGTTTTGCTATTATCTCCTCGTTAAGATTTCTATAATATCCTTGGATTGCTCTATTACAATATAATATGTTTATTCACCAAACAAGGGCCCTCAGGGGGCATGAACAAATTATTACAATATGATTACACTGATTTCAATTGAATATTAAAGATGTATAATGTAATATAACTTAAAAAACTAAGTCTGTCATGAAGAAGTGCAATACCACAAGTTGTATCATCATGAAAATGTAGGATTTGTTACATATGAACAGTACAGTCTCACACTGGATCAAGTGTAACAAACCACAGGATGATAATAAAAAAAAATAAATATTGAATAAATAAAAAACATTCTTGTAATAATGACAGTACGATACATTAAGATACTCCCCCCCCCTCCATCTTCGTAAGCCAAGGGTTTCTGGTACGCTACTCTCCTCTTGGAGATTTTTATAATATCCTTGCAAGTCTTGCTTTCTTACTTTAAGGTAAACCCCCCTCCCCCCTCAATCTTTGCTAGTCCAGGATTTCTGATTTCTCCTCATTGAGATTTCTTTTATATCCTTGCTAGTTCTCTTACAGTAAGGTACCCGTCCCCAATCTTCGCAAGTCAATGGGGTTTTTGATACGCTACTCTCCTCATTGAGATTTCTATAATATCCTTGGATTGCTCTCTTACGTTAAGGTTTAACGACCCCCCCCCCCCCCCCCCCCCCCCCCACCCCCACGAAATAGGATTTTCGACTTTGGGCAACTTCCAACTTTTTTTTTTACTTGTCAACTTTTTCAGGTAAATAAAATTTTTTTCTCTGGCTGGACTTTCAAAAACGATGCTACGCGCCTGCGCTACTCTCTTCATTTAAGAGGAGACTAATTAGAGTATCAGAAACCCATGGCTAGCGAAGATGCCGTCCCCCTGTAAACGGCCAGAGTACCACACCTCGAAATTAAAGAACCTGTGTGTTGAATATTTCTAGCCATTTGAAATTCAACCAAATGTACTAGCATATAATGTATCGATTTTCAATCCATGTTATTGAATTACCGCCAATATCTAATGTTTAAATAAGATTTTCTTTGTTACTTCTTACGTACGTTATGCGAGATATTTAATTAACTGGGCCAGATTTATTTACATTTATGCAATGAACTTTTGTTGAGGGTAATTAATACCTACACGAAGATGGAGCCGCTGATAAAGCACGCCAATGATTTACTTGTATGCAGCAAACATTTTACTTCAATTGTTTTACATTTTCTTAAAGTTTTTTGTTCTGTCATGGCAGCCCGTATCACAGTCCTTCAAATCTCTACCCCACAAAACTGTCCCCTATCTAAGATCAGTCAACATGACACGCGGACACGTGTGGCTTGTCACTGCGTGCTAACGTTTAGTTTTTCGATCTCTTGGCAAAGGTTTGACTTCATTAATACACAAACGGACCATTAGACACAAAGCCAGAGTTTTGACACAGGTAAGTTAAGTAGATATTTACACCTGGTATTACTTATAGAAAAACCACTGAAGAACAAGGTGTGTTCTTGTCACCATGCATGGACTTTTACCACATTGAGCAATTGCTTGTCACCTTACTCCTTAGAGTCTATCGTGGTCAAAGGAAACTTACGCGTGAGTACTATTAGATGTTCTTTCAGTGATTCGTATCTTTTAGGGTAAATCAGGTGTGGGTCTATTTTGCCATTTTAGGGTCTTATATTGGACAAAACTTTATTTTGATATGAAAATTCTTCAAGTCATTTACCAGGGACATGGGATCAGTTAATTATGTATAAGTGTTTTTGTCGATTTCATTTTGTACAAAGCTATCTGTTTTGGCATTTGATCATTCTACAAAAATTGTCAGAGACAGTATCATTTCACTGCACAATAGACGTGTGACTATCAATAAATGCATGTTTGTTGCTTGAATATAAAATACCAAAGTTAACGAAACCAAGTATCGTATTGCAAGAAAATATCTGCAATGGCACCAAAGAGACGCCGACCCGTAGTCATGTTAAAAGTAACAGTTACAGGGGTACGTGTACAGCCATCACAATGCTAACCATGTCTTTGTATGTGTGTACCTGGCTTTTCCATTAAATACGTAGCAACGATCCATTCTAGGGGATTTTAAAGGATCTTTCATGTAATAAATGAGTTTTCTAACAAATCACATCCTTATCATTATTTTGGCAAGACTTGTAAGAAAACTAATTTCATTCTTTTATGGGCAATTGAAGAATAGGCATCGTCAACACTGTGAGGCATAAATTGTTTTTTAAACAGGGAGATAGCAACAAAAAATCAGCTGAACGTAAATTTCCTTTTTACTTTAAAACCATTTAACGTTTTTGGTGCACTTTACGACAACCATAAAAATAGACCGAAGGACTGCATAAGACCAAATGTGTGCTAGATGTTCAAGGGGATTCATAATTATACAAAAATGAAAACTCGGTTTGTCGAACTACAACTTTATTTCTTGTTTTACCACTTATGGAACTTTTTCAATACATTCAAAAATCTTTTCAAGTATCTAGAATAAATATGTCAGGCAAAACGGTTTTTAAAAATCGTTTAGAATTTAGCACCAATGATATTTGTTTTTATAATAACTTTTTTATTTGCAATTTTATTTCTCAGAATTGTTTGAGAAGCTCATTCAACATTAAACGCCATTGATTTTGTCCTTATTTGTTTTCTATAAATATTTTACAGTTCAAAATTAATATCTGATATGACAAAATGAAAGCTATATAGACCCTTTGAATAAAGTAAATTTCTTCTATCAATGAAAAGGTGCTATTTGATTTGCATCCAGACATTTACAAACAAGGGGGTTTAAATCCTAACCCTTTAGTTAAGAATTTTCCTACTGAAAAGTAGATACTTGTCGTGTCCCTGAACGCAGGGTATTGATATTAAAAACTTTTCTGTATTCCACCCACATACCTTGTCAAATGTTTGCTGAAAGGAGAAAAATTAACAAAATGCTAAACTGTAGCGACAGTGGTCACCGCCACAATATGTTTATTGCAATAATTTAAATCATCAAGGAATTGCATGCTGGATTGTAAATCTTAGATTGATTGATTGTTTGTATATTGTTTAACGTCCCTCTAAAGAATTTTTCACTCATATGATGTTCTTTTACTAGTCTCTATAGCCTAAACCCCGCCAGATGTTTAATATGCCGTAATCACCACCACTTGCCGGTGGAGAGCTGCAAATTTTGTATTTAAACTGTATTACAATTAACCAATCAGATAAGGCGAAACAGAAAAGCATTGAGCAAGGAGAAAATTTTATGCATCTTTTAAATCGTGCCAGCACCTATTACTCAATGCGACACGAGACCTCGGAACTATACGGTCTCATCCGAAGGACCGGTCTCTGCGTCCACAGTTTCTTACCTTGTGTATTTTTATTATACCGAATAGGATTCTTTAAACGTGAAAAAAGTACCCGCAACGTAAGATTTGACTTCTATATTTAGCGACTCTACATTTTTTTTTCATTAAAAAAAAAGGGGGGGGGGGGTAGCAGACGCATCTCCCACAGGGTGCTTGCAAAATTATGATAAGTAACACTGTTATTACCTTCTTTTAATAAAGTTTGTTTACAACTTTTGTTTCTTACCTTGTGTATTTTTAAAAATATAGGGCCATTCTTTAAACGTGAGAAAAAGTACAATCTGCTTGCATATAACGACATATAGATGTGTTTGACGGGGAAATTTTATATTTTCGAGGTATTATACACTCTTACATTTTTTTTTCATTAAAAAAAAAGGGGGGGGGGGTATTGCTACTTCATCACTGCGCCACGCGGACGACTGTAAATCTTAGATGTCAGGAGGCAAAAAAAGTTATAGATCAATATGTTACAAAACTGATAAGTGACCACATCATTAAAAACACATTTTGTAATGAAAAAACCTTGCATTGTGGTGGCCCATATAGTTACAGTTATATGTATATATGCATTCTCATTGATATACAACGTATACTTGTATAAAACAGAATTTATCCCTCCCTTTCAAGTAGTAGACTCTCTGTCGCATTCAGTTCGATATTTGGATATACAGATGAGGTTTTATTAATTGACAATATTCATCTCCATTCATATGTCATTTCTTTATATCCACGCAAGCTGGAAATAGAAGACACTACAGAGTTTGAAACATCTGATTGGTTCAGAAGACATTAATGACAACTAACAAGTACATGTACCTCGGCTGTATGACAAATAGATGATACATGTATATTATAGAGTTTCAATTAATCCTCAACTTCCCCAGTTATATAGTAATACATGTATTGCACTATCATCTGTGTAGTGTTTGTGTCTCTCAACTGATTGGGTACGCAAGGAGATGTTCTAACTGCGATCAATATTTACTGAGACGGGCTACTGAAAAATAAGTTAATGTAACAACAATCTCGCTTTCAACAATCTCGTTTTAAGTCGCCATTTCGCAGAGGCCTCGATATAAAAATCTTGTTTGCAAAATCATCTGGTTATATTTTGACTAACATGATGACAAATCACTGTACCACTGACTCTCTGACCTATAGAATCGACCATTGGGATACTTGCTGCTCAGAGGCAACTAGTTCTTGCTGGAGTCGTCCTTCTTTAGAACTTGATAAATGAATCTTCATTTTCCCAGTTGTTTTAGCAGATATATATTTCCTACAACCCAGGCTCGTTTATTATAATCTCCACCTACATGTAGATAATGTTATATCTTTTTCTTAAGGTTATTGAAGGGTTTAAATATGAAAAATGGTTCAAACAAAAACAAATATTTAAAGCAAACATAAGAAATGGCAAAGCTTTCAAGACAAATGAAAATCTGTGAGGTTTCGTTGCATCTTTTTTAAAGACTGTGTGCTTGACCCTCACCTCACCACAATAAAATTATTAAACAGATACACCCATATAGAGGGTTATTTTAAAACTGCAACGTCAAAGCCAAAGGCTTTTGTCCATTTGCTATTTAAAAAGGTATGAAACTTTTAAATCCGCTTTTTTTCGGCACGAAAATAAATTTGTTTTCTATTGAGATCACATAATAGGAACTAATTGCAGGTCGTGATGGTTTGTAAAGAACTAGAAGGTTAGTTTGTTGTGCTGGGGTAGGAGACCGGGATCGATTTCTGAGGTGTACGCCGTCTTCTCAGGTAGATCCACGGCAGAATATCGATTATCGAGAGATCTAGCTGTTGTTGTTCGGTCTGATTAGTATAGTTATAATTCAGGCACACAACTAAACATTGCGTGTACAGTAGGTCTGGAATTGGTCAGCTCTCGGAACACGGGGATTGAAATTGACCCCCTCCCTCCCGATTCCCAGACTACTGGAGGGTTCTCTGTTTCCAAGAGAAAGACTAGGATGTTATCAGGGAGATTTTATCAGTGAACTTTATGTTGTGAGTTTAAGTGTACGAGGATATAATCGGATATCGTACATTGTGATCTTTGACTTGCCATTACCAATGTTGTCGCTGATGCAGGTCGCCGCTGCCTTGCAAGGTAAATCACTGATTTAAATACCTGGCCGAGGGCTCTGATTAACTTAATTATTCTTTCACCTTGTTTGTAGACTTTTAATCAATGAGCAGTAAAACAATTCTCAGTTGGGTGCTACTTGGCATTGTTTTGGTTAATAATAATAGGCAAAGCTGTATATAATCACTGATATAAGGTCTATTTCGCGGCCACCCCGTTTTGGATTAATAATGAAACAAGCAGATACATGCATTCCTTGTCGGTTCTATTCTCTGGGGACAAATACCTTGTGTTTTACCTGTCGATAAAGCTTTTTTTATTAAGGTGTTAATATTTGATCACTGCGTTAAAGTGACATAACCATCCCCTAGTACTTTATATTGGGATGAGAGAGAGAGTGGATCCAAGGTATACATGGATTTAGATGAAATATGGCAGAGGTGTGCACAGGTAGGTATGGGGTAGGGATTATCTAGAATGTCTTAATTGTACACGTACCGGCTAAGCGAAAAATTCCAACATTGTTTAAAGTATAGACACATATTTTATTCCATCTACTGATTGTGTGTATTTATTCAAAGTTTTGTCTGTGTCAGTATAAGAATTTTATCTCGATAATCAATGAATAACTATTTTATCTCTGTACATGAGTTTTTAAATTGTAGGATTAGAACTACAGATCGATATGTTTGTATTTCTTTAAATCGTTTAATCTTCTAATGTACCAGACTGGTGCAATTATAGTGAAAATACTTTAGCACATCATGCATAGAGCTATATCGATACCACATAACGTTTCTTGACTTCTTTTCATGTGAAACTTTCTGTAGAACATGTAAAATATGCTGGATCGGCATACACATGTATCTTTATTTCTTAATTGATTTCATGCAAGAATGCATGCTGAATCGGCATTCACATCCATTGCAATATATCTTTATTATACAATTCCAGGAGCCGGTTCGCAACAAGATTTAACAGAGGAATCAGAGACCCAAAATAACAGAGACACAAAGAAAGGGGATCAATCTTCTGCCCCGGAAACTCCGACGGAAGACAACAACAATGTGAACACTACCGAAGACAAGGGGGCGGAAGAGACCGAACAGAAAACTCCAGCAGTCGACTCCCAGTTTGGCGGATCTAGCGTCTTTATACGTGATTCCGAAGACGAAGGGGATTCCGTGGATGCCATTCCTTATTACGAAAACATCGAAAGTGAGGCTTCAGAAGTTTTAGAACAGGAAGAAGAGGAAGAAGGAAAGTTAGAAGTGAAACCAGAAGTGATTGATTCTGAATCGGATAACGAGGACGTAGTGGAAGAATCTGTCGAAGGAAAAGTGGATGTTTTACAAAGTGGAGCTGTAGTGGAGAAACAAAGTGTGGAAAACGACGATATATCAGATGAAAAAGAAAATGAGGAGGTAGAGGAAAGTGACGTCATACAAACGGTAGAGGAAAGTGACGTCATACAAACGTCAGCCGAAAACACCACAGTGACATCTGAAATTGACCAATCACAAGACGAGATGCCCGGGAGAGAGGATGAAGTGTTGTCACCCTCTTTACAGAAAGCCACCTGTCGATACAGGTGGGGCAAAACACTGCGCACCAATTCCCACGATGTCGTCTTTTTTCCTTCGTATAAAATGGTAAGAAATCAATAGCTCAAACGATTTACTAAAAGTGAAAATAAAATATTTGAGCATACGTAACAAAAGAAAAAAAAATAGTAGTTGTGTAAAAAAATAAATTTTTCTTTGCATTAAGGTTTAAATTGAAAAAGTATTTGAGACGAAGTTTCCGACCTTATAAGAGTTCAAATGTTCAAAAACATCTCGTCGTCGTTTTGAAAATGAAATGTTTCTGTACTTTAAATAGGCTTTGTTACTGTTCAATGTATTTGTCAAACTGGATTAAATTTCGATTTCAAATTGGAAAAGTATAATGTTAGCGTTTCGCAAACACATGGTTTATTGAAATTTTACACTCTATACAAGTACTCTGTGTCGAATTACATGCTTTATTATCATGGCGAAATCATCATTGTAAATTGAATCATCATTTTACACCAGTAATAAAATAAAACGGCATAACTGTTCACAACCAAATTCATTGTATTCAGGAAAACCTTATATTGTACTGTAAGTATGTAAAATGAAATGAGATATAAACTTTTGAATATTTTACAATATGACACGGAACTTTAATTGTGATAGAGAGTGGGACGAAAAATAATGAAAAGGCAATCAAATCATGGGAAAGTGTTGCACATGATATACCGGTACGTTCAGCAAGACAAAAAAGTTGAAACATTGTATATGCTTCAGCCCTCCCCTGAAATACGTTCAAGTTCGTTCACGAAACAATTATTTGGCTTCTCAATTTCCATCCTTGCTAAACTACACATGTACCTTAAGGGGGGACCTATGTCCGATAAGTCTTTGTGTGAAATTTTCAAAACTTTGACATTTCCTTCCTGACCACTTGCTCTTAATTTTTATGTATAAAAAACAATACCTCTATATGCTTATTTTTACACAGGAGCACGCGCAAAAACAGTGTGAAATGCTAAAAATAGATTATTTTCAGACATTATTGTTCTACTCCAAATATACGCTAAAAAGAACCAAAAATGTCAAATCACATTCGAAATCAACAGGTATTTAATTTATATGACTTATATCTTTAAAATGAAGGCAAATTCAATGCAATTCATTGCACATGAAAAATTATAAAGGAGCACAATGTAAGTATCACCCCGTTTTTCTTGTCGTATTTTTTACAATTCTGACATGCATAACAGGTAATATTTTGAAAAGTCTTTGTGTGAAAATGTTGTAATTCATATTTTTTTAAAAGAAATGACCCCTCTCTTTATTTTAACATAGAAAAAAATATACCTTTATGATAAAATAAACGAGAAATATGACATTTTCTTTTATTTTCGTACTCTTTTGTCATAAATATTGACCTTTCTGCACTAAAAAAAGGTAAGTAAGCACTGACAAACATCTGAATATAAAACTATTTTGCAAAAAACGAGTATTTTGTTTTGATTAGAAGTAATTTAAACAGATAAACTCTTTTCTTCTTCATTTTAATCACCCCCCCCCCCACAATTTCCCCGTCAACAACCAACACCTAATAGAACCTAGGAATGACTTTATACAATAAAATCTACATATACTATAAATCAATAAGTAAATATAGGTACAAGTACATTTCTGATTTTTTTTTCTGATTTTTTTTTCTTAAATTTAAGACGAGAGAAAGAGGGATTTGGTACAATTAATGGTAAACATAAAATTAAACATATTTCCCTGATTTTAGGCGCTTTCTTTGCTGAATTTTATCTTATATTTTTTTGCGCTTTTATATCAGCATATCATGAAGATATTTCATTACCACTGAATTATCAACCAAAAGAGAATTCTAATATTAACAAACTCCATAAATCAAATAAAACTGCTATAAATGATAAAAAAAATTCTTGTTGTAAACTGTGTACGTTTTTGATTTTATAACAATGTTATGCCTATAATCACAGTTGCAAAAACAAACGTCGCTATTGTGACGTCACATAACGCTGCTTTGACGTAGAACGACATAGGTCCCCCCTTAATGTGTTTAGTAAAGAAGAGGACGTGATTGTTAATTCAGTCTTTATTTAAATACTTTTCTAATGCCCCCCCCCCCCCCCCCCCCCCCCGCCCCAAGGTTCCCAGGCATGCAGATCTGTAGGCTGTAGCTCTCTAGCCCAGGAAGTTTTTTTTTTGAGCAGGGAGCTACAAATCTGCAGCTAGTATTCCCCCAATATAAATAATTTTTATATAAACGGAGAACATCATTGAAATTTTGAAAAATCAAAGGTGTTGTGGAATTCATTCAAAATTTATATTAAGTGGGGAGGGGGGGGGGGGGGCAAGTTGGTGCCAGTTGGTCTTTGCCATATATTAAGTAAAGATGGGGGTATTCATTCCTTATAGTTTTTCGAGGGACCTTTGTAATTATCTAAGTTGCTGTTCTTTATAAATCTAATTTCAGGAAGAGCCCATTAGACTGACTTGGGACGAATCAAACGAATCTTATTTCTCACCAGAGCTGGAGGTAGCCACCGGGGTGTACCGCGGAAATCTGGTCATTGAGGGAAACACCTACCCCATAGAGGACGTAGTCATCAAACACTACACATTTGAAGCAGATATTTACATAAAAGAAGGTAAAGATTTTATTCCGGAAAAATCCGATCTATCTTTTACCGTTTCTAAATTTTGTACTCGATTTGCATTTCCTGGTTGAGTCGCGCATCTTTTTGATTGTAGAAAAATATAAATTGAAAGTTAAATTGTTAGGTATAGATTTATGGTTTTATGTACCGAAGATGTTTTTAGAATTGAGTTTAAAATGTGAACTAATTATGCAAGAGAACCAACGGAGTCTTGGTAATTAATTTTCCCTGTAAATTAAACACAAGATTAATGTAGTCTACTGTCTAGTCTCTTCGTGCATCGAAATTTGAAGACGAGAGAAAGAGAGGTATATATCTGGTAGATGAGAATGAGATGGTTCCCAATAATTTTTTATTTCATGTGTACAACATACACTGTACAACTGACTTTAAGCTTGTTCACTGTTACATGTTAAGAGATACAAAAAATTCAAATGCGGCACATTTTAACAATTTCACCGGCCCATTTTACAAGATGTAGAACATACAGATTGACAAGAAATAGATGTACATGTATAAACAGTAAATTGAAATTTTATATGCAGCAATATTGAAGGAAACGCACCAAAAATGTGAGTGCACTTGTGCATGTGGTTACCATAGTTATTGAAAAAATATGGTGGGAGTGCTTGTATATGCCTTATGTTTTGTAGTTTAAAACAGTCTGCTTTTTAATATAGTTTTTAATGATAGAGAGATGATTATTTTATGAAGTCTTAGATACTGACAATGCTGACAAATAGTGTGTGTGTTCTCACAGACCTTTATTCTACTTAAATAAGTCTTATGAAAATGGTTGTTGAGATGGAAATTGCAAGGTAAAAATATAATACATTACATGTTTTTTTAGGGAAACGTGTGACATTGTTATCCTGTGAAATGTTACCCTGAAAGAAAGTTGTGTAATAATTTTTGTTGTCATTCTGAATTTACAAGGCATCAAAATTTATAATTAAAGGAAAATATCTGTTACCATTATCATGGACAGGCAGGGTAGGGAAATAATGCTTTTTAAATGTGTTTAAACCAGCCAAATTTAACAACTTTAACATGAATGTGTAACAAAGTTATATCTGTACTTGTACTTAGTTAATTAATTTAGATTTATTTTGATGTATTTGTATGCATGTGATATTGTAGAATATTTAGAGTATTTTGTACATTGTATATACATTTACAAAATTATGCTGAACATCTCCTCTTGACTGTGATTAATACAAAGTCATATATGTTTTGCAACATAAATTTTAGTTGATACATTATGCTGGATCATGAATGACATTGAATGACACTATACACAGTATGGTATATGATAGTATATAACATAAACAATGCATTATATTATTTGATTTCAAAAGAAAGGATCTCACTGACAGAAAGAAAAAAAAACAACTTTAAATTCTAATATAAGGGTAAACCTTTCATCTTTAATCCCTAATCTCAATTCATTAATATTTGATAAGTAAAACTAACACAGGTAAAGAATTAACCTGAATTTGAATGTACACAATGTGTGATTTAAATACCACCCATCTCACACCCGGCAAATATTCTGACCTCGGTAACATGTCTTAACAACACATACAAAATCAACAATATTGGCATGAAGGGGATATATCACTGTTAATATTTTATGAATGACTAGATTTATTAAGAATAATAGACGTGGACTGTTGAGTGATTGTAATGTCTTGCGGTAGGTGTAATGGTATATTTAACCTATATGATATGTGAAATATAGCAAAGTTTTATATATACATATGCATGCTCACCACCATTGATTCCAAATATGATGAATGTCAAATATGATATTTATATATGATGAAAGCCAACCACTGTTCATGATTCAAAATGGCCTGTCATTGGATTGACCATTTTACATGATATAGTTCTACCTATAAGATTTACAAATTTATTTTATTAAAGTTTTATGACACAGTGACATACTTTTAGATGTCTATATATGCCTTAGGAATGTAAAGTTATGTAACTTTATGAATACTTCAGAATCTGACTTTTTGCTCTAGTAGAACATTTCAATGTATTTCAATGCTTAATCTTTTGGTTGCATCCTTCATTTTCTGACCCTTCCTCTAAGTGTCATTGTGTAACATTATGTGATAATAACTTGATTACATGTATTTTATGCCAAAAAATGCATCTTTAATTTGTTCAATAACCCAGAAAATGCATGTCCTTCATCTTTGGCAGGTTTTGATCATTTTTTTACTTCACAAACACAGATAATCCTGACACCCCTGCATACCCCTCTTGTCTGTTACAAGCTGTATATAATGCAGTGCCTTGGTGACCATATCTTCAAAATATTTAGATAAACTTTATGGTACTTGAGTGTTAAAGTTCTGTTAGGGCTATCTGTCTATCACCGTACAGCTTTTGTTTGTTATCAGCTAAGACAAGAAGCAGTCCATTAATGTTTGACAATAGATACAGTAAATGGCATTTTTCAGTGCATGAGGCTAGATGTCTCTATCAACATTCTATATACCCATTTGCACACATTTGTACCGGTATTTCATGTGAATACCCTTATATTTTTCTTTCCTTGTTAATTTTTTAAATTAAGATTTCTTTTAAATAGGTTGTTGCAATATTCTTAAATGTTCATTCTTGTATAGTTTATTCATGTAAATTGTCATGTAAATTTGAAATATTTTGCCTTTTACAGAAAAGAAAATCCAATGAAAGCTATAGCTAGCATAACAAATTACCTATAAAATGTTTAAAGTTCACTAGGTATAGGGGATCAGTTATAAATTTATTTTATTGACAAAGATCCGCTAGAAGCATGTGTTTTGTCTATCCATTATGATACGTGTGAAGCGTTGACGCAGTAGACAGTGACATGCGGCCATGCCTGTAGTGTTCCGTAAACCTTCACTGAATGTCTCAACAAAAGGAAAAGTGATTTAGGAAATGACAAGCCATTGATAGATCTGTTTTATTTATCGGTGTGGAGTCTTTTGAAATTGTATACACTGCTATCAGTGACTGTATTGAGAATTTTAATGTGTGTGCCCCAACATGTATAGATTTCAGCGGTCCATATTTTAAAAGAATATCCATTATCAGAATTTATCAGTTGATTTAAACTATTTGTAGTGGATTTTGTTCTTTGGAAACTTTACTCCAGCTTTGTTAGATTTAACACTTTGTCTTAAGAGCCATTCTTTTAAGGCATAAAATCTGCTGTTTGTGAAGCTGTAGTGCACAGAATTAGGGAGGATTTTGTCCTAGAAGCATATGTTCTAGGGGTAGGGATCCTGTGATCAATTTGTATAGTTCTTTTTCTTAAAATGTATTTAAAATTAAATTGAATTAAAATTAAATTTTAAAAAGTATGTTTTAATTGTTTTAAGGGCTATATTTGATATTATAAACATTTTTTGTGTGATTTCAGATCTCATTGAAGATGAAGTTGGAAAAAGTTTGATTCCAGAGGAGGATGAATTGGTAGAAACAAACAACCATCAAGGGAGTGAGACAAATCAAGGAGAAGACTACAGTGAACAACAAGAGGTAATGGAATCCTCTCTCAATCTCTCCAACAAGTTTGAGGAGTTGGTCAAGAAACAGATTTCCCAGGAATCAAGAGATGGCGAATTAGAGCCACTCAGCTCAGCAGGACGAAGGACTCCCATAGGAGATGTTGCTGCTGAACCATTCCAAGATGGCACCATTGTAGATGATGTGGTGGAGAGGCCACATTCTCGATCCTCTGTGAAAAGTGCTGGTTCTGTGTCACAACCCACCACTCAGAAAACGGTGGAGGAAATTATCCGAGAAGTCAACAGTGCTTCAAATAGTGCTGAACTCTACAGCAGTGAGGGAGTAAAATCCCCTGCGAGGTCAAATGAAAATTCTGTCTCTGGCTGTGTTCATGTGGTTGTAGAGGATATAATAGGAACACAAGACATGAAGTCCCCTCTTGGTTCTCCCTACCACTCAAATCAAGGATCACTTAGACAGACCCCTGTCAGAGATGGGTCAAGGTCACCTCAGAGGTCAGTGGAGGGGTCACTACAAGGTTCTAATAGACAGACCCCCACAGCAGGGTTTGTGGATGATGTTCTTGGCCAGTCAACTCCCATAAATAGGTCAGAGCATGGATCTGCGAGACAGACTCCTCAGCCAATGTCTAACCACTCCTCACTGAGGAATACTCCTCAGCTGATCAGTGACGTCCTACAGACGAGTGGAGACAAGTTATACTCCGCGGGATCCATAGGGTCGGGAGGAAGTCGTCCACAGAGTCTGACTAGCGAACAGGAACTCAATCAGTACTTTGAAAAAAGCGGCAGCCTCCCAGGGTCAGAAAGGTCAGGGTCAAACAGGACAACCCCACTGATTCCCTCACCCAATGTACGAGCTCATGAGCGTGCTCACAGCTCGTCCAGTCTGCCGATCATCACGACACAACAGCGGCTACAGACAGAAGGACGGAGCCTGACGCCAGATAATCACATCAGAGTTCCGGGGGAGATATCACCAGCTCTTAGGGGAGCTAATCCAGCTGTCAATAGGTCTAATGTGTCATCTCGAGCCAGCGAAAGAACACTCACACCGGGGGCCGTCGAGAACGGATACCATGATGTAAGTCACTAGAATGTCTTAACCTGGACCTAAAATGATTGGCTTGCCCTTGTGGATATTGTTTTTTTTTAACTAAAAATTGATTAAAAAATGCTTTTCTATTACTAAAATAAATATTCAATTATGAGATATCTCATATCGGTAATCCCCAAAAAAAAATTTGGTGACTTCTAAAATAAGTAATTTTGTTTCATTTTCTTGTGATCTTATAATTCGCATAAGTGTATTATTGAATCAGTGCTAGTTTCTAAAGTGATCAGGATAAAGACATTATACTCAGAGAAGCATTACTATATTGATAGATACTGATACTGTACTGTACATGCTAACATTGAGTAAAAAAAAATTCAATTTCTTTTTCCGTTACCTGTAGCTTTGAGCAATAAAATTTCATTCAAGAAATCCAGCATCTTTAGTTATAAGATGTTTCCATTTCAATTTCAAAACAATTTTTAGCAAATTTGTGGAAAATAAGAAATTAAAAAAATATATATATTTGTGATTTCATTTAAGGAAATTCCATAATTTTTATCAATATGAAAGCCTGACTACTTTAAGCAAACACATTCTGTATGCACAGTGTAAACTAAGGAAAAATAGATTCACACACTTACTGTTTAAATTTATTATTTTTTTAAAAGCACATTATTTACACAGCATAGCACTGAAGCAGAAATAATTAACAATGCCTCTTTTTGTGTCATTAATTATGAAAGAGGTTAAATGCGTGATCATAAAAGAATCGATGTCACACCTCAAAGCATATCCTAGGCTTAGTCTCAACATGCCTCAAAAAATCAAGAAAGTGTATACTTTCACTGTCAGAATTTTGTTATAATTGATGGATTATCAGATTGGTGAATTTGCAAATATCAGATTTCCATAGACTTAGGAGGTAATTTTCTGATGTACACACTTTATAAAAGAAGCTTTTGAAGTGAATGTTTTGAAGTGAATATTTGTTTATATGGATGAGTGAGATATGGATTATTTTACCTGCTGAGCAGGTGTCTGTGAGGTAATTACTGAGTTTATATTGATCTTCATCACCAGGTCAGATGTATTAATTCCTCAGATAGCAGCATTTTGTAGCTAAATGATATTATTTTCATCTTCTCTTAAGTAGGGAAATAAGGCAATACATGTATCTCTCTCATTTGTATGCATCAGTTTGATTACTGCATTTGTCACTTCTGATTTGAATTCATGGACGTTTTGTGTGTACACAGGATGCACAGAGTCAGAGAATTCAGGACCTTGAGGACAGTGTGAGGAACCTGAGGAAGTTGCTAAGCAGCCGGGAGACAGAAGTTCATGACCTCACCTCTCAGCTGAAGCAGTTAAAGACCTTGAACCAGCAGCTGACTGAAGAGTTAGACACGGTGAAAATGAGGGAACAACGCTCCTCCCCGGCATTTAGTAATATACAGGAGGTAAGAGATTCTGCCTTAATGAGGCCGAGTCTAATTCGAGTGCGCATCACTTTGCGCAGCTTTTTAATTTCATGCAGTCATTTGTGTGACAGTACACCTTTGAAAATTATTTTAATTTTAATTAAAAAATGAACATTATTTGTAACTCCTACTGATCTGAAAAAGTAATTTTTACAACTATTGGAAAAAGAACGTTGAAATGTCTAGAACAACATCACCATTTTCGGATTTTGTAAGCAATGCATGACCCTGAAGATTGACGCATGACTCGCTTTTATGTTCAAGACGTCCATGGATATTATACTAAAAACTGATGACGTATCTTCCCAAGAACATACTAGCAATCTAAAAATTGCTCTTTACTCAGCATTGTTAAGGCTTGAATTAGGGGGCGGGGCCTAATTTATACGGGAAAAGTTTACTGTGACGTCACACAAAAATATGACTTTTATGTATTTCTCATTGTACCTGAAAATGAAATAGTTTGCAACTTTTAACTGTATTCGCATAATAAACAACAATAAAACTTATCAATGCATTTAAAAAACCTGCTAGTTAAATCCCATGTAGCTGGTTATAGACAAAGCACTGATCGACATGAACTTGTAAACATGACGTCATTTTTGTAAAAATGACGTATTTCATGTGCTGTGAGAGGCAGATTGAGGTATTTTTTAACAATGAAAAATGTGTTTTATTATTAAACGAAATATTATTTACAGGTTTTAAATAGTCGATTAATACCAATGCATATCCTCTGTTTAGTGCGATTATTAATTTGTTATCAAGAGAATGTGTTTAATTAATTATATCGTGTTTTTATGTACAGGTTAAGTATATTTTACATCGACATGCCTCATAAAATCGCACATTCGCAAGGGCATACACTTCATAGATCTTAACCATTTTTTGAATATAGATAAAGGATATTTTTCTTAACTTGAAAAGTGCTGCTGCTTTCTTTAAATCGAGGGCGTGATTTTATAAGTACACAAAATATTTGGTAAAAGTCAAACATATTTCGACATTAGCTTAATTATCTGAAAATTTAACTATTGAAACGCGAAATATATTCAAAGCAGCAGCACTTTCCAGAAACTACAAAGTATGCAGATACAAATAATAACTTGAATTTTTAATTTCAACTAGGGTATGCCCTTGCGATATTGAAATTTGTTCATGACCTACATTCAGTACACTAACTATGCAATTATCACGTGACTGTCCACCGATGGGACCAAACTTCATACAGTACAAAGTGGGTTATACTATGCTATTTCAATAAGTATTTGTGTTCTGAGATAATAAAATAGCTAAATTAAAATAAATTCAGTTTTTAAAAGGTCCCCCTTTTTTGCACGTCTATTTTCCGTTGATTTCTCATAGTAGGCCTTAACAGTGCTGCGTATGCCCAAAAAAATTGTATGCACCCGATAATTTAGCAGCAAAGATATGTATTTATATCTTAAAATGGCAATTTTAGAAGTATTTGGCTTGAAAAAATAAACTAAGTAATTACTACTAGACCAATCGAGATGGTGAACTTTTTTGAAATTTCACAATTTGGTGACTTTTTACATTTACTTTCATTTGCTTGAATGAGAAAAAAATCCCTATGGCAAAAGTACAAAAAATATGGAAAAAAATGTAATAATTTGGCGATTTTCCAACAAATTTCCATAGGGTCTAATAGTAAAGTTTGACAATATTTAAGATGGCCCACTAAAAAGTTGGGGTGGTAAACATTCGATTTTTTAATCCTAAAACAATAAATATAACCGTAAAAATTAATTATAAAAAAATCATCAAAATCCCTAGGGCAGAAATAATTAGACATGGCCTCGTTAAATGTGTAAAAATTCAGTAGATGTTTTGTTTATGATTTATAAAATTTTGCAAGAATCTGCCTGTTTACACATGTACAAAGTTACAAACCTAGGTCATATCTTTTGAAATAAATTATAGATTAGACATGTCATTCATCATAGTGAGTGTCATTAATTCATGTTAGGTGAAAGTCACTTTGATAGGTCAAAGTAACATAAGAAAATCAAAGACTTCAAGTTCCACAAACATAGATTCTAAACTTTGATAATGTGTTTTGTAGCTTGAGCGGCAGTACAAGCAGGTGCTCAGTGAGAAGGATATAATGGCGGGGGAGATCGTCAAATTGAGGGATCAGATGGAGGAACTGAGAAGGGGGAGGAACGGAAGACCAGACGGGGAGACCAGCGAGATGTCACAGGGGATCAGTTATAATCCCAATAATCCCTATGTACTACAGAGGAAAATAGGTAAGAATGGACGTCAAAATGTCCCAGGGGATCAGTTATAATCCCAATAATCCCTACGTACTACAGAGGAAAATAGGTGTGGCTCAGTAAAATTAAAAATACCTGTAATTTGTAACTATATTGGAAACCAATACATTGTAATTAAAAAAAACTCTAGATAATCAACAATCTCTACATGTATAGAAAAACAAAGGTGAGAATATAAGCAAGATTTCATTCAATTAATCCCTGCACTCTTCGGAAGATACTAAGCTAACTTAATAAGTTGATATTGGGGGACAAGACATTACCCTCTAAATACATTTTTTTTTTTGCAATGAATATCTATATGTATGCACTCTACTTTATTAACTGGTGTGGTAATGTAAGATTTATCCGATTCCAGCTGATTTGGAGAGTCAGGTACAGGATTTACAGGAGGCCAATGAGACGGCTGTGTCAGAACTCTCCAACACAGAGCGGAAGGTGGAGGAACTACAGAGAGCTAACGAGGCCCTGAGAGTGGGGCAGGAATCCCAGAATCTGGACCTCCAGGAGGAGAACCAGAGACTGCACGATCAGGTATGGCTTGTACAGAATCATGAGAATGGAGTAATCCTAGGTCAACTGTAAATGCTCTAAACTTAGATGAGCTTAGTTTTGATCTCAGTCTCACTTTTGCAAAATTTTAATGGAATATTTAATGTAAAAGTGAGCTCATATATGTTTTATGGCCCAGATTCTTGATTTATTTTAAAAAGTTGCATCTTTGTTTAAAAGTGAATAAAAAATCTCTAGGACAGTAGTGATGACTTTTAATTCCATTTTGTAGATATCCAAAATGTATGAGAAAGGATATGGTGGCTCGTCGAGCACTGAACCAGAACACCGGATCCTGATTGAGATACAGCAGCTCAGGGAAGATAACCGGGCTCTGAGGGAGAGAAACTACAAACTCCATGAGGAGAGCATGCAGGTTAGGGAGGAACTGATGAAGTTGAAGCAGGAGGGACAGAGAACGATCCCCCCACGAGACGTCAGGGTGTCGTCACAGGAAGTCAGAAACTCGTCACCGCGGGATGTTAGGGTGTCGTCACAAGAGGCCAGAACGGCGTCACCGCGAGGCGCTAGGACTTCGCCACGAGAAGTCAGGGCACCTCTACACACCAGGGGATTCAGTCTGGGTAAGAACTTCAATTGTCTTGTCTTGCCCTCTTTCTATCATTACCACTTTAAAATAGAAATTTATAAAAGCAAATTATACTTCTTCTCATGTCTTGCATATTATCAGGGTGCTATTCTATGCATTTAACATATTCCTGACCATTTAAAGTTATAGCAAGCATAATGAACAAAATAAAATAAAATTCTCTTTCTCCCACTTTTTTATAGAAAGGACTTTGGACCTAGGATCAGACAGGTTTTCCAAAGAGAGAACTTTATCAGGCAGGCTGTCATTAGAACAAGAGGATGCTAGACTTCTAAGTAGCATTCACAGACAGACGGACAACAGATATAGCAGAACAGAGGCCGATTCACTCGGGAAATACAGGAACAGTGATATGAAAGACAGTGCTACCAAAGAAGAAAACTACTTTGGTCGCAGTATTCAAAAGGCAGAAACTAGGCTGAGGAGCAGTTTAGAAAGAGCTGATGCTAATTTCAGAAAAATTTCAGATGGAGAAGATATAAAGCCTAGATTTGATAGATTTTCAAGACTTAGCAGCAGTTTAGATAGACACACAGACAGACGTAAATATGACCTTGAAGATACACCCCGATCTGAAGGTTACAGGACGGGGCCCGAGGGCGGGGATAGGGAAGCCCTGCCAACCACACTACCTCGTTATAATACATCCAGACAATCTGAGTATAACCAGCCAGGCAGGGAAAGGTCAAGGACACCTGACAACACTGTCACCATAGAAACAGAGTGGCATAAGTTTGACAGAGAGAGAAGCAGAAGAAATGAGATTCCACCGAGTAAATCATGCTCTGAGCTCTCCAAGCCATCCTATACAGAACCTTCCTATAAAGAACTGGAGAGGAACACTTACCAACATGACTACCAATCTACCCCAAACTTTGCTGATAAAAACAGAGGTAGGTTAGGACTAGTGCGCTTTGCTTTATTACATGGCTTGTAAAACATCATAGCATGAATTTATTCCTTTTATTTTTGAGAGTGCAATGTAATATGCATGCATGGAACACTAATTCAATACTTTTAGAATAAAAATTTGAGAGTGAAATGAGAAATATTGAACAAAGCTTTTTAGTTGATAGGCAATAGTTAAGCTCAGATATATATACAGTAGTGTTAGATAGTGGTAGGATAAAAATATTTAGATCAGTTATGACAGATGCTAGCTTAATATTACTGTGATATATCATGGAAATATTTATTACAGGAATAACAACTACTTGGAAAAATGGAATTCTTTATATCAGAAGTAATTAACAAGTCTGCAATCAATCACTCTCTGAAATTTAATGAGCTTTGTCTGGTTTTGGCTGTGTAACAAGTTTCACTGATGCATTTTCACTGAAAAATGAGAATTTATTTCCTTCCCCTTGAACCTGTATTTAACAAAACTCACAATGAACACTGGCCTCTTTTTACTTACTACTGTTTTCTTCATTCACGCATGACTGGTTATAGAATGGTCACGGTCAGAGGCAGATCTTAGGCATGCTCACTTTACCTATAGAGGGCGCTCCAGAACGCCTGACCCCCGGATGTCAGGTCGAAGGTCACCCTCTCCTGGTTACATGGATCTTCCATCAACCTCCAACTATCAGCGCACCACCTATCACTTTGACCACACCCCTCGACCTAGATTAGACCACGCCCCTCGACCTAGATTAGACCACGCCCCTCAACCTAGATTAGACTGGGATGGTAGGTTTGCATGCGTTTATTGCGTTCGCCGCTTCCACATTGGTAGTCGACGAGGTAACCAACTAAAAATATGTAGAACTGGAAGTGTGGCACTGCCCCCCAATGGTGGTTGTCTAATTTAGCACTTCTGGTGAGGTTGTTGTGTGCATGTGGTCTGTTCTTATTAACCAGAATATTCATATTTCTATCTAACTGTTGTTTTCTTTTTCCTATTTGTAGAATCACACTCATTTGCTTTCTTTTATATATATCTACTCAAGAATAAAAATTAGCACCATTATATTCCAGGTTGGAGAAGAAAATCGTGTTCTGAGGAAAACTTTAGATTTTGAATATATGACACAGAAAGTTAAATTTTAGATTAAACTAAAGAATGTAGTTAAGAAATAAGGTATCATTTTTAAACATCTTTTGAGATATAAATACGGGTTGGTCACGAGATTAAATTCCATAAAGCTCGAAGGGCTTTATGATGAATTTAATCTTGTAACAACCCGTATTTATAGCCCGATAGATGTTTTAAAATGATACCTTATTACTTATATTTACATTTGTGACCTATTCATACTTTATATTTTCCTGATTGTGAGTTTTAACGTGTGAATTGCATTATTTTTCAAACCCAACGGCATGCATGTAATCAACTGAATGCGCGTCAATCCTTTATTACGTCACAGTGAAATTAAGTCAAACGTTTATCCATACGGACATCTATGACCTCTTGATACGTACCTGTATTTATACAGTTATAGATACGCATTGCTTTCAGTAATGTTATATAAAGGAAAACATTTGCAAATGTAAATATTGATTTTTATACATTGGTAAATTCAAAGAATTACAAATGTCCAAAATGACTGCTAAAGTAGAAAAATTTCTCTTTCTGGGCGTAGATCGAAATGATTTTCTTCATGTATAATTTAGAAATTTAAAACTGTGATTAGAAATCGAGAATTAATTTGGAATTTATTTTCATAAGTTATAAACTTACTTTTTACTAAAAATGCATATTCTTAAATGCATGAAAATTGGTACAGTTTAGCTAACACAAATAAAGTCTCTTTTATTGACAGGACCTGTCTTTTTCCTAATCTCTCAGCTAGTATATATAATTACATGTACCCAGTATATGTGTAAATATATTCACTAAGAGCTAGAGCTTTTGCAACCAGAATTGAATTCATTGTGTAGATTTAACATTGTATATGTAGGTCTTTTCAAATCAGTTAAATCTAACAGTTTTTAAATCCTTTTGTACATTGAGTTGTGAGGGATTGGGAATTCAAATTTGTTTAACCTTACAAAGGGTTTGGTCTACAATGTGAGCTTTAATCTGTTTTAGTTCTAGTTTATGCATCCTTTTTACAGCAGAATTTCAGTGTTGCTATTGGAATGTATCATTATTTTGAAAGATATTTTGGTAATTTCTTTATGCTTTAATTCTATTCACTTTCTTTATTTACACTTTATTTTACCTGAAATCACTCTTTGGCATTCTCTATACCCAGACACAGAACTTGCATTTTACTTGAAATTTCTGACTCAGATTGCAAACAATTTTTGCACTACATATTTAAATTTTTATTGCACCTTAATAGAAATAAAACTCTTTATATTTTATTTTTATAACATTAAATTAAACGTTTTTGGTTCTTTCCAAACAGTAATTAAAAAGCTTTCATTATTGAATTTATTTCATCAAATCTTAGACAGTGCTTCTATATGGATATCTTATAGCTTAGACTTTCATTCTTTTGTCTTTGCATTTTTTTTAAAAACAAGTACCTGCATGCTTCCTGTGTATATCAGCTTCTCTTTCATTTCAGAGTTAATATCTAAATACAAAAGATATTTTTATTGACATTATAAATATCATGTTATATGCTACTTTACAGAAGAGCCCATCCCACCCCGCCCGTCCTCAGCCCTGTCAGAACGCAGCAATAACACAGACTATCTGACGGGGACCTACCACAAACCCACCAACCCAGCGCTCTCTGTGTACCAGTCCAGCTACCAGGAAAGAGGTAAAGTCATAGCATCACCATAGAAATTACAAAAGTTAACGCCCTGTGACTGTGATTTACCTTTTTTCCTAAATGGTTAAAAAAAATGCCAAAATACTTATTATTACTGTCTGTAAAAAACGGAGTGCATAAACTGCACATGCTTCTGCTTTCAAGGAAATACATTTAATATATAATACTTAAACTGAATAACTTCCATGACATTGTAATCAGTGTATTCTATTCTTGCAATAAGCTTTTAAACATTTTTTGAATAAATATAATTGATGGACAATGCTATGAGGCAGTATGAAATTTCTAATTTCAAAATGTAGACATACAATTACCATCACTTCACTGAATTTTTTTGTTTTGAAATAAGGCTACGATGGACTGAAGAAGTCGGGACTTTACCAGGACGGAGAAGAGAGCGACACTGGAACCGATATCCTGGTGAACACCAAGCTCCAGGAAGTCTCCCCGCGCCTCTCCCCGACCAGTCCTGACCCACAGCACAGACGGTCTGTCACCCACCAGTACAGTTACCGTCGGCGACGCGACTCCCTGGGATCTGAGGGATCTGAGGACGAGATGGAGCCATCGTATTGTAAACATCCACGATCCAAATCAGCTGACGGAAGGGGTGAGGATCTTATTGCAAATACTTCTAATTGGGAAATTGTGTTTTATTTATTATTTGTTAATTTAGCCCCTGTGTTATTTTACGCCCTCTAACACTTGCAAACAAATTTGGACTAGCTGTTTTAAATTCGTCCAGTCATAGTTTTGTGTAAGAAATTGTACTGTATTCTTTGAATTTGCCTCATTTTAACCTCGCTGTAATGAAGGTAGGGTGAAGGGACAAAAATAAAATGGGGATGAAAATTTCCCTGAGTACAGTACGAGGGTTGTCCCAGAAAAATGCGAACTTTTTGAATATTTCAAAACTATTCAACCAAAACTAATTATTTTTGGCATGCTGTTTGGAAATCATCTTTTTAGATATTCTGACCAAGTATTATAGGCCTGTGATGTCAAATGCATATTAAAGCAGCATTTAGATGATGTTAGACAGCGGTGGTCAGCTTTTACAAATAACTTTTGAATTTTTCGTTGTTATCAGGCTATATGGCAATATAATGTCAAAAATTTTACTCACATAAATACTCTATGATTTGGTGTAGTTGTGGTTTAAATTTCATTTATTTGACATCATTAATGACAGATATATGACGATGAATACCAAAGCGCTTTGAATTATACCTTGTCAAAAATGGTGACATTAAGCGGCAAAGTGGAGCACCAAATTATCAAGCAACACTATGTTGAGCAGGATAATTAAGAAAAAAGATGTAACTAACTAAAATATAACTATGGGGAACAGGTTTATATCTAGTAGAAAAGGTTTCAGGTTAACTTGACTGGTTATCCGATAGAAGAGAATAGACCACTTAAATAAAGACGAACTGAAAAGATAAGACATGAAAGGCCTACGTGAAAACCGCTGTTAAATAATTTGATCAAGTACATGTAGGTTTATGATCGGGAATGTGAAATTGTCTATTGAAAGAATTAACTCCTCAGTCTTTTAGTAACACTAGTATTTGAGATGTATAACTTGGTAACTAAAACAAGATTAAATACATTGCCGAATGTGGGCTTAAAAAATGAATATTTATAGACACAGTTTTCGGAACAAATTTTTAAACACTACAAGATATGTTTTGACATTGTCAGTGTTGCTCCGACGGCTGATTGGATAGATTTGTTTACATGACAGGAAAATTTTTTTTAGAGATATTTCACTTTTATTCAAAAAATGTTGATCATGATGTATTCCAGTTTTGAACTTTATAGTCTCAGTGAAACAAAAGATATTAAAAATGTTCACGTTTTTCTGGGACAACCCTCGTATTTCATTTTAAGTCGAATTCCAATTAAAAATATTTTCATTATGCTGCCAAGTATTTTTAGAATAAGGTTTTCTTTTTCTTTTTATTAATTTATGAAAGTAATTTAATTGTCCTAACTTGCAGAGAATGCAGAAAAAATTGTTGGTATATGTAATTTTTAAAACCTTTAAAAACTAACTGCTGTGTTTTATCTTGGAAAGAATTCAGCTAACATGCTTGTAAACCTAGTTTTATTTAAAAAAAGACAACCACATTAGGAATATTTAACTTTAATCTTGTTGCACCAAGAGAAAACCAGTACATAAAGCTCAAATTAATGCCTGCATTTTCCAGGTATATTTATTAATATGCAGGTCTTGTGTGTGTATGATTATTAAGGTGCAGGTAAAACATTAATTAAAGAGAATGACTAAAGGCCACAGAAAGTAAACACAGACAGAAAACTACATTGGCAAGCAGAAACGTACATTAAGAGAGCCGTGTTATTTAAAATACCCGGACCTTTAATTCCCGGAGTGATAGACTGCATGCTTAGTATTTTATCGAAAGTACATTTAAATTGAAAATCAATACCTAGGACCACATAGATCAACTAAAAGTGACATGATAGAACGCTACACAGGTATGGCCATTTGTTAGAGATATTTTCTTCCCAAATAGTAGCTAGCATCTCTGGTTTGTTTTATTTGAGTAGAAATGATTGTTGATGGCCATGTTTAATGTATTTTATGTACGAGGTATTATTCAGCATTTTAGACTTATTGAGGACATAAATATCTGCAGTCACATATGCTGACGGGGAGTTAATTCAGCTGTAAATTGTGCTGGGATATTTTAGTTAGGCAGCGGATATTATGCTTATAATTCTAAAAATTGGCTTTGTAGTTTTGATTTGTGGTCATTGATAGTATGAAATTTTTGATTATTACTGCCAGGTTGTTTATATTTCATAGATGGAATATGATTTGTAATAAACAGTGTAATCTGGATAATTGGTTATAGGGTTTTCCATATTTTGAATTTAAAATTTATTTCAACTACAGTTATTATAACTACGGTAACATTGGTAACATATGTTTAATTATGAACAGCAACAAATAACTTTATATATAAATACTAGTATATAGTGGAAAACAGCTCTAAGAAATATTTGCATGCAATTTTGATATATTCTTTTTTCCTCAGAATTACTGAGGGGTTCCCTCACGATGGGTACAGAAAGGTCAGGGACGTTTGGTACAGAGAGGTCACTGGTTATGTTGACCCAGCCCATGGATCGGACCCTCAATAAGAGAAACCCTGCACCCCCTACCGCAAATCTCCGGACCGTCACTCCCAGCGTACTCACTACACAACATAACAGGAACATGCTAGCAGCTTCCAATAGGTGAGACAGTATACACTTATCCAATGGTTGTGAGTGGGATAGCTCTTTTATCAAACCCGCGACAGGGAACTATTCCCCGAGGGCTTGCCCGAGGGGAATAGTTCCTGTCAAGGGTTTGATAAAAGAGCTATCTCACTCACAGCCAGTGGATAAGTGTTTTATTATACTGATGTATATTATAATTTCTTAGGTTTGAATTTACTTTGGTGTTAGATAATACTGCGAGAATGAGCTGAAATCCTGATGACGTCACAATGCTACATAAGTCATCATGACATCATCAGGCTATGGATTTAACGCTGGAAATTAAAATTGGCGTCAAAAATTGCATGAAAATTTTCCGAGGTGTGGGTAGCAAAAACTATACCCCGGGGGTATAGCTTTCTATGGGGGGAAATTTTCAGACTATGGGGAATAGTTATTTTACCCTCTGAACTTTATATAGGAAACATTTTAACAGAAGTATAATAATGTTAATTATAAGGGTGGCCAGAAGTTACATTGTATATAGTTGTAGCTCCTGGGTCTGGTATGACTTTTACTAAAGAAGTTTGGAAGTACAACTTTTCCAACAAATTTATTCTGTTGAACTTTAAAATTATATATAGGAAGACACATTGTACAATCAATGACGAGACAAGAAATTCATTTTAAAGTCATTTTTTAAGTATTTTAAAGTAGGAATGGCTATTTATACATAAACTTACTTTTCCTTTGGGGAAATTTAAGGGAGGTGTTGAAGGTGATTTAGTATAATAGTTAGTGTGGAAAATATCTCCTAAAGAACAGTATTTCAAAATTCAGATTAAAATGCATTGTGACTCTCGATTAGGTGAAAGTTAAGGCCCATGGAACTCGCTTTTTGAATTACGAACAATCAAATTTTTTTTACACCTGCAATTTGATGTAGTAACATAAATGTATTTTAATATTATGTTTCTCAATATATTAAACATTTCTTAAAATTAACATTAATTTATCTTGGAAAAAAAGAGAGTAATTAAACATTTTCTATTTTTAGCACTCTTGCACCTCTGACAACCGGGATGAAGCCTTTCTCTCCCCGTTCCCCTGGTGACATTAATTTAGAGGACGTGGTGAAATTCTCTCGGGCTGGTGGTAAACTAAGTCAAGGATCCGTGAAGTTTGTAGGGCATTTACCGGGGCGCAGTGATGCTTATTTAGGGGTGGAGCTAGATAAAGAAGGTAGGTATGATTACGAAAACATTGACAAAACTTTGTTATGGGAGTTTTTTCATATTTGTTTCCATTTATTGGTAAAATTTATTTTAACTTGCACTTTATTTTGGTTTTCAGATGGAAAACATGATGGAAAGTTTGAGGGAATGAGATACTTCCGATGGTATGAAAAATGTGTTTGTATAAATACTGTATACAGGGTTATTATCGCTCCGTCTTATTTTTGTCCTTTTACACTTGCAAACAATTTTGCCCCATTTTAAATTCGTCCAGTATACAGTAATGCTTTATTTTCCTGAAAATTATAAACTTTAATACCTTTATGTTTACATGTTCTGTGTAATTTTATTTCAAAATTTTTTTATCCTGAAAATATTTAAATTAGATAATTATGTAAACATGTTATGTGTATTTTTAATTTTGAAATCTTTTTATTTATTACAGTAAACCTAACAAGGGAGTGTTTGTAGCTTTCAACAAAGTCGTAATGGCCTGGACAAGATGATCTATGCTGCAAATATAAGAGTTATGTCCCTTAGAATGTGTCTCAGAAAAACCTGAAAAAGCCATACAATACGAGGGGTTATCAAAAAGTTCGTGGACTAGCGTCATAAAATTAAAACCGCTTTAGGCACGGCAATGAATTTTAAAATATTAAGTTAGCATCACCTTTTCTATCTTAAGTATAAACCATAAATTATAAATTTTACTTTATAATAAATTAGTAATGTATTTATAAGCATGTCCAGGCGGCGCAACCTCGAAAACGACGTTTTTGCGACCTATGTGCTAATGAGAAAAACTCTTTTGATATGATCATTTGACATCCAAAAATCCCGTTAATTCAGGTATGTGTTGGGACACAGTTGTTCCATAAAATATGAAATTTTCACTTAATTCTGAAAGCTCTATGAAATTTCATCGTAAATTTTACACGGAATGTCCAAACAAATTAGGCCTTGAAAATGACGTCAAAAGGGGGGAGGGGTTTCCGTTTCCAATATTCTATAAAGTTTTGCCCCTGAAAAAACTGGTATAGACCTGAAATATATTGAAACTGGCTACAGAGTAATAATATGCATCCAGAGTACTTGTCTTTTAATGTCAAAATAGATTTAGGGAGAAAAGGAATACATGGTTTATGTCGATTTGCAGTCAACGTGTGAAAAATCAATCACGTCAAAAAATGACGTTGATCATATGCTGTACATATTGAACTCCCAAAAGCAAAATATGCCGGCATAATCAAGCGAGGGTCTCTCCCAATGTGTTAATCCATTTGGAATATTATATTCATTGAAGGCCACTGTTCATGGCATTGCAAAGTCAAATAAACAAGGCGGGTTTAAGTCCTTACTCAGCTCCAGGGAATCTCATCAAAAAAGTGTATGAGGTAGAAGAAGTGGACATTTGAAAGAATAATGACGTTATTAGACGTCATAAAAATAAACGACGATAGCGCCGGGTGATCATATAATGTCGTTTTAATTTTATAAATATTTGGCAAATAATGAACGTATCAGGCTAAAATTTTCAACATTTCTTTATTTTTTGTTGTTTTATGTTCCATATAAATTTTGAAAGCACAGATTACATAGTACTAATTTTATAGCCTCAGTCCACGAACTTTTTGATAACCCCTCGTATATATATATTGTTCATTGTTTTGTTTGATTTTTATTCACACAATGTCCGTCCATTAGATAGATGAGAATATCTTGCAGAGCTTTTGTTAAACCTAAATATTCATTCTTTGCCATATCATACTTTACATCTCATTTTTTGAATGTTTATTTTTTTGATAAGAAGAATATTTTTATCGTCTGTAGATATTTTATCATTTATATTTATTGTCATGAATTATATTTTTATAACTTGAACCAATTTTAATTTATTTTCTTTTTAAATCTTTTTCCTTTTGACTGTGATCAGTATGTATTTGTGAGTTAATTTTTTACTAAAAATAATTTTCTTTAAATAGAAAAATGAATGGAGGATCAAATTGTCTCTCTTCCTGAAGTCTTCAGAGAAGTCTGTTTGTCTGTCTGTTTTGCAATGTAGTTTTTGTTTGAGGTAAATGTTAAAGCAATCGATCATGTGTAAAATGTCACATGTATATGAAATAGCTTGTGGAATTGTTTTTAAATTGTATCTTGTTTAATATTATTGAGTGAAAACTGTTCATGTTTTTTTAACATGGAAAAACCTTAATTGGATCTATTTCAGGTTCATAGATTCAATAGAAAGATTGTTGTATTCCGTCCATATTTTACCAGTCCCCATAACATTTCATTATTTTGATTTACATTAACTTGTTTGTGCATAAAAGTGCTTTTTGTAGGTGTATCTGGGCTGTGATAATATGAGTAGAAATAAAAAGAATCATTCATAAGTCTCATCAGTATTTGTAAATCCACTTAATATTTAATTATTTTTTGTAGACATAATAATTTAATATAAATTGTTTTTGAATAAATAATTTACAATGCTTTGTATCTTTTTGTTTTCACTGACTTTTTTTTTAGGTCACCTGAGTAAATTCAGGTGACACATTGCTATCTGTTTTCGTCCATCGTTGTGCGGTTAACTTTGAATATATTCAGCTTCTTCTCTGCAACCACTCAACCAATTTCAACCAATTTTGGCATAAGGAATCTATGGGTGAAGGGGAACAAAAATAATTGTAAATTTTAATGGTCCCTGCTCCCCTGGGGTCTGAGGAGTGGGGCCAAACCCACTAAAATTATTGCAATCTTGAACAAGAGGCCCACAGGCCCTATAGGTCACCTGAGTATCATATAACAACTCTCCAACATTTGAATTTGGTTCGTTTTTAAAACCAGAGGCCATGAAATTCACAATTTTGACAGAGGCATTATTGCTTATCACTAGGATGCTTACTTTGGCTTCCTATTACCCAGAGGTAGATCAGGGTAACAAAGAGAAAATGCATTTCCACTTTATAACCAATTGTGAACCCCATCCCACTGGAATCACTGACTTTGGGGCCACATATTTCAAAATTTTGGAAATGTAATCATAAATTTTATTTCATCATAAATGGTTTATTTATACCAAAGAGCAGATTTCAAAGCATAAATTTATTATCCGACTATGTACCCCTCCCCCAGTTTCCCTGATCGACCCAGGGGTCCTGTCATAAATTAACCATTCGGAAGAGGCATCTTTCTTCATCATAAATATGTACTTGGATCACTGGCATAATACCCAGGACCAAAGTAAATGATTTTCAAAGATTTCATGCAAATCAATAGAGCCCCACCCCAACACCAGAACCCTTGAGCCAGGGGCCCTTAAATTCACAAACTTGGAAGAGGTATCCTTCCTCATCATAACCATATATATAGTTCATTGGTTTAATATACAGGAGCAGAGGAGAAGATTTTTAAAGAATTTATGCATTTTCACTATTATGATCAAAAGAGTCCCGCCCTAACAACAGAATCCCTGACCCTGGGGCCATGAAATTCACAATATTGGAAGAGCATGCTTGCTCATCCTAACTATATACTTAAGTTTATCAAATACCCGGGAGCAGAGAAGATTTTCTAAGAATTTATGCATTATCACTATATGATCAATAGTGTCCTGCCCTAACACCAGAGCCCCCAACCCTGGGGACATGAAGTTCACAAATTTAGTAGAGATATTCTTGTTTATCAGAACTATGTTCATAGTTCATTGGTTTAATATCCAGGAGCAGAGGAGATTTTTAAAGAATTTATGCATTTTTACTATATGATCAATAGAGCCCCACCCTAACATCAGAACCCACAACCCTGGGGTCATGAAATTCACAATTTAAGAAGAGACATCTTGTTCATTATAATTATGTACTTGGGTAGTTTATCTTAATATATATATATATTAATTAAAATACCCAGGGGCAGAGAAGAACATTAAATAAAATCATGCATTTTTACAATATAATCGATATAGCTCCTCCCAACCACTAGAAACCCCTGACCTTAGGGCCATGAAAGTCACAATTTTAGACGAGGCAGTCTTATTCAATATAACTATGTACTTGGTTAGTTTATTTAATGTCCAAGAGAAGAGAAATTTTTAAAAGAAATAATGCATTTTCACCATATAATCTATTTAGCCCCGCCCTAGCACTAGAACTCCTGACCCTGGGGCCATGAATTTCACAATTTTGGTAGAGGACTCCATGCTGCTTACAATCATGCCAATAGTTTGACTGCTTGACTTTCAGGAGTAGAGAGGATTTTTAAAGATTGCATTAATTTTAGTGGTTTTGTTCCCATCCCTCAGGCCCCAGGGGGACAGGGACCATGAAATTCACAATTTTTGTTCCCCTTCACCCATAGCTGCTTTATGTCAAAATTAGTCGAAATTGGTTGAGCGGTTGCAGAGAAAATGTTCAAATGTTAACGCACGACAAACGCCAAACGACGGCCGACGACGGACGAAAACGGATAGCAATACGTCACTTGAGGTTACTTAGATGACTTAAAAATCTTTTTACTCCTTGACATCAAGGAGTCAAACTGTTTGCATGATTGTAATCATCAATGAGTCCTCTTCCGAAATTGTGAAATTTATGGCCCCAGGTTCAGGATGCCCAGGAGCAGAGATGAAGGTTTTCAAAGAAATAATGCACTTCACTTTATAATCTATAGAGCACTAAAACCCAAATACACTAACCAAATACATAGTTATCTTGAATAAGACTGCCTCTCCCCAAATTGTGAATTTCATGGATTAGGGGTTCTTAGGTGCTAGGGCGGGGCTATATAGATTATATAGTGAAAATGCACTATTTCTTTGAAAATCTTCTTTTCTGCTCCTGGGTATTAAATCAACTAATCAAGTACATAGTTATGTTAAATAAGACTGCCTCTTCCAAAATTGTGAATTTCATGGTTCCTGGTTCAGGGGTTCTTGGGTAAGGGCGGGGCTCTATTGATTATATTATAGTGAAAATACATTAATTCTTTTAAAACAGTGAACTATGATCATAATAGTAGTTATGATCAGGAAAGACGCCTCTTCCTTTTTGCGAATTTTAGGGCCCCTGGGTCGGGGTTTTGGTATTATGGTGGGGCTCAAATGATTATGTAGTGAAAATGTATGAATTCTTTGAAAATCTTTTCCTCTGCTCCTAAATATTATACCAATGGTCTATAAGTACATATTAGTGATGAATAAAGGTGCCTCTTCCAAATGGTTAATTTAAGGGCCCCGGGGTCAGGGGTATTTTGGGTGGGGTCGGGGTTAGGGGTTGCATAGCCTGAAAATAAATTAATGCTTTGAAATCTGCTCATTGGTATTAATCAATCATTTATGATGAAATAAAATTTGTGATATTAAATGCCCCTAGTGCCAGTGGTTCCTGTGGGGTAGGGTGCACAACTGGTTATAAAGTAGAAATTCATTTTCTCTTTGTATTTTGATCTACCTCTGGGTATTAAGTAACTAAAGTAAGCAAGCCAAGTATAGTTATGATAAGCAATGAAGCCTCTTTCAAAATTGTGAATTTCATGGCTTTTGGTTAAAACCAATTCAATTGTTGGAAAGTTGTTACAT